GGTCTGACTTGTGAAAATGAGAATTTTGCACCCACATGAGAAAAAATCCTAGGGAGATCACTGACATGTAAAAATAAGTAGTTCTAATCTTTGCTATCAATATCCTTGATATCTGAGAACTTTTTTATGTTAATATCTGCCACATGAATTTTAAAGGTATCTTTATGGTCAGTATGTTTGGGTAAGGTTGGGGGAACTGAAACCTCATATCCTTGGGTCATTACCACTAGCATCATGTTTCCCTATTAGAAGACCTTACATTAAAAGTAAGTAAACCATGGTAATAATCAGGTGTTTTACAACTCTGCTATTATCATAGGCCAATCACTTGCAGTGGAAGAACTCTAGAACTGATGTTCCTTGCATGATGTATCATATACTATACATATAGTGCAACTGTAGCCAATGAATTGCAACAGCATGCCCACTTACTTTAATACCTTATATTAGATATTAATGCACAATGAAATGAATAAAATAGAGGATATTTTTGCAATTATATTAAACACTGATTAGTTGAAAATGTGTATGGGATATCAAGAGAATGGACAACAGATACACCTGTGAAGTATGACAAGGTTTTGCAATACTATTATAACAACCCCCCTCTCCTGTCTGATTCATGTTATAAGGAAAGTATAATTGTACGATGACTAGCCATAATTAATATTAGACACATACCATAGCATAACAACATGCATATAAGAGTCGAGGTTCAAACAGAATCGAGAGAAAAGATGTAATAATGAAATTAGCCAAAGTCATGGAATCGCCCACATGATATGCTGTATAAACATGAAAATCAGAAACTATTTTATATTAAAGAGGAATGTTTAGATAATGTATGATATTTCATGCAGAGGTTGTGGCTATATATAGCCCAGAAGCAAGCTTGAGAATTTATGACCACTGCAGTCTGGTGTTAGGCTGTGTTGCCCTACATGCATAATATCACCAAAAATATACAACCTCAAAGATTGATGAGCTAATCTGGCAATGAGGGGGAGGGGGTAGATCTCTCTTTTCACCTGGAGTAGACTTTAGTCTTCCTCAGTGCCATATTAAATAATCATCACCTCTCTTCAACATTTCTTTATTCTCTATGGCATGAACCTGGTACATGACCTGCTCATATGCAATCCCCACATGACAAGTGAAGCATGAAGCAACAGACAACATGGTTGTACTTTTATGTTTAGACACACACATTTGTATACAAGTCAAGAAACCAGGCAAGTTGATTCAACCCTTGTGAATGCTTTTTACTGTACTCTAGGGAATTCTTCTTTAACCATTTTTTCTTAACTTACAAAGACCCACTCCCTACCCCAGGCCTGTCAACTGTCCCGCAATTTGCGTATTTGTCACGCATTTGCTGAAGAATTTGAAGTCACGCCAGTTTTTTTTGCGTGACAGAAAATGTCACGCAAATACGCATTTTACCTGGTAATTGTCAAGCAGAAATATTTCTGTAGAAAACTTTTCAAAATATGTTTACGATACGGTAAAAATACGAACGTCGGAAAAAACCGAACGCAATTTGTTCGGATTTGTCACGCGAATCCCATATAAATCACGCATGTTCATTGAAAATGTTCGTACCTCCCCCCGGGAGTTAAAAGTTGGTCAAAGGTGTTCAAAATTTGGACTGAAGTGTTCAGATTTGGACTTAGGTGTCCAACATTTGTAAGTCACTCATATTAGGTGGTCCCAAGTTGACAGCCCTGCTACCCTGTGTGCAGAGTGTAGTTATGAACTACCCTCTGCCTAGTATAGACCATTGATTGGTGCCTGTGACCTGGGTAATAAAATCATTTCATATGTACCACCCTGGCCATTTCTTAACCAATCAGTGAAGTGGAAGGAACACATGCTAAATACATGCTCATTAACTATGCGGTGATGTCAGAGGAAATGACCATATAGAAAGTCGTCTGTATTTCGACGACAAACTCTGATTGACTCGGTGAGATCAGAGATTTATATGTAAACTGAGAGAGTGAAGACGAAGCTCTCTTTTAAGAAGTAAAGTCGAACGAATGCAAAGGGAACCAACTCCCCAAAGTGAAGCATAAAAATGAAAAGGATCAAGCACTACAAAAATCTGTAATTTCACTCAGAAGAAATAACAAAAATTGTCTGCAAATGCTGGGTACTTTTGGCATTCCAGCCTCAGGATTCTGTATGTTTATTACTATTTATCAAAGTTTGCTTGCACTCCTCTTGTCACCATTGATTTCTGTAATGTATATGTTGTAAAAAGTGTACATAAAATGTATACTGTGAACCTGCATATCTGAGCACCTCTCATTTTATCTCTGTCCGAAATTTATTTTCTCTCATTGACTTCTGTGTTTATAAAACCACGAAATGTGAACACCTACTAATCCAAACACTTTGGCCAGTCCAAGAGGTGTTTGGATTAGACAGGTTTTATTATACTGTATTTCCTCAATAACATGTCAAATAAATGAAGGAAATCATAATATCAGACTGACTGACTCAGGTCATAGTAGCAATTATATAAAATTAATAATATCAATGGTTCCTTAATATAATTGCACGAGACTATTTATAAAACAGCATCTATAGCACTGAAAGACCAAACTACCTCATCACATGTTATTGTTATGCATCTGGAGCAAGCTTAGAACAGTATTTCTCTCACATAATAAAACATTATAAGTCCTGTGTTGATCATAAAAACAAAATTAATGGCAATGAACATAACACTGTCTTGGAGAAGATCAGATTTCATAACAGATTTAAAGAGAGTTATCACTTCTTCACAGCTTATTTAGATCATTAAGACAGAAGCCATTTAAATCCTTGAGTTTTATTGTAATACATTCAAAAGTCTTCTCAAAATTCATTTTAATTCCTTGACTTTTCTTTGACCTTTCGCAGAATCTTGATACTTTCCACCAAGTATGCCACTCTGATGCAATTCTGAAATTCCCTGGCCTCTGAGGGTTGAGAAAAACCACTGACTTTCCCTTCACACCTGCAAAACCTTACCCTTTGCATTCATTCGACTTCACTTCTTAAAAGAGAGCTTCGTATTCACCCTTTCAGTTTACAATAAATCTCTGATCTCACCGAGCCAATTTCTTCATGGTCATTTCTACTGACATCACCGCAGAGTTAATGGGAATGTATTTAGCACATGTTCTTTCCACTTGGCTGATTGGTTGAGAAAGGATCAGCGTGGTAGATTTGAAATTTATTATCCGGGCTGTCACAGGCACCAATCTTTGGGGCGGGGCTGCTAAACTATCCTAGGCAGAGGGTCGTTTATAACTAGACTCTGCGCGCCGCGCAGGGTAGCAAAACCTTGAAATTGGTCTGAAACCTTTGACCATATTGAGCAATAATGAGACTCTGACTGAGTGAACATGTATAAATGCCAGTATTAGCAATTCATTCAGCATGGGACAGGTGGCAACAAACAATTGAGATTAGTCATACAACTTACTGTCATATTGCAAAGGTAAGTTGTTTGTTTTTTATTTTAGTTTTTCTATTCTTAATTCATTCAGGAATTGAACATAAGTAGACAACAACAATGAACAAAGAAACAAAAGGTTCTGTTTACTTAACTCTGACCCCGAAATTTTGTACATGAAATATACCAGTGAATGTTAGGGAAATACAAAATAGTTCAAGGTGTACTTTTATTTTCTGAATAAATCAATACTTCAGTTATAAATATCAACTTTTTTATTGAAAAACTCTAAATGGCCATCATGTAATTTACTTAAGCATGTCCAAAATGTTATCAGATATCAAATGCATAACAAAAATATATCAAAGCATATTGTAAATAAAGTGACCGTTATTTAATGCTATTAAAATTAGTATAGATGGTATTTAAGTGAGAATAGTTCAACATGACGATTAGTACAACAATACAGGTGATCCACACCCGTATTTCTCAGAACTATGTCAGTCTTTCTCAGAAGTCAGAACTACTAGGCAAATATATAAGAGTTTTGGCCAACAATGATTACGGCTCACGTGAACAAGCCATATTCATACAAGAACAATAAAAATGCATTTTGATATGAGATGAATGGTAAACTGACATGTAGAACTTAGTATTATCACAGATGTGGAGTAGAAAGTCACAGTGACCTGATAGTCATCTCATATGGCTCTAAACATTAATTATTATGGATGCACTATTGAAAATCTCATTTCTATGATGTCTGAGGAATATAAGTTCATTGCAGATAAAGTCATAATTAGGACATTCCCTCATTACAATCTCATACATAGAATCTGAGGCAAATTAGGCCATTTTCCATTGAAAGACAGTATATTTCGATCTCATTTACTATTTTACTTTAAGTTTCTTTGAGGTTAACACATTTATTTCATGACTATAAACTGCGTTTGTATGAAAGGGACCAAATTCACCACCAAAAACTTTGGCAAAATCTAAACACAGTCACAGAAATGTACGAATTCGTGAACGTAGACCCAAAACCACGGTATTCGGTAACAGTAAGGTATTGAATTGCGGTAATACCGGCACCAGTTTTCAATACCATTTGGAACACTAATTAAGAGTATATTTGCTTCTCTCAGCATCGATAATTTTGATTTTCACTGACATGGCAGTTTTTTTCATTTCCGGTTCTACGGACTGAATAGTGAAACTAATAAAAAGAAACTCGTTCGAATTTCGTTTAAATGGGATGCATTTCTCATATTCATTCATATATATAAAAAAAATAATACATGGAACAATCAATTGTACATAGTTTGACACTGTGAAAAAAACAATGCATTTGAAGGTCAGGATTCGCTATGAAATGGTTATTGGGAATATGAATACAAATTCGCGAATCTCAGACTAGTGAAATAATTTGCGAAATCTGAAATCCTAATCGAGAGACGAATTCCATAACACCTTGGTGAGATGATTCGATGACTACGTGAGTACTTTTCTACACCACTAGGTACAATAATATATGTAACATATAAAAGGTACTTACTCATTTTCAAAGGCAACTGTGATCTCCTCATTGTGAACATTCTGAACAAATGCCTGAAACACAACAAAACATTACATGTGTGAGATCTTTTAATCTCAGCCATCAACACCTTAAATTATAATTATGCTATAAAAAAATATTAGAACTATCAACAAATTCACCTGTCACTGTGTTCAAGCTTTACTAAAACAAGCCGATTTATTATGAGGTTGAGCAACTTTATTCATTTACTTGTTAGAAACTAGAATGACTGATTTCAGAAAAAATAGCGAAAACTCCATCCAAAATAACATGGCTTCAAAATAGATCAATTGGATAAATATCAGAGGAAACTAGGTGGTGAAGCTATATGTCAAACTCATGTCAAGGCTAAACAGTCTATCCCTTCATCGAGGTTACAGTTGTAGGATCATTGAATGTTGCTATATTATTACCTTTGGTCAGTTTTATTCCCGTTCTGTACGACTAAATTACAGTACATGTACATTCTTGAACTCTAAATGATGCTTTTCAGTTGATCAAACCCATTATTGTCTTGGTTTATCGGCAGAACAATGAAATCTTCATTTTTGATAGCAATATTTGCATATAATATTTAACTTATTTCAACCGTACAATTCCTCCATTTAGTGGTTCATCTGGTCCCGGCATGCACCAATCATAAGGGGAATCCCCTACTAAATCCAACGGGCATTTTGAAAAGTGATAGAATATCTATCAATTAAAAAACTAAATGAGCTCGTTCTACCAATGCAACCAAGATGATAATGGGTTTGATCAACTGAAAAGCATCATTTAAGTTTGAGAATGTATTGACGTATGTAATTTAGATGTCTAGAAATTGGGATTAAACTGGTTAAAGGTAATAATAATTATAGTAACATTGATACACATGGGGTTACTTTGAAAATTCGGTGATTTCAACAGGTAATTTACAATTCTTAGGGTCTAAATCTTAGATTATATCTTACCCATTGGATATTTCTATTCAATTTTTAAATTTTCAAAAACTAAGCTTGGCAATGCTGCGTAAGTGTAAGGTTGAAAAGTTCATTGTGTAGAAATAACCGCTGGACAAAATAACGATACATTGATATAGGAGCGTTTTACTCCCTGCAAAAGTTATGTGGATTTTGATATAATAGCTTTCCCACAGCATACTGGACAACTGAATAATAGTGACCTTTGAGACATAACAAGTCTTGATCGAAAAGAAAGTACTTCAGCACTCCAATACTTGCACGGAAGGATGATAACGATGTATGATATAGTTAGAGAACAAAAGTAAGCCGCTGATCAACTTAGTTCGTGTTTCAAAGATCACTATTATTCAGCTGTCTATTTCTCCGTTGGAAAGCAATAAGTTTCAAAATCGAACATGGCTCTCGAAGTGAGTAAGGAGCATTATCATTATGGCACACATGCAAAAACTCACAAAAAGCAACAAAAGGATCCCGATAACAAAATTCTAACAATATGAAAATATGATATTACAAGCAGAGTCACAGTTTACTTTATGAAACAATATTTTTGTAAAGCTTATAAAGTGTGTGTTTTCCATAAAATACTGTAGTTTTGGAATCTAGGCAAGCAATCAAAGTTTTTCACTTTTTGTCGTCAAAAGTTTTGACACTTCGGAAGCATGATTCACATTTCTTTATGAGAATCTCAAGAACTTCGACTTCAAATTTCATGAAAATTACGCCATTGTGTAGATAACATATTGCTCTTTAATCTGCCTTAGAATGCTCTCAATGATGTTTGTAATAGCACGGTAATTACCTTATAGTAGACGCCGTTTCGGCCGCAAACTTCGACTTGTAAATCCTCCATCTTGAATAATCGTGACGTAACTGGGAAATCCGAGCGATTTTATGTCACTTTTCTGTAAATGCCATACTTCTGATATCTAAAAATATTGCTTAGATTTCAAATAATTGTAATAGAATGTTTATTAGAACTTATGTGGTGTTTAAACGTATGTGTGTACTTTAAATTCAGCGAGATTTGACGAGAGTTTATTTTTACAGACCGGAAGTAGGCCTTACATCGAAAATAAATTTTTCAGACTTTCTAGAGTGATACGTTTGTAACAGTTAGACACTTGAGAAGATGGCACTGTCGTCAGATAGTGAGAGTGAATGCTTCTTTGATGCCGAGGACGCATCTCCAGCTCGAATAACCAGGTAAATAAAGAGAAAATATAAAAATAAATGTATCTTTGGTCAAATAAAATTTTGCTGCAGTCTGAGTCTCACAGACTGAGCACAATAGAAGAAGTCAATAGAAAGGCTTGACTCAATAAGCATATAAAGTAAACCTTGTGAGACTGAGTCTGAGTGTTGTGATATCACCCGGGGATTTCCCAAAGTACTCTATATTTCGAACAGTGCAAGAAGTCAAATAATATCTCCTTTCTCGTACAAAGGCGGCATTTTCGGCCACAGGCGTTCCCAGACAAACCCTTGGCACCAGGGGAAATTCTTGGGCACTTTTAGATCCAATACAATTTACATCACCATATCGATAAAACGATGTGTCTAATCATGGGCTTTCAATTAGAAGGGTAAGCAACTCTGTGTAATAACATGAGACGTTCAAAATGAGCAATGCCAGCTACCCTTTTATGGTAATATATCAAAAAGAATTAGATAAATATATATGTTTTAGTATTATTTTGAATAAAAATCAATTTTCAATATGATTAAGCATAAGAAAGATATATTCAATATCATGTAAAAGTAAACAAAAAAGACCAATAAGGATAAGAGTATTCGAGTATTGCCTTGTGGGTAATTATTCAAGAACACATTCCAATAAAAACATAATTTGTGAGAGAATGTTCATTTTCTGCATTGTCATAATTATGATGAATTCCATTTTTTATTAATTATCAACATGTATTTAGATAATCATGTTTTTGTTTTTGAATTATTCCTGGTAGAGCCCATGGTAATTTGAAGTTTCAATAAAGGAATCATATAAAACAAAGATTTGTTGAAGATGGTCCGACTTAATGCCCCTGTCCGGGATTCCCCTCTGAACTAAATCACCTCTAGAACACTCCTTGGACCTACACAGTGCCCCTAGAGGGGAGAGTGTCAGAATGTCAGAAAACATATTTGTAAATGATGTCACTGTTGTCAGTTTGTTGTACTTTTTAAACCACACACACCAGAACAGAACCGAAAAGAAACCCCTCGTCCTACAATCAGAAAAGTTTTTTCTGACTACTTTGATCATTGAAAATAAGACTTAACCAAAGAGTGTCTATCATTTACATTCTAGAAGTAAGTAAACATTCATTATTGTTAGTACCTCAGTGTAAATACTCGCATCTGATTGGTCAATTAGCGGTCAACATTTTTGCCTGTACCTCACTTGTGCATTATGGGATATCATATTATTGACCGCGTATGTTACTGTACTACACTTGTGAATTATGGGAAATATGACGTCACAATGTTTACAGAAAAAAACATGGTAGTCGGACATTTTGTACACGTTGGTGAAAGTGATATTTTGACTTTTCTACACGGCGAGTATAGCAACAATACAAATAGAATCGCAAAATTAACATTAATTTTCTGGTGAGTACGCAGTTATGTGCCGAAAACAGGGAGTTTAGCTTCCACTGTCTTCAGATTTTCTTAAAAATTATTGCTGGCGTGGTTCATAGAAAAGATTGTGAAATGAAGCCATGATTGATGACTGTCGTATATATGAGTATTATTAGTTTCTTCTGACTAACAAAACAATTGTAGACCTCTCCATTCGGTTAACCGTCAAAATCATATACCTCGACTGTAAACCTTGAAACACTGTTGACCTCGACCTTCGGTCTCTGTCAACAGTAGCTTCTCGGTTTACAGTCTCGGTATACAATTTTGCCGGTTGACCTCTGGAGAGGTCAACAATTGTATAATGTAACTCTATCAGTGTTATTTTGTCAAACATGAAGCATAAGCACAATGTTTAATAGAAATAAATATTATATTAATCGTTTTTCAATTTTCCATTTATCGAGTAGAGGCAATCTGCGTAAGGTTTTGCTCAAAGCACAAATAAAAAAGACTTCATTCAGAAATCGTACTGTATCTAAATGTTCAAATATAGTTAAAAGTGACTAACGTGTGTGCAATGTTGTGCATGCATGCTCAAAATAAAGTGAACCAAAAATCCATTTCACATTGTGTATCAAAACTTGTGGAATTCATGAAGAATCAAGTCCATTTTACATTTCATTTTATATCAGTTGGACATTGTACTTATGCTCAATGGGTAATGCAACAACGTCTATATACAGATGGATGTTTACTTACTTCTGGAAGGTTAGTGACAGTCTCATTCTTAAAGCTTTGAAAGCTTTAAAATATCGATTCTTGTATTCTTGTATCATTGATTCTCATTTGTCATTGAGGTAATACTGCCAAAGTGACCTCTTTCTTAACATTGATAGAAATTATCATTCAAATTGGCCTTGCACTCAGAGCTAGACAAAGAAAGCTCACATAAATAGCCATTTGCTGAGTCTACTCAACTGAACATATAAGTTACCCAACTGAAATAAGATAACCTCAGGTCAGGAGAGCATTAAGCTGCATGCATGACTTCCTCCCTTCATAAAAAGAATATTATCACAATTTTCTGGACTCAAACATTTACTTAGCAAAATAATTTATTGAAATAAAAGTAGCTGAAAAAGATTGTAAAACACTTTCAATCCTCAGTCTAAACATAGCTTTTAAAGGTTTCAACAGCCAACATTTAGCAGATGTAGCATCAACTAACATATAGATCTATGTCTTCATTCCACAAGATAAAGTAAGAATCACTTTTTCCATGTGTCAAAGCAATCAAAGTACCACATTGCAATAGTACAAGGGGTGATCAACAAATAACGCAAATAGAGCCCTATCTCAGAAACTAATCGGAGTTAGAGCACTAAACTTGATACATAGTATCACCAAACATTCATTAATATTTCCCAAAAATTTCAGGCAAAAACATTGGTATATGTCAAAGTAACAGTTACTATAGTAACCAATGGTATGGATACCTGAAGCAGGTTTTATATATTAAGTAACAATATTGATTTAGCATATGGCAACCTATGTCATGGGCATCTGGAGTACCTCAAATATAAGATGTCACAATCTTTTTAATAATCATTTTTCATGCTCATAACTACTGCCCAGTTCTTAGCAGTTATGTCCCTATCATTGAATATATGCCTAAGGTCTGTCACCAATATAGCCCGAGCTTGCATATATTCAATGATACGGACATAACTGTTGTATTACATACTTTTATATCATGGCTACGTTATATCAATGACGCCACGTGTCTGTGTGCGAGTGAAATTAGGAAGAAATGAAACATGACGTCCCGATGACATCATAAGATTGTCATGGTAAAAGGTTTGGCGGCTATACAGGAATATATAGCCAACCTTCAGCTCCATTGACTTCAATACAAATGCTTCGCTGGGTATGTAATACATTTAAATAGTGACAGTTTCATCAACCATAACCAGTTGCTCTACTTCTTTAATCTCTGCTGTGTATGTTGTTTTTGGAGCACCTATACGCGAAGCATCCTCAGCGGATCTTCTTGGCTTTTCAGTAATCGTTCTGTAATGTACCATCTGTAGACATTGCTTTGTCCGTTTTTATCACCAAATGACTTTGAATTCTTTAGTATCTCTTAAGTTTTTTGCGATGACATTTCATTCAAATAACAGCATTATATCAGTTCTTTCTGTCTTCTATGGAGATCTGAAGTTCTTAATTCAACCATTTTCAGTATGGCTGACTTGACTTTGATTTCCTCAATATGCCTGTGTTTTCTGTCATCCAATCGTTGGATATCGACAAGTCACATGTATGGTGAAAACTTATTGTTGTGTAGGTATAATGACATCATGATTAAAAGTAGATCACATTAATTGAGAGAAACTTTTCAGAATTGATTTACACCCAAATAACATCAAATCTGTATGACTTAATGGTGTTTTTCAAACTCATTTTGGTGAAGCGTTCTTATTGTTATGATTCACGACCTGCTTCAGGTGCCCATACCACAGGTTGCTATGGCAACCGTTACTCCGACATAAAGTTATATACGTGCCTAAAATTTTGCCTAAATAATAATGAATGTTTGGTGATACGATGTATCAAATTTGGTGTTGTAACTCTATTTAGTTTCTGAGATAGGGCTCTATTTGCGTTATTTGTTGATCACCCCTTGTAACTTGTATATTTCAGATAAATTATTGGCCATAGTTTCATTTGCGGTAAACTTGTGGCCTTTTATAATTTAGGGAGTTTCAACCATGACATATTTTTCGTAAATATGCTGTATCAGGGCCCAGGCTAGGCTAAAACTTTTTGGAGATTAGATCTTGACAACGAGGAGTATGCTGCATTTTCATTTGGTAATCTTAACAACTCAGTTTATTCAATGTCATGATCCCCCAGTAAATATCATATTGACCCTGGTTATGAAACCAATATTCAATCCACTCCAGTATATAACCTCTATTAAACTGGTTTACAATAGTTATACCATGTTTCTTGTACTTTTAGTGAGGATGCTGCTGAAATAAGAGCAAGGCTGGTAAGTAAATGTAGTTAAAGATTACAATTAATACAACGTGTTATATACTTTACTCTGTTGTCAAGTAATTTAGTATCACTATTGCTACATCACTCAATCATTTATCTCAAGTCAGATATCCCTTTTGAGACAGGGGTTTAGCATCACTATTGCTATGTTATCTCAAATTTAACATCAGTATTTCTGAAATACTGATGTCAGATAGAGCTTGCAGAAGGCCTTCTAAACCTCAGCAGTGCACAATAACTTTTAATTTCAATGACAAACATGTGTTGCGTCTGTCCTCTAGGCCAGCTCTCCTACTACTATGCTGGAGGAGGCAGAGAAGAAGCTGCTTGAAGCCAAACGTATTGCAGATGAACGCAGAAGAAAAGAAGATGAGGAGATTGAAAAACAACTTGAAGAATTAGAGAAAAAGAAAGAAGAAGCGAAACAAAAGAAAATAGAAAAGCAACAGAAACTAGTAAGTTGTGGTAGCAAGCCAATTCGGTAAAACCTAAAAAGACCTGAATACAACTATCAGACATGTATGTAAAAATGTTCAAGCTTACATGCATATAAGCTATAAGTTAGGCATAAGCTATTAAACTCCCATCACAAATGTAAACTGAATTTATAAAAGTAGTTGTAATTCAGAAAGGTTATATAAAGGATCCAAACGTTGGTCTTCAATGAAAGACTTGTCAAACCAAAGTGAATATGTGTGCAATGGAAAGAATACAAAATGAATTTTTTTACAAAACAGTTTTGTATGCTTAGACTGAGGGTCCTAGCTTTTCTCATAATATTTCAACTCTACGACATAATTTTCAGGCGGCTGAAAAAAGAGCAACAGAAAATGAAAAAAGGCGGAAAAAATTAGATGACATGCGACGTATGATGTCAGACAATCCTTCACCCGAGACATCAAGTGATAGGCCTCCTCCTAAACCTCCAAGGCTAGATACTGGTCAAGGTGAAGGTGAAACATCAACCCAGGTTAACAATATATCTGAAACTGACCCAGATCAAACTTGTGTTATGGAACTTGTCAATGATAATAATAGCAATAGTGTAAAAATCGACAACACAACTGAGAGCCAAGGTCAATGTGAAGGCCATGAGGTCATGGTGACCAACATTTCGCCTGAATCTAGCAAAGATAACACAATAAGAAGAAACTTAAATATATCCCTGGAGGAGAATGAACATGAAAAATCACTATCCAATAGTAAAAACTTTGCTGATTTGACAAACAGTGAATCAAAAGTTATTGAGAATAAACTCAGTGAGTCAGAGCCAGATTTAGTGCAGTGTGTAAACCCTCCAAGAGTAGCAGACGGCCCCACAGGACCAGTGGCTCCACCTAGGAGGAAAAAGAAACCAAATGATAGAAATTCAGCTGAGGTAATATTTCTGAATATAATATACGAGGGTGGGCCTATTCAAATGTAATATGATGCACCTTCTGAGCACCTCTGTCTATTCAGAACTGATTTTCAAAATGACTGTTGGTACCATATTAACCCCTATCCCCTTCCCACCCCTTTTTGACTAAATCCCTTCCCATCCCCTAGTCCTTTCCTAATCCCTTCCCACACCTAACCCCATCCCCTAGGCAACCACTTACCCTTCCATTGCCCGACTCCATTGTCCATCCTGTGACCATCCCTTTGCTTTGCCCACCCCTTGTTTAAATACCATCCCTGGCAATACAATTACAAAAAGCACAACTTTTAAAGTTGGAATTTCACCATACTAAAAGTAGTAATATGTAATGGGATTTATAAATTAATATCATTTATTGCTTATTCCATATAAAGTCAAAATGGATTCAGCATTCAATCAATCATACTTATTTCTTGAACATGTATGATGAGGTGAAAAATAATGCAAATAAACTTGTATAAAAAGGCCAATTAAGAGGATTGAAGGTGCCGAAAATATCCAAAACCGGGTAGATGTATTAAGCAGATTTAATCTGTCTTAAATGTATCTAAAGAAGTCTTTAGCATTTGGATTTAATCACTCCTGACTATTAGAAGAGTTAGAAGAATTGTAATCCTGGCCAAGTCTAGATTGGAGGTTGATGTATATTGAAGCAGTAGATGTGTCACTGTATTCATATTGCTACACATTTTTGCAAGGGAATTGTTGACTGATATAATACTTAATGAAAGACTTAATTGTATTAGTAACTGCTATACCAATGAAGGAACTCTCACCAGGTTAACTTTTAATACCATGTGAATTGGAAAGGGGGCATATTATTGACAAGATAACCTTATAAATCAAGGGAATGTCCTTATATCAAGTCAGAAATGTTGTCACTTTTTAGGAGATAGACACAACATAGACCCTGTGCCCTGAAAACTGTTCTCTGTACTCTCATATCGTCTATATCCCTTCTTGTTTCTATGTTAAGCCTTTTCAACTATGTGCATATATATACATACATATTTTGTTTATAGGGGGTATCCCTGACTTCAGAGAGTGAACCTAGTCAACCACTCGCTACCCCTACCACCACAGTGTTCAGTCTAACCAAAGAGCTAGAACACTCCTTGGACCTACACAGTGCCACTAGAGGGGAGAGTGTCATTAGTACAGAGGTGAGTCTAACCAAAGAGCTAGAACACTCCTTGGACCTACACAGTGCCACTAGAGGGGAGAGTGTCATTAGTACAGAGGTGAGTCTTAAACCAAAGAGCTAGAACACTCCTTGGACCTGCACAGTGCCACTAGATGGGAGAGTGTCATTAGTACGGAGGTGAGTCTAACCAAAGAGCTAGAACACTCCTTGGACCTACACAGTGCCACTAGAGGGGAGAGTGTCATTAGTACAGAGGTGAGTCTAACCAAAGAGCTAGAACACTCCTTGGACCTACACAGTGCCACTAGAGGGGAGAGTGTCATTAGTACGGAGGTGAGTCTAACCAAAGAGCTAGAACACTCCTTGGACCTACACAGTGCCACTAGAGGGGAGAGTGTCATTAGTACAGAGGTGAGTCTAACCAAAGAGCTAGAACACTCCTTGGACCTACACAGTGCCACTAGAGGGGAGAGTGTCATTAGTACGGAGGTGAGTCTAACCAAAGAGCTAGAACACTCCTTGGACCTACACAGTGCCACTAGAGGGGAGAGTGTCATTAGTACGGAGGTGAGTCTAACCAAAGAGCTAGAACACTCCTTGGACCTACATAGTGCCACTAGAGGGGAGAGTGTCATTAGTACAGAGGTGAGTCTAACCAAAGAGCTAGGACACTCCTTCGACCTACACAGTGCCACTAGAGGGGAGAGTGTCATTAGTACAGAGGTGAGTCTAACCAAAGAGCTAGAACACTCCTTGGACCTACACAGTACCACTAGAGGGGAGAGTGTCATTAGTACAGAGGTGAGTCTAACCAAAGAGCTAGAACACTCCTTGGACCTACATAGTGCCACTAGAGGGGAGAGTGTCATTAGTACGGAGGTGAGTCTAACCAAAGAGCTAGAACACTCCTTGGACCTACACAGTGCCACTAGAGGGGAGAGTGTCATTAGTACGGAGGTGAGTCTAACCAAAGAGCTAGAACACTCCTTGGACCTACACAGTGCCACTAGAGGGGAGAGTGTCATTAGTACGGAGGTGAGTCTAACCAAAGAGCTAGAACACTCCTTGGACCTACACAGTGCCACTAGAGGGGAGAGTGTCATTAGTACGGAGGTGAGTCTAACCAAAGAGCTAGAACACTCCTTGGACCTACACAGTGCCACTAGAGGGGAGAGTGTCATTAGTACGGAGGTGAGTCTAACCAAAGAGCTAGAACACTCCTTGGACCTACACAGTGCCACTAGAGGGGAGAGTGTCATTAGTACGGAGGTGAGTCTAACCAAAGAGCTAGAACACTCCTTGGACCTACATAGTGCCACTAGAAGGGAGAGTGTCATTAGTACGGAGGTGAGTCTAACCAAAGAGCTAGAACACTCCTTGGACCTACACAGTGCCACTAGAGGGGAGAGTGTCATTAGTACAGAGGTGAGTCTAACCAAAGAGCTAGAACACTCCTTGGACCTACATAGTGCCACTAGAGGGGAGAGTGTCATTAGTACAGAGGTGAGTCTAACCAAAGAGCTAGAACTTATTTGACACTCAGTGCCATTAAAGGAGAAAATGTTGTTACGTACAAAGGAAAGTCTGACCAAGGATCAAGACCTATTAATACTCCCAAATTTAAAGCTTTTAAGTGTTTTAATGGTAAATAGTGTGGAGATAATGTTATTGTGTTTCAATTTGTTTAGACAAAATATCAATAATTATTATATCACTATCTAGCTAGCGACAGTATGATTGGTCAAAACCGGGTCACATGTCGTGGGATATCTGGCGATATTCAATGGCAATGCTAATCAGATAAGACAACCGTGAGATATCTAGCGATATCCCATGCTCCCGGGAATTTTCAAAGAATTTGTTTTCGTTCAGTGTAAACAATTTAGTTCAGTGTAAGTCAAAATGGCAGACGAACCGAGTAGATTCGTAAAAATATATATATTTCAATGTTAACCTATGACTTAATAATATTAGGGATGTTTAGCTAGACAGTGATATAAAAAAACAAATATTTCACTCTATTTTCGGTGAATACCTGTAGCACTTTCACAAGGTGATATTCCACTTGCCCTTCGGGCTTCGTGGAATATCACTTGTGAAAGATGTACAGGTATTCACCTCAATAGAGTGAAATATTTGTTCAATATGCTTAACTCCTATGTTTACAAGTTGTTGTTCAATTTCCAAATAGGTAGAGCTACACTTACATGTAATGTTGTTAATGGTTGCTATGATGACATGGTTGCTATGGTTTTTAAGGTTGCGGATGCTGCAGCTCCCGAAGCCAATACATCGGAGGATCACCATGGTGATCAGGGTGAGAAGGATAGATCAGATGAATTCCAACTAGTTGTACGTAATTTAGACACGGGTGAGATGATGCCAGTAGATGTAATAGAAGAGACACTTGCCAGGCAGGCCCAGGCAAAAGCAAAACCAGGTAGACTTACCGTATATCCATCTAAAATCTGGGATGATGGTCATTGCTCTCAGATCTATGTGTGGTTTGTATTTTTCACAAGCTGGTATTATATTTACAGTATATGTTAAGATCCAGTTCATGCAGAACTGAGACACTCAATAACTCTGTTTAAGTCAAAAATGCAAAATTCACAATTTCTGGTGCTGTTTTCAGTACCACAATACAATTTTCAAAACATTCTTCCATTGGTAGCTTTCCATCATTTGTAGACTGCATTAACCAAAGTATTGTATATTACAGGCTCTTTAGATGGTAATCTGACACTAGAAGCAGCAACAAACATCCATTCACCAAACTCAAAGTCAAATTCTCTTCCAAGACCACGCTCAAATTCTGGCAGGTTTTTATCAGATAAGGTAATTTTATGTGTTATTTAATCTAATAGATCAAAACCTGATCATATTAGGGCATCTAAATTTTCAAAGAAGAGTGAGTTTTTCCATCATACACACAGAGGCTCACTTTAAATGTGTTTGCACTGTAGGGGGGGGGGGTTATGTGGTAATAATGCATAACAACCCTTTATCTCTATATACATGTTGACATTTACACTTCGATCATGAGTTCCATGATTCAATTATACATGGTGTTTATGTAGGAAATCTTGGAGGCAATCACTGTGTTAAATCTTGACACTGGAGAGATCATTCCATTGAGTGTAGCAGAGGAGAAACTGCCCCAATGTGTCAACCCCATGGCTTTACATATTATGAGGCGTACCAAAGAGTACTCAAGGTAAGCAGAATCGATTCACCTGATAGACACAATATTGTAAAAGCTTGTAAAATTTTTCATGTTTGGAGTATGTATTGCGATTAGAGTACAGTACATGTATTGATAGACATTTATAGCTTTAATATACTATTTTGGCAACAGAGGATGTGATTATAACCCTTATGATTGTTTAAATTTTGTAATTTGCAATAACTTAATAAGAAGTATACTTTATTGTGAACACATTGACAACATGTTTCCATGGCAATGAATAGTAGAATAGTGATTACTCTTAAAACTGGTTGTAATATAGCAACAATAAATTGAGAAAAATCTTGAGCATAGTAAACCATTGTATTTGTTTAATATGTTCCAGTGGGTCAAGTTTGCACCGTGAGCGCCAAAGTGACGATGATGATGATGAGGATCATGGGAAATTACATGCAGCTGCAATGAAAACTGGAAAGGAAGTGAAGAAAAAAACGTAAGATTCAAGTCTTCCAAAATACTATTCAAGGGGCTATAAAGTAATCTTTGTTGGAGCATTCTCGTTAAAATATAATCATAAACAGTTACTATTTCATGGCTGTAATATTATTAACTTGCATTAAAATACGTTATTTTTATAATCTGAATGAATGATTCTTATTCCAGGATAAAAATCAAGAAATTCTTGGGGAAAACTGTCAGTAAGATCAAGTCTAAAGCTGATGAAGGTAAACTTTCTTACTTTATTATATTTATGTACCGAATATATTAATTGAGATAAAATAGACAGTAGGTACCTGTAGGCTTCTCTTATTAAGATATACTAGACTCTACACATTGAGATGAAGTAGACAATAAATATTGAGGCACAGTAGACTTGACACATCAATTGAGATAAAGTAGACGATACAGTCTACACATTAATAAGACAAGATAAACTAAATTGTTTCCTTAAAATTGTGTGACTGGTCTCAACCAATGGGTAGGCTCAGCCATGACCATATGGTTCACTCCAAAAATATATCTGAAAGAACAGGTTTGTTGTTTTTAGTTCTCCATGACGACAGCTCATCTGATGAAGAAGTGATAGATGGCAAACTTGCATTCTATAAGGTAACAAAATACGCATACACATTCCTAGCAGGCATTTAATCAATTACAGCTTTTCTTGTTTTCAAACCTTTTATTTACTGTGTGTGTCATACTGGGTGAATTAACTGCTTACATTCTGCTGGAATCATTTAACATGTTACTAATAATACTTACAGAATTGTGATAGAACTACAAGTTGATGCATGAACACGAATCTCATGATGCTTGATACTATATTTATTTAACATGATCATTTTAACACTAACATTTCAAGTCAAAGTGCATGTACATTTAAACCATCATGCCTTTTGGACCTTAAACATTTTCCTTTTTTGAATCTTAAACATTTTCCTTTTTGAATCTTCTGGAGCTTTTTGAGTTTCTCTATTTTTCAATACTTGAGCTGTCCAGAATATTTAATTTCTAGTCTGCCACTGGTAGTACAAGTAGTTTGAAATCCACCAAGAGTTTGAAACATGGTGTCTCGAAAGCCACTCTCTCCCGGAGACAGTCCAAATATTATGGGAGCTCTAATGAGCTGATATTTGAGGTATTTCTCTCTAGATTAGGAGTGGTATGGAATGGAGAAAATATAACTGGTACTTTGAGAGTTCACAATATAGAGAAATCTTTGCAATTTGTTTCTCCCCAATTCTGTTCCATTCCATGCCAGCTCTAATGCTGTAGGAATATGAACACAACCCACTCATTTACTATGCACTATGCCGCATAGAATATTCCCAGTAAGGCCATTCTTCTATTCTAGTTAGGTAGTTTATCTCAAAGGTGGATCTTTGCATGACACTGACCTGACCACAAAGCTTTCCTAAGTCAATTTATCTATATAACCCTTGTGTTCATTGAGATATGATCTTTATACTTTCTGCATAGATACTCACAAATCTTCACACTCTGCATGATATTCCCAAAGCTTGACACTTTTTGCATAGATGCTCATATTTTATGACACTTTCTGCATAGATGCTCATATATTATGACACTTTCTGCATAGATGCTCATATTTTATGACACTTTCTGCATAGATGCTCAAATATTTTGACACTTTCTGCATAGATGCTCATATATTATGACACTTTCTGCATAGATGCTCATATACTTTGACACTTTCTGCATAGATGCTCATATTTCATGACACTTTCTGCAAAGATGCTCATATACATGTATTATGACACTTTCTGCATAGATGCTCATATTTTATGACACTTTCTGCATAGATACTCATATATTATGACACTTTCTGCATAGATGCTCATATTTTATGACACTTTCTGCATAGATGCTCATATTTTATGACACTTTCTGCATAGATACTCATATATTTTGACACTTTCTGATTTAATGCTTAATATTTTGATACTTTCTGCATAGATGCTCATATATTTTGACACTTTCTGATTTAATGCTTATATATTTTGACACTTTCTGCATGGATACTCATATATTTTGACACTTTGTGCATTAGATGCTCATATATTTTGGTACTTTCTGCATAGATGCTCATTGCTCATATATTTTGACACTTTCTGATTTGATGCTTATATATTTTGACACTTGGCATGGATGCTCATATTTTTTGACACTTTCTGAATTGATGCTCATATATTTTGACACTTTCTGCATAGATTCTCATATACTTTGACACTTTCTGCATGGATGCTCATATATTTTAACAATTTCTGAATTGATGCTGATATACTTTGACACTTTCTGAATTGATGCTCATATATTTTGACACTTTCTGAATTGATGCTCATATATTTTGACACTTTCTGAATTGATGCTGATATACTTTGAATTTTTCTGAATTGATGCTCATATATTTTGACACTTTCTGAATTGATGCTCATATATTTTGACACTTTCTGAATTGATGGTCATATATTTTTACACTTTTCGAATTGATGCTCATATAATTTGACACTTTCTGAATTGATGGTCATATATATTTACACTTTTCGAATTGATGCTCATATAATTTGACTCTTTCTGAATTGATGCTGGGCTTTCCCTTTTGCAAAGATTCTCCAAAGAATCAGATTTTCGTGAATTTATATTGCTCTGTAAATGTATCATTTTGGTTTCATATTTTTCTCCTTGAAATTAACCAATTAGACATTGGTAGGGCTACAATTGCCAAAATACCACACCTCATGAATTTGTAAATACCCTTGAATAATCTGCATACCAAGTGATATCAATTTTATTTGCATTGTTAAAACTTGTATTTCATTACTTTCAGATCAAAGCTTCCAGGAACAACAAAGGACCATATGACTTCTTTGGTATAAAACCTGTCCAGGATCTTGGAACTAATAATGTAAGTATGGAACAAGAGGGTTGGTTTGGAAATGAAATGAGACATTTATTCCATTCTGTGCCAGCCCTATGTAAAATGAATGGGTAAAACACAAGTTCATGTCACAACCAAGAAGTGACAATTATTGTAATGATCCTTTGAACCCACTGGGCTCAAGACATCATCCATACATTTAACCCTTTAATATATATGTCCAGCATCTGTATTAGAATTGTTACATTTTTGCAACTATTTGCAATAACTAAAAAAGGTTATGTTGAGAAACTTTATATGAAGCATCCTTTTATGTAACGGTATGTAGAGCCACTTGTGACATCACTGGTCTATAAACATCAACAACATGGCAATGGAAACACCCTTGCTATGAGTATCCATGCTCACTCTACAAAACTAAGCCGTGACGTCATAACAATGGAGTTTTATTGTCGTGTGTATCTAATAGTATGTATTTTCTACAATATTGTTATGACGTCATAACAATTGAAAGATGAAGTTCCATTAATCTGAAGCTATTTTCACCCAGTTTTGTCATGAAATCTTGAAATTATGGCATAATACAGAGTCATGAGAAAAACTTTCTTGTACTCATACCTGCGCAATATCTTTCATCCTTGACTCGCTTTGATAATGTTTCTTTATCTTGTCTGCGACTCGATAAAGAAGAATTTTCAAAGCTCATCAAGAATGGAAGATCTTGCACAGGTATTCACATAAGAACCTTTATATTATGTTTCAAGTATGAGCTTCAGATCAAATACATGTAGGTGTGCATGTGCATGCATAAATCTATAAGATACAATAGATATTTGATGATTTTCAGGGTGCTGTATGGACTATGAAGTTCTCACACTGTGGCAGGTTGTTGGTAAGTAAAAGTTGTTATAAAAACAAAATTGCCCGGTGACTTGTTTTCCTTGTATACAAATTGAGATGCCAAAAATTAGTTTCAGCAAGTAACGTTATTTAGCTTTGAAAGTTGTGAATAATTCATAAAGTTAAACTCCAAATATGGATTTTTTTGTGAATTATTTAGAAAATAGTAATGTATTATTTTAGGCCACAGGAGGACAAGATAGTGTTATAAGAATATGGGTGCTCAAAGATGCGTATGCCTACTTTGATGATATGAGGCAGAAATACAGTGAAAGTAAGCTATTTTGATCTCTTCATCATTGCGAATATTTCAAAAGCATGAAATTGATTTATTAGGGAAAGGGTGAAGAACTGTTGTCTGTTGGGGTTTAGTTATGTTAAGTCAGGTTATTTTAAAGTGAGTACAAGTAATAGTTATATTATACCAGGTAAGCCATAGAACCCTTTAATATAATCATCCTCTGAAGTCACTGGGCTCAAGACATCATCCACACATTTAACCCTTTATATAATCATCCTCTGAAGGCACTGGGCTCAAGACATCATCCACACATTTAACCCTTTAATACAATCATCCTCTGAAGGCACTGGGCTCAAGACATCATCCACACATTTAACCCTTTAATATAATCATTCTCTGAATGCACTGGGCTCAAGACATCATCCACACATTTAACCCTTTAATATAATCATCCTCTGAAGGCACTGGGCTCAAGACATCATCCACACATTTAACCCTTTAATATAATCATTCTCTGAACGCACTGGGCTCAAGACATCATCCACACATTTAACCCTTTAATATAATCAATCTCTGAACGCACTGGGCTCAAGACATCATCCACACATTTAACCCTTTAATATAATCATTCTCTGAACGCACTGGGCTCAAGACATCATCCACACATTTAACCCTTTAATACAATCATCCTCTGAAGGCACTGGGCTCAAGACATCATCCACACATTTAACCCTTTATATAATCATCCTCTGAAGGCACTGGGCTCAAGACATCATCCACACATTTAACCCTTTAATATAATCATCCTCTGAACGCAGTGGGCTCAAGACATCATCCACACATTTAACCCTTTAATATAATGATCCTCTGAACGCACTGGGCTCAAGACAATATCCACACATTCTTTCATTCTACCAGAAGAAAGAGGTTGTTCTGGAGGCCTGTGTTTGGAGGATAATTGTAATATAATATTCATTTGTTTGTTTCACTGTAACTGATGCTCACTTCTTTGTAATATTATCTAGGTAAAGTGTCCCCTGCACCTTCTCAGGAAAGTCTAGGCTCAATGTCAGAAACTCACTCAGAAACAGCCTCATTATCAGATATTGGGGTAAGTTGATATTAATTTGTAAAATAAATTCTTGTAATATAGTTTATTTATTTGAATATCAATACAGGACAAAACATTATTGGTCATGTAATGAAAATATTTTGTTATAAGTACTGATGCTGAATCTTCAACAGATGGAGAACAATGCCACTGTTTTCAGTACCACTGCCCTGTGGAACTGGAATATATGAAAAGATTGAAGCATGGACTAAGATTTTATATTACTGCTTCTCTTGGCAAGTTCTTTCATTATATACTTGACCATGCTTCAATCTGATTCATAGATACACCTGTAAATGTTGATTTAGAGATCAGTTTCACAGTGCATGCATGTGCATGTCATAGCATTCAGTTTTGCCTGTTTCCTCACAATGGACCGAAGCTGTAAATTGATTCATGGTTTACCTTGATTTTATTTTGCATTTAGTCTTTCAGTTTCTTATCATACTACAATAATAATACATAATGATCAGGTCGGTAGGTACCCTGCTACATAATATAGTACAATATAATTAATTGTCAAATTGACAATAATTTGATTCGATGAACATATGCATGATTTAGGATGGAGATTCCGAGAGTAAGGCAAAAGAGACGAGCGTAGAAGAGGAAGAGGAGGTACTATATTGTATATGTATATTCAAGGAGAACTCTGGCATTTCTCTAATTTCATCACTAATATACACTGCATTTTCTCTAATCTTACAATCTTACATCACACTTTCAAGGATGGGGTCATACTGTATTTGCATTTTGGAAAATCTGTCCAGTGTGAACCCTAGCTTCATAATGGAACAGAATGTCCATTCAAGAATATATGGCCATACTGTGTAAGAATATCATACTGTGCTGTGTACAATTTATGCTCCAGACTTGTCACTGTATATGTGCCTATTGAAATCTAAAAAGTAAACTTCTGAAGACACAGATATGTTAACAAATCACTCAGTTAGGCAACATTCTGAGAAATGCCTTACACTCTTTTACAGTAGACACAAACAGCACCGCATCACAGATTCATGGATCTGGTTGCATGGGAAAGGGAAATCATGTGTGACTATCTTCCAAATCACTTTTTGGGGCTATTGGTATTTAACATTATTATGCACCTCATTAAAATACTCAAATCTGATTGGTTCTTAGTTGCTTGTAATTTGGCAATACTCTGCTCTTTTCTGAAAACTGCCGGATATTTTTTTAATATCTGACCCTTTCGAGAAAAAGGGTCGGATATTTTTTTCAATGTTTTTACAACATTCCCACTTCAGAGTTTTATTTCTTAATAACTAGAGTACTACTTAAAGCTTACATCTGAAACTGGCGGAAAATAGGAGAAAAAAATGCACTTAATCAATCACAATTACCCTTATAATTCAAAAGTTACATATAATTATGCAAGAACGTCTCGAATAAATAAAAATTAAATTCCCGGGGCAAATATTTTTGTCCAGTGTAGCGAATAAACTGGCCGGAAGTCGTCTGAGTTTTGAAAGAAAAAATAAATAAATGTCAAAATAATATCAACTAAACGACAGTTTAAGCCTGTACTCCAGTAAGTAGGGCTACTCCACTTAACTTTGATTGGGAGGTGCCGCCTCGCCCAATATTTTTTCTCGAATAGGTATTCTGCCATATCCAGCTCCTGATCATCCAGTATTTGTTTAGTATACATGTACTCTTTGACAGTATACACCTATGATTACCAGTTGCATTTGCTGCAATTGTAACTGTCGTGACATTTGGCATTGTTGGGCCTGAACTTTTTCTCTTCTTGATTTAATTGATTTTAACTTGTAGACCTATATTTCAAATAATTTCATTTAATATTTCAGGCTACTGGCTTTGGGGATTATGTAGAATTACATTAATATGTTTATTCTTAAGTGCACTTGAGCTAACTTTTGTAATGTCATTTTAATATTGGTTTTCATCTTCCCTTTTTCTTCTCTACTCAGATCTAAATCTAAACTATGTTGGTAACATCTACAACTGATTTTGTAAATAAATAACAGCTCCTAATTTACAAGTTATTACTTTTATGTTTGATATAATATCTCTGTGATTGTATTTGGGTAAGTTAGGAAAAACTGCCACAAGAGGCCTAGTGGTTTGTCAATTTTAGATTTTGAATAACTAGTTTAATTTCTGATTGTGGAAGAGGCTCAGAATAACGTAGATCAATTTCTGTTTTGTAGTAGTGACTCAAAATCAGAATGCATATTGTCTCAATTATATCACAAGGCTAATTGAATATTTGTTAATGCTAATATTTCTTTGGAAGTTTTGAAGCAGACAGACTGGCCACTTATGACTCTTATGTTAAAACAATTATTGTGACACCATGTATTTATAAAAATTCTTTTTATGTTTCAGGCTGTTGGTGGTGAGGAAGATGAAGATCGTCACGCACCATTTGTTAGAAAGCCATTTTGTATTTACCGTGGCCATACAGCGGATGTACTGGATATATCTTGGTCTAAGGTACTTTCAATTTCAGCTGTTGATCATAAAGAATTATTGTCTTACTTTAAATTGTCAATCATAAATAACACTGTCCTTTGAGGTCCATATGTCAAACAACATCATTTACACCATTTATACAATACAAAGCAATTACTTACTATCCTATATCTGATTATTATCCCATCGAACGAAATTCGGAGGGATATAGGGAACGCCTCCGTCCGTCTGTCTGAATTTATCTTTGTGGAAAGATTGTATGCTTCAGTTGCTCTTTAACAAAACATGTGGGACAGTGTATCTATATATTACAAGATGTCCGTACGTACGTCTGTCCGTCCGGGCAACAACTCAAATACTGTTGCCCGATTTTGTTCATATTTTGTACACATATACCCTATGGGGGTAGAAGTTCTGCTCGAAAGCTGATTTTCAAAATAGCCGCTCATTTAAAAATGGCGGCCATTTTAGTGCTGATTTTACAGTAGTTTAGGTGCAATATGTAAAACTGTAATAGCAATATGTTTTAAATGTAAAAAAATTATATAGGACATTAATAAAGCTAGAAATGTAGATATTAAAGAAGCACATGGCAGCCATCTTGAAAAATGGTGGCATTTACTCGTTATTTTACGATTTTTGCTGTAACTTTAAAAGTAGTGGAGTGATTTTGTTCATATTTGGTATGTGAATGCTATAAGCATGGCACACTGGTTAATGACAATTTTGGTAGAAGGTGGCCATTTTAACATAATTTACTATAACTCAAAAATTAGTGGAGCGATTTTGATCATATTTGGTATGTGAATACTATAAGCATGGCACACTGTCTAATGACAATTTTGGTAGAAGGTGGCCATTTTGCTGTTGTGTAGTTTAGAATTACTTTACAATATAGCCCATTCATATCCTAATTTTATCTAACTCCATCCGATCTTGGATGGATTTCTCATCCTAGATCGATTAGGTATCAGAATTAAAGTGCCTTTTCTGTTTTTCAGAATTACTTTGTCTTATCTTCCTCCATGGATAAGACTGTTAGACTGTGGCATGTGTCCAGAAAGGAATGCTTATGTTGTTTCCAACATATTGACTTTGTTACTGCCATAGCGTTCCACCCAAGGGTGAGCATACTCATTATATACTACATTCTCCCAACATATTGACTTTGTTACTGCCATAGCGTTCCACCCAAGGGTGAGCATACTCATTATATACTACATTATCCCAACATATTGACTTTGTTACTGCCATAGCGTTCCACCCAAGGGTGAGCATACTCATTATATACTACATTCTCCCAACATATTGACTTTGTTACTGCCATAGCGTTCCACCCAAGGGTGAGCATACTCATTATATACTACATTATCCCAACATATTGACTTTGTTACTGCCATAGCGTTCCACCCAAGGGTGAGCATACTCATTATATACTACATTATCCCAACATATTGACTTTGTTACTGCCATAGCGTTCCACCCAAGGGTGAGCATACTCATTATATACTACATTATCCCAACATATTGACTTTGTTACTGCCATAGCGTTCCACCCAAGGGTGAGCATACTCATTATATACTACATTCTCCCAACATATTGACTTTGTTACTGCCATAGCGTTCCACCCAAGGGTGAGCATACTCATTATATACTACATTATCCCAACATATTGACTTTGTTACTGCCATAGCGTTCCACCCAAGGGTGAGCATAACTTGTCTTTACATTCTTAATCTCAGGTCTATTGTATTGTAAGAACAAGTTATAGGTTATATTAATTCTTTTAACCTTGGTGTCATCCAGAAGTCACCAGAAGTGGTGACATATGGTGATAGTTTCCAACTGTGGATGGTGTTCGATGTTTGGCGGTCGATGTTCTGAGTTTGGTGTGACATTTTGCATGTTAATGCCTAGTTTTAATTTTGGCACTGAGCTCCTTGCTTATGAACATGTTCTTTAGACAAAATGTTTTGTTTTAAGCTGTACAAAATCATGTTCCTTTAGCATTAAATCACACCTAAATCATTGAGACTTGTGCTTGCTTAAAGTCCTTTAATATAGCTCAAAATTAGTGGTAAACAAGTCTTTATTCATGCAGGCCCATAGCAGAAAATTGAAAATTGTCAAATTCTATTGGACTTTTTTGAAAACTGAACCCCCTTGGCAAAAACTGGCTACTGGCCTTAGAACTGACACTATTGATGTGCTTTCTATCACAATACTGAAGATTCCTTTCTCACTTCAGGATGACAGGTATTTCCTGAGTGGATCCCTAGATGGTAAGCTAAGACTCTGGAACATTCCCGACAAGAAGGTGGCGCTGTGGAATGAAGTGCGTGATGGCTCAACGCGGCTCATTACAGCCGCAAACTTTTGTCAAAATGGAAAATTTGCAGTAGTAGGCACTTATGATGGGAGGTGTATATTCTTTATAACTGAGGTGAGTTTACTAGAATTATCAGTCTAGCCTTGCTTCGTGACTCTGGACCCCCTTCCCCTTGTAGTGGTGGTGTTGTGTAATGTTGGGGGTTCCCAAAGGTGTGTAGCGAGACAACTGTCAGTTATTTATTGGTTCACTTTGATTCATTATAAGCTGTATTCAAAAATTGCCACTTGTGACCATATTCAATACCTCATTACTCCTACTCAAATTTTAATATTTCAAAATGTGATGCAATATTCGATGGAGAATATTTCAGAATGAATTTGCAGGCCCCCTTAAAGAATCTGAATCTACCTTTTCCAGTAATTATCCGAACTTCCCTCATTTTGAGTTATTTTTTGCATTATTTCAATAATTTATCGTTTTTTTGATTACCTAAGATATTTCAGGTACATGTAAAGATAGAAATATATGAGATCTATAACTTTATCTTGATTAATAAAGACTAAGAATATAAAAAAACGATCTATTAGATGGGCGATAATGTTTGCACTTTGCAAACAAAAGATGACCATTAAATTGACGATGTGTAAAATTTACAGAACTTTTTGATGACTGGTTTAAGAGAAACGTGTGTTCAAAAAGTTCACCATATCGATACCCATCCTTTGGAAATTTTCATCAAATTCATTGTTAAGTGGCACCAAAATCGGGAAACCCCTTCATGATAAAGCACTTCTATGGATACATATAGAACTAATAGAAACCTAATCTTAAAATCTTAAAATGCCGAACACTTTTTCAGTACACCAAACTACATATGGCAGGATATTTTTATTATAACAGGTTCATTTTGTGTTTCTGTGTGATACCTTAAATAGTCTTCTGACAGGCCAGCCATGAGCTTCTTAATTATTGAATTGATAAAACAATCGACTGGCAATATTTGCACAGGGAGGTCAGGAAGTGCTTTGAAATATCAATAAGTACTGCAGATAAGTGATGCCCTTACAAAGGATTCATCTGGATTGGAACAAAACAACACATACATGTATGGAAACATTTACACAGTTTATTGCATACATGTATTTAGAAATCTCACATTTGATTTCAATTAAGGATATAATAATTATACTATTTCTGAAATGGTTTTCCTCCCTCTCTATGATGTTTGATAAGTTTGTACACATGCAAACAAGCAGTGAGTAAATATACCATTTGCAAGGTTAGATCAATATCTGATGTGATAAATTAAATATTCAAATGAAAAACAAACACTTCAGCATCATGTATTAATTTATCTGAGCAGTGTGTAAGGTAGGAGATATAGCTCAGTGGTAGAGCATTCGACTGCAGATCGAGAGGTCCCTGGTTCAAATCCGGGTGTCTCCTTCAGTTTTTTCAGATCAGATATTTTAGAATTTGTATTTCAAGGGCTATAATTTTATTATTTTCATAATATGTATTGGTGTTGTCAATTTTTTCAAATTGAATCTGCTCGATTTGATATATGATGCAATACCTTCCGTGTTTATATTGCTAAGGTTAAGACCCTTTTTAATGCAAATAATATAATGAATATTTCAGAAAAATGCGCAAATGGCGTAACTAAGAATTACCAGTATATAAAAAATGCCAAATATCATAGTGTTATGATTTTTCAAGAGATCCTAGAATGATTGAATCAATTATGCAGAAATTATGACAGATGTAATGTTTTTATCGTACCTAACAAGAGGTACGATATTGTAGTCAGCTTGACGGGCGGCGGGCGGGCAGGCGGCGTCTCGCTTTTCAGCTTGTCTACAGGTTTCCAGCCAAACCATTTGAGGGATTCATCTGAAATTTTCAGGGATGTTTCTACATATCAAAGTCAAGAACTGATTAGTTTTTGGGCATTCTGGGTAAATTTTAAGGTGGCCATTTTGGATTTTCCGTCCTAAAATCTTCACTTTCAAGACTTGTCTACAGGTTTTCAGCCAAACCATTTGAGGGATTCATCTGAAATTTTCAGGGATGTTTCTACATATCAACGTCAAGAACTGATTAGTTTTTGGGCATTCTGGGTAAATTTTAAGGTGGCCATTTTGGATTTTCCGTCCTAAAATCTTTACTTTCAAGACTTGTCTACAGGTTTCCAGCCAAACCTTTTGAGGGATTCATCTGAAATTTTCAGGGATGTTTCTACATATCAACGTCAAGAACTAATTAGTTTTTGGGCATTCTGGTTAAATTTTAAGGTGGCCATTTTGGATTTTCTGTCCTAAAATCTTCACTTTCAAGACTTGTCTACAGATTTTCAGCCAAACCATTTGAGGGATTCATCTGAAATTTTCAGGGATGTTTCTACATATCAACGTCAAGAACTGATTGGTTTTTGGGCATTCTGGGTAAAGTTTAAGGTGGCCATTTTGGATTTTCCATCCTAAAATCTTCACTTTCAAGACTTGTCTACAGGTTTCCAGCCAAACCATTTGAGGGATTCATCTGAAATTTTCAGGGATGTTTCTACATATCAACGTCAAGAACTGATTAGTTTTTGGGCATTCTGGGTAAATGTTAAGGCTGCCATTTTAGATTTTCCGTCCTAAAATCTTGTCTCGAGGCTTGTCTACAGGTTTCCAGCCAAACCGTTCAAATTTTTATTACATATGTTACACAGTGATAAGTTCTAGAGCTGATTAACTTTTTCTGCGGCCATCTTGCTTTCTTGGTCAACAAGACCACAATGCTGTGTTTTAGGTACGATATTGTTCACGTCTGTGCCTTGTTCTCCTATTTTGGCAATGTTAAATAGTGTTATTGTGACAGCCATTGATTTCGAAAATCATAGCAAACTCAACTTTATAACTGTGTTACCCATGTTGTTTAAAAGTATTGTTCATTTGTTGTTGATATTATTAATTTTTACGAAAGTTTGTTAAATGTATGTAGCCTGATTTTAACCTATTACATATCTTGTGTCTTTTAGCAACTGAAATATTTCACACAGATCCATGTGAGATCAACCAGGGGCAAGAATGCTAAAGGACGCAAGATCAGTGGAATAGAGCCACTACCAGGGGAGGATAAGGTTTGTCAATCAGTTGTATGATCCTTCCTAATAAAACACTTCATAAATGGTCATTTGCATTATAGTAAACACAGCCTCATGTATGATTCAGAGGATAACAAGAAACACATAATATAAATTCAAGGCAATGCTTCTGTGCTGCTGATGTCATTGTTTAGTTGGATTGTCAATAAACTGTATTTCAAATGGTTTATTTTATGATGCTATCATTGTTTTACTAATACTGTATGTCTGTATTCTAGATGGTGTTAGTAATCGTTTTACTCATTAACATAAATTCTATACCTCAGTGATGTCATTGTTTTACTGATCTGTCTATATTGTCATTGTTTTACTGATTTGTCTATACTCCAGGTCTTGGTGATGTCATTGTTTTACTGATTTGTCTTTATTCCAGGTCTTGGCGATGTCATTGATTGACTGATTTGTCTATATTGTCATTGTTTCACTGATTTGTCTATATTCCAGGTCTTGGTGATGTCATTGTTTGACTGATTTGTCTATATTCCAGGTCTTGGTGATGTCATTGTTTGACTGATTTGTCTATATTCCAAATCTTGATGATGTCATTGTTTTACTGATTTGTCTATATTCCAGGTCTTGGTGATGTCATTGTTTGACTGATTTGTCTATATTCCAGGTCTTGGTGATGTCATTGTTTGACTGATTTGTCTATATTCCAGGTCTTGGTGATGTCATTGTTTGACTGATTTGTCTATATTCCAAATCTTGATGATGTCATTGTTTTACTGATTTGTCTATATTCCAGGTCTTGGCGATGTCATTGATTGACTGATTTGTCTATATTCCAGGTCTTGGTGATGTCATTGTTTTACTGATTTGTCTTTATTCCAGGTCTTGACGATGTCATTGATTGACTGATTTGTCTATATTGTCATTGTTTCACTGATTTGTCTATATTCCAGGTCTTGGTGATGTCATTGTTTGACTGATTTGTCTATATTCCAGGTCTTGGTGATGTCATTGTTTGACTGATTTGTCTATATTCCAAATCTTGATGATGTCATTGTTTTACTGATTTGTCTATATTCCAGGTCTTGGTGATGTCATTGTTTGTCATTGATTTGTCTATATTCCAGATCTTGGTGATGTCATTGTTTGACTGATTTGTCTATATTCCAAATCTTGATGATGTCATTGTTTTACTGATTTGTCTATATTCCAGGTCTTGGTGATGTCATTGTTTGTCATTGATTTGTCTATATTCCAGGTCTTGGTGATGTCATTGTTTGACTGATTTGTCTATATTCCAAATCTTGGTGATGTCATTGTTTGACTGATTTGTCTATATTCCAGGTCTTGGTGATGTCATTTTTTGACTGATTTGTCTGTATTCCAGGTCTTGGTGATGTCATTGTTTGACTGATTTGTCTATATTCCAGGTCTTGGATCAAATTGACTGATTTGTCTATATTGACATTGTTTGACTGATTTGTCTATATTCCAGATCATCTTGGTGATGTCATTGATTGACTGATTTGTCTGTATTCCAGATCTTGGTGATGTCAATGTTTGACTGATTTGTCTATATTCCAGGTCTTGGTGATGTCATTGTTTGACTGATTTGTCTATATTCCAGATCCTAGTGACATCCAATGACTCCAGGATTCGACTCTATGACCTGAGAGACCTGAGTCTGACTTCCAAATACAAAGGTTGTGCCAATAATAGCAGTCAAATAAAATCCAGTTTTAGGTAAGTTGTTGTATACATTGTACCAGATCACTTATTTTTCTATATGGTTGAAATTTGCAAAATAAAGAATGTCATCCTAAAAACTGTGATATTCTGATGACAAAAAGCAGAATATTTCAAAAGTTAGTGATGTAAATTACCAGTATTGACTCCCCATAGTTGAGACAATAAACAGTTTTCATTTGTCTGAAAATGATTGACAGACAGATGGATGGGCGAGTGGGTCATGGCACAGCTCACTCTGTGATATGTGAGCCGAAAACTGTTGTAAAAATGGAAAATTGAGTTTTCAAAAAAAAATTCTTTCTTAATTTTTGTTTTGGTTGTATTCAACGTACAGTGTACATGTACATTAAATGTATCAGTTCACAAAACCTGTTAGAGATCAGTCTTTCCATGTGGGTCTAAGGACAATTGCTGAAAACTTATCACATACAAAATTATAAACATGTTGGGTATTTTTTCCAGTTCCAATGGTAAATACATCATCTGTGGCAGTGAAGACCACTTTGTGTACATCTGGAAGACGAATCATGATAATCATAAGTTCACCTCAGCCAGGAGAGACAGGAATGCATACTGGGAGGGCATCAAAGGTTAGTTTCATATGTCTGCTTCAGTGTGACAATAAATCACTGACTTGTCACCAATCACTATATTTCGAATATAAACATTATCTACAGGGAATAAAACTTGTTGCATTGTCATTTACTTGATATATTTATGGTTATCCTGTTAGTTTTCTCTTTCAACTGTTAATGGAATATGAAAGTGGTAGTTCCTGATGTAACTACTTTTTATTAACTTGTTAAACCGTTCAATTTGAACACCTCAAGGCTCTTAATACTATAAAATGAACACCTATAAACTATAGTTTTACTACACATGAGTGCTCACAGTTTTACCATATCATCATTCTGTTTTACATCAGCGCACACAGCAGTTGTCACGGCAGCCATCTTTGCACCAAACCCTGCTCTCATTATCAAACCTAAAGAGGGCACCACTGAACAGGTTGATAATGAGCGCAAGCGCAAGAATGATAAGCAAGAAGGACCAGGAGAGGTGCTAGTATCAGCTGATTTCACTGGACTTGTTAAAGTGTTTGTTAATAAAGTGAAGAGTAAAGAGACAGTGGCAACCTCCAAACATAAACACTGACATTCAGAACATAGTTGAATATGTCATGTCATTGATCATGCTTGAAGCATGGAATGAAGTGGAAATAGAGAGGACGTTTTAGAAAACAAAATGGATTCTACATGCCATGTAAAGTTTTACATTCTCTATTCATTCTAGTTCATTTAGGTGAAATAGAACTTCTTTTAATTAATCACATCTAGTTCACTCTATTTGGACCAAGATACTTCAAATAAGTTCTATTTCCATCTATTGGTTTAGATCACATATTAAAACCTCCATGTGTCAGAGCTTTTAGAATTTTTATGCAATAGAAATTTTTGAATACAGTGAATTGCCAGCTGCCCGATAACTCATTATATTGTTGGTTCCACCTTCCACTCACTATAGCTCATGCTTCAAACAATCTTTGACAGTTTCTTTTATGTGAACTGTCACATATTCTAGTGAAATACACAACATTCCCATCGAGACCTAACTCACTATGAGAATTTGATTTTAGACATACTTGTAGCAGTAGCACTTAGAACAGCTTTTATAATTCACCATGGGCTTTCTAGTCATAGAAGGGTTGTTAATAAAAAGAACCAGGAAATAGCTCTATACTGTATAAAACCATTTAAGAGTAGTTGTACAAGCATTAAGCAGAAGTAGTTTGGTTGTTTGCCCGGGTTGTTTTTTTCACACATTGTGATGTGTTTTAGACTAGTTACCAGGGCACAAATTTGTTATGGCCAGTGTTCAGTTCTTTCCAGAGACCTCCTCCATTTGCATTTACATTTGATGTCACTGAAATGTGGTACATCAAGTTTTAAGCATGTCCATAAAAAACGTCAAATTGAAAAAAAAGTTTTTCCTTAGCAATAAGAACTCAAATGGTGAACCTATTATTTGTAAACAATGCTAGACTTATCATCTTGCTCATAAAAACAAGCTCTATCCTTATAAAACAGTATACCTGACATGTGTATGTAAATGACTAAAGCTGTCTCCTGTTGTATACTTTCATTTTGGCCTGTACATTTACATGCTATGGCATATAGTGTAAATCTTTGCCAAATATCATTGATATTATTTGTGTATTGTGTAAACGTAACCTACTAGCCAGAAATTCAGTTGGTCAAGGCTGATTTATTCAATGTAGAGTCATTCTGAAGAATTGACAAAAGTGCCTTATATTCAGCATTATTGTATTGTTTAAAATAATAAGGATGTTAATTTGATAATGATTTTAATGATATACAATGATCCCATCTTCCAAGCTGAATTTATGGGTGTTAGATAGAGAATGGAAATGAAGTCTGATTGCATGAGCAAGTAACTCATGGGTGTTAGACCATTAGATATTGTATATTAGCATGAGAAAGGAAATATCAGTACTGAAATAAAATGTGCAGACTTGACAGTTATATTCAAAACTTCAAATGTGTCCAAATGACTTGAAATGGATAATTATATGATAAGCTTTTGTGATGGAATTATGATTGAATGATTAAGTTTTGATATTTGTACATTTGTTAAAATATGCTCTATTGAAATTAATTAAAGTGAATTTAGAATTTTAGCCTGGAATGAAGATGACATATTTTCTTATCAGTTCGACTTCATCATGAAAATTGTTGTTTGATTTGATATACTGTATGTGTAAGCAATAAATAAACCATTTAAAATATAACTTATTATATGAAATGTTTTGTTAATTATATTAAATATAGTAAGAGTATAAGGGAGTTCATTGGATAATGACATAAGGGATCATGATAGTAAAGATCATGGCGTTAAAGATCATAGCAATAGAGAGTGTGACAGTAAATATTATGACATTAGGGATAGGCCTAGTTGCATTAAGGGTTTTGGTATTTGGGGTCATGGCAGTAAAGATTATGGCATGGCATTAACGATTATGACATAAGAGATGGTGGCATTAAGAGTATAGCATTAGAGATTGTGACAGTAAATATTATGACATTAGGGATAGTCGCATTAAGGGTTTTGGTCATAACAGTAAAGATTATGGCATTAACGATTATGACATAAGAGATGGTGGCATTAAAAGTATAGCATTGGGATTGTGACACTAAATATTATGACATTAGGGATAGTGGCATTAAGGGTTTTGGTATTTGGGGTCATGGCAGTAAAGATTTTGGCATGACGTTAACGATTATGACATAAGTGATGGTGGCATTAAAAGTATAGCATTGGGATTATGACAGTAAATATTATGACATTAGGAAATGTGGCATTAAGGGTTTTGGTATTTGGGGTCATGGCAGTAAAGATTTTGGCATGACGTTAACGATTATGACATAAGTGATGGTGGCATTAAAAGTATAGCATTTGGGATTATGACAGTAAATATTATGACATTAGGAAATGTGGCATTAAGGGTTTTGGTATTTGGGGTCATGGCAGTAAAGATTTTGGCATGACGTTAACGATTATGACGTAAGTGATGGTGGCATTAAAAGTATAGCATTGGGATTATGACAGTAAATATTATGACATTAGGAAATGTGGCATTAAGGGTTTTGGTACCACGGGTCATAACAGTAAAGATTATGGCATGGCATTAACGATTATGACATAAGAGATGTTGGCATTAAGAGTATAGCATTAGAGATTGTGACAGTAAATATTATGACATTAGGGATAGTGGCATTAAAGGGGTCATGGCAGTAAAGATTATGGCATGGCATTGACGATTATGACATACGTATACATATATTTTTATGTTAAACTTTTGCAATGGTCAATTTGTCACTTCTGTTTGTGTCAGTCGGTATCACGGATTATCACCATGACAACAATACACCATTGACCTGCATAAGCACGTAGGTTGTTATTCCCTATGATACTATTATAGAATCTAATTAGCTTATCGGTTTCATTAGTTTCAATCGAATCTAAAATGAGTGACCTTGGGTGAATTGCTGGTTATATAACAGCATGCTGTTCAAATAGCGTGTTTGGATTGGCTAGAATGGGACATACCTTGCCTAGCTATGTGTGATATTGCAATAGGGAGCATGGCAGTAATGATTTTGGCATTAAAGATTATTGCATTAGTGATTATGACAGTAAAGGCGCATTATGGATAGTGGCATTAGAAATCAGGGTGTTAAAGATCTTATTAAAGATTAAAGATGAAGATATGGTATTAGGGATGATGCGGTTAAAGAAAAATGAATTTTAGTTGAAAGTGTACGACGTGAAAGGCGTACGGCGTGCTGGACATTCAACAACTCTATTGAAATATGTTTTGATTGCTTTTATTAACAACCCTTTCCTCTCTTAGCTATAACAAAACACCTATCCCATTGGAAAAATGTTTTGCCTCTTAATAAAGGCCCATGGGCGTTTATTCTGAGTACTTTCAAATAAATGCCCTGTGCAAATTAAACGCCAAGTGGACCTACTCGCTAGAAATTCCGGTTATGCGTATTTTAAGAGTTTTACTTCGTCCAAAAATCTATAAAAATTAGATGAGCTTCCAAACATTTTAAGATGTCATATGTTTAAACGTGACATGAAAAATTGCACGAAGCACCGCATTGGTCACGCTGTTGAACATGGTAGGATCCATTATCCGTAGGTTGCACGTACACAAAGGTTGGGTATTGTTTTATTCCGAACTTACTTGAGATATTGCCAATATCAAGTTTTACAAAGAGAAAAAAGACTTTACTTTGTGGCCATTGAGACCAACGTATTGTACAACTTCACACGCCACGACGAGAATCACCTTATATGCATTTGAGCGCCGTCGGAGATTACTTTGAATGAAGTCATTAATTACTTGAACGCCGTCAAGACGTAATTTAATTATTGATGGTATTCAAAGAAGTTTTTGATGGAGTTTTACTTTGTGACATCCTTCGAGAGTGGGCTTTGCTGCTATGGGTAAGAAGTGAAATATCCTTAGACTAAGGTTACTTTGTAATTTTGACGGTAATCTTGGTTTGACGATATATTGGTATAGATGACCATCCATCTTGACAAGAGCTACAACGTGTTGTCAAATCATAACACAAAATGTTTCCCAAGAATCATAATTATTTTCGCACTAAAAATCAATAACAATTTCTTGTATAAGATGGTCCAATGGTTTATTCCATTAGATTTCTTTCCCGTGGATAATCTTAAGCCATTTCAGCCATACCTTGTACTAATCCCGATGACTTAACTAAAAGTATTTACATATTCATATCTTCATGCTTTAATATAGGAAATTCATGTAGATCTTATTAAATACGCGTTTTGTAACTTAAGAACAAAGACAGATGAGCAACAATATCACGATGCTCTTCGTAAACACCCTTCACGTCGTACAATTTCCAGCTGAAGATGTCGTGCTTTCGAGAAGATTTGAAAAACTCTAGATCGTCTTCAGATAAAATATTGAGACGTCGATATGATACTTGAGGCATCTCTGCGTAGCATGGGCGATGTTTGTCTATGAGGAAGAAAGGCCCATATTCTGTCAAAACGTAGTTCAACGTCGTTAAACTCAATAACGGCGTTATTTATTATTAAGAATTTTCTTGGGGCCATTATTGAGTTTAACCTCTTTACTATTCTTTCCATTGATGCAAGTTTTGGATCCACCGAAACCATTTTTCCGCGATAACATGCAACTGATACTTGACAACAATATAAAAACACATAACATCAAGCGATTCAACACAATATTATTGTATTAAATGGTCATTTATACAAGTAAAATGAGGTTAAACTTACCAATCTCTAAAATGACATTTCCGCATGTCCTTCATTGTGTCTGTTCGTCCCGGGTTAAAATTTAAACTATTGAAACGAAATTGTTGTCAAATAGATTGATAATTATCACGCGATTACTCGGGATAAAATAGCCATTTTTGAGGATAGCAGGTATCTTTGATTGATTTATATAGCGCTTGTATACACACAAAATCGTTATTAATTGCAAACCTACTGTTCGTTGATGCAGTGTCGCAATGACGGTTAATTCCTGATACGATTTGCAATTTCGATGTTACCGGAGCTGACCGATATTTTCGTAAAATTCCAAACCTGTCTCCAATATTTTCGTAATTATGCATCAATATGGTCTAAGGGGGGTACGGGATGGTGTGTATGTATTTATAAGGTATGTATGCATGCTTGAATCACATTCTTTATGTAATATTACCACGTTTTCGGAGTTTAATTAGTTCCGCACGTCGAAACCTGCTGAACGATTAAATGATCGCAACAAGGGCAAAATCATCATGGAAGTTAGACCTAGCCGGGGCCATAAGACATGTCAGATAAGAAACGAGGCCCAGGCTAGGTCTAATGTTGTTGGACTAGTCAAAACGTTGAAATAAATGACTACATACACACTTGGCGCCAAAAGCACGTCGTCCACTTATTTGTACATGTTGAGAATGGGGCATGAAAATCAAACACAATCAGGAATAGTCATGTACGGATAAATATTTCCTCGAAATATTTTCGCTTTCCCCAGTAATGCCTGAGTCACATTTGCTCCGATTCATCGGCCGGCGCCCGGCCGATTGAGTATCCTGTTCACAAATGTATTCAGTTTTGAACAGAATACTCAATCGGCCGGGCGCCGGCCGATGAATCGCAGCAAATGTGACCCAGGCATAAAACGAAAACTTCCTAAAATCGAACGCAATCGTGACTGCACGCAATCAATGCAACGCGAGGCCTGATTGGTCAACTTAACGGAACATATCGTGTGCAAGAAGCGTGTCTGTCGTAACCACTCTCATTTTGTAGTAATTTTTGGAACGTGTACATAAGTTGGTTGGATATTCGCGACACGTGGTGTTGGATTTTTATTTCTAAATATGAGGTAAATTTTTTTATGAGAAAATATAAGAGATATGATATTCAATTGTAGTAAATGATAAGAGTCCCACATTATATATTGGACACTAATATATTGGGCACATTTTCAGAAAAATTCAAAAGATCCTGTTCAGTGACCTTTCTTATAGTAAAATTTTAAATATTTGGAACTACTTTGAATTTTAAAAATAAGCAATCAAATGACCATATTGAAACGGTATATGTAAATATACAAACATTTATACATGTCCTAACTTTTGAATATTTTAGTTTGTTTTGTAGTTTAGCTATCATATCGTTGGCCTCTTATGTTTTGATGCTTCTCTGCCATGTTATTTTCGGAAAAAATAACATGGCTGAAACTCCCTAAATTACAAAAGGCCACAGCTTTGCTGCACATTATACATAACTATCTGAAATATACAAAAGTTAGGACAAGTACAAATGTTTCTAATTTTAATATACTGTTGCAATGTAGTCATTTGATTGCTTATTTTTAAATCCAAAGTAGTTCCAAACATTTAAAATTTTACTGTAGGCTCCTACTTTTAGCTATTTTCCAGTCACATTTTCAGAGGGCTGAAAAGGTTATTTCATCATGTTTAGGGTCATTCTGACCATGTACATTGTGATCCTTGTCCTGTAAATGATATGTGAGACTATAAATTACACTGTCTACTTTTAGTTAGTAAACCTGGAAACAGGTCAATAGTATAGTCAAAACAGTAATGTTTGTGAGTACTGTGAATTTAAAAAATAAGCAATCGAATAACCAAATTCAAACAATTTATGTAAAAATAGAAGCATTTATATTTATCCTAACTTTTGTATATTTTATATTAGTTGTTTTCTAGTTTAGCTATCATATATGTGTCCTCTTATATTTTAATACTTCTCTGCTATGTTATTTTCGGAAAAAATAATATGACTGAAACTCCCTAAATTACAAAAGGCCACAGATTTGCTGCACATTATACATTACTATCTGAAATATACAAAAGTTAGGATAAATATAAATGTTTCTATTTTTACATATACTGTTTCAATATGGTCATTTGATTGCTTATTTTTAAATTCAAAGTACTCACAAACATTACTTTTTTGACTGTAGCTCCTGTGTTGTCTGGAAACTTTGAAAGAAAAGGATGTGTCTGGGTATATGCCCTTTTGGTCCCTCAGTCAAATGTTTGTGAAATATGGTTTTTATTACTGTCCTGGTTATATTTAATAAGTATATTTACTTTTTCACGAATTTTGATGCATAATTAACCCCCTGCTGAGAGTCCGAATAAGTATCTTAACAAACAAAAAAAATAGCCATTATCATAGAAAAAAAAACCCAATGGCAACATGTATGACATACAAAGAAGAAATAACTTAAGACCGATGAAGAATTAAAAAGAAAATCATATTTTTGAAATATATTTAAGGATTAAAATTTTTTTTCAAATTTTTGAATTTCCCGCCAGTTTAATTCGAAGGGGGAAAAACAAGATGGCTGCCATTTTATGTAAGAAATATCAGGAAAAAAGTTGCTTCACTTTTAGTTTTCACAATGAGCACAGTTTTCCGGTTTAGGTTTTTTGACTGATTCTGACTCTTCGTCACCAGGGTCATGTATAGAGACTATAAAATTGAAACCAAAATGTTGTGCTCAGCATGAATTTGACTGAAATAAGGGTAACATCACCAACACAATTGAAGTCTCAAAACTGGATGCTCAGTAACTTTGAGTGACTATAATCCCTTGATTACCCAGATAAACACCAATTCACTTATCCAGAAATACCATTCAATGTCTATTCAAAGAAAGTAACCAATGTTTTGGAAGATATGTTTCAAACTTTTTGCATAAATAATTCATTTAATATTTGTCATTGATTTTTTTTCAATTCTGACAAAGTGATATGCACTTTCTTTGATGCCAATATTCTTCATCAATTGTGATACAAATTGATATTTTTGTAATCTCAGAAGAAGGGTAAGATATTGAAGTTTAATAATATGTGTGATTGAGTTGGTTTTTCAGACATTACAATTTTCAATATTTTCTAAGTCGATACCCAGACTCATTCCCAGACTCATCCTTTGGAAAAATAGAAAGTGTGAAATATCAGAATTTCCTGGAGTTCCCATTACACTCCTACCAGATATTCCAAAGAAGACAATGTAATGATACTTTCCTGAAAAAAGCAAGGAAATTGACACATGCCTTCATACTTTATTTTGTACCAGAAAATAACATTTGCAGGTATAGCAATTTTACCAAAATGTTATTTTCCAGCTGTACCTTAACCCTGTGAACTTATGGGCATACATTTGTGATTTTAGTCAAGTCTCCTTCCAGAGGTCTCCTTTTATTAAGGATGATTTCTTGACATCAATCAAGATAAGATCAAAGTAGAAATTGGTGAAGTTTTGTTTTTATTAGAGGTGTAACTCGCCAGAAAAATCCAACTCTAGTTCAACTTGCCAAATATTTCCAAAATTCGAGTAAAACTCGAGTTCATTCATTTCGTCCAGTACATATTGTAAACCCGGGTATAAAAAAATAACTTCAAGCGGCAAGTTTCTCTGGTTAAGTCTCATCTAAAAGGTGTTTAACACGTTGGGGCCATAAGAAAGTGTGGTATTCATTGCAGTTATCTCATATTTCAATCAAAAACGATCTGGTATAGACGTCACCACATACGGAAACAGAGCTGTCAAATGTCCCGCGAATGGCGGGATTATCCCGCGAATTTGATCAAAATTAGGCTAATTCGCGTGTCCCGCATTGTCCCGCGAAGTCCCGCAAAATGTGGCTTTGACCTTCGCGAATTTCCGAAATTGTTGCAATCCCCTATATTTTGATTATCTTATCTTATATAAGAAGCTAAGTTTTTGCACTTTTGAGGAGTAAAGTTTACCTAATTTTAAGTACCTAGCATGCTGTTGTTTGGTATCAAAATAAAGGGGAAGGGTTCAACTTTCATTTTAATTACGAAAATAGGGATGTAGGTCACAACGGTTCCAACGTTGGCCTTTTTACTACCCGTGTGGCCTTCATCTCAGAACTGAGCAAATGTTAGCAAACGCGAGTTACAATAAATGTACGCTGATATCTAGAAAGGGTTTGTATAAAAAACCGGGTAACGGGTAGTAAATCCTCCATGCTGGGTACAAACTTGGTACCCGGTCAAAAAAAACGGGTACCCAAAAAACGAAAAATACGAATATATAACATAATTAGATTATGAGAAAACGTGTAAGATTTGTTTTGAATTTGCAAAAATGTATGTAACATGATTCAAAATTGAGCTAGAAGCTTCAAATAAAAAGCATATTTTAAGGCACTTTTCTTCCTCTATCGTTATGGCCATATTTTCATCGCACCATCGCACCCTCTCCTGGCTACGCCTATGACATTGTAAGACATAACAATTTACAATTCAGTGGACATTTTGTCATAAATTGGGATAACTAAAATTATGATTAATAATCAAAATCTTACACGTTGCATCATGCAAATTAACACACGTCACCTCTCTGCTAAAGCAACGATAGCTATTTACAGATTCAAATCATAATCAAAACAATTCACGTACCAACATACGAACCATTGAAAATAGAGCACCCCCCCCCCCCTTCATTACCAATGGAAATATGACCAAGATGATAGAGGAAGAAAAGAGCCTTAAAATGCTTTTTATTTGAAGCTTCTAGCTCAATTTTGAAGGAAGTTACATACATTTTTGTAAATTCAAAACAAATCTTACACGTTTTCTAATGATCTAATTATGTTGTGTATTCGTATATTTCGTTTTTTGGTTTTTTTCGACCGGGTACCAAGTTTGAACCCAGCATGGAGGATTACTACCCGGTACCCGGTTTTTTATACAAACCCTATCTAGAAAATTAACCTCATTCCCTATAATTTGATGTAGATTAATCGAACCCCCATATCATGGGCTTTCAATTGAAAGCCCATGCCTACAGTATATGAATAGGTACATTTTAATATATAACATTATGGGGGTAAGCGTTTCATAGTTGGTCACGACGCCAGAAGTGCAAAGTATTGTTCCGAATTTTTGAATTTCGTGTTAGATTACGGTAATCACACCTGAAGCATGGTTTTTGTTTTTGATAAATTACAATAAAGTTTAATAATATTCCTATGCGTATTTTGTGAAATTGTGTTGACGTTTATTTAAGTTACAATGTAACGGTGCATTATATTTGATTAATCAGTATCTGAAAGTTTGATTTAAGTATACACGCTTTTACATTAGTCCCAATCACGCAAATCCCTTGAATGTCCCGGGACATCCTGCAAATTTAGGTGGATGTCCCGCGAAATCCCGCAAATTTAGGGCACTTTGTCTAAAAAATCTGTCCCTCTATGAAGTTTTTGGTGGTACACCTGTTAACTGTCCCGCAATTAGGGTCTTTGTCCCTCGAATGGTCCCGCGAAATCCCGCGAATTTGATAAAAAAATCTCCTATTAGCGCAATCACGCAAATCCCTTAAATGTCCCGCAAAATCCCGCGAATTTAGTAGATGTCCCGCAAAATCCCGCGAATTTTGGGCACTGGGTCTAAAAAATCTGTCCCGCGAGAAAATCTTTAGGGGTTGACAGTACTGCGGTAAGGACGAGAGATCGCTAGAATCTAACCAAACAATATTTTAGAAAACCCAGAAGGGCCCCTCAAATTATGAATGGTACGAAAAATTTCGAACGGAATGCGTGACATATACGTAATTCGCGTGAAAAGTCCAAACAAAATGCGTACATTTTTTCCGGCGTTCGTATTTTTGCTGTGTAGACGATCTTTTTTAGAAATTTTTCAAGGAGGATTGGCTCCCAGGATCGAAACTCGATATTTTCCAACAATGAAATCGTCGAAATGTCGTTATTTTCTGAAATTATAACCAACTATAAATTCAAAATAAACAGTCCAAAAGATTCGAACCAATATCTCGATCATTTCTCCTGAGTTTTGGAATTTTTCGTTCGGAAACAAGACCAAAATTCACGATTCAAATGCTGAAGTGAACAAAATGGTGGCTGTTTGAATTCAAATTTTGTATCACGACATGCCCATATATGGGACAGAATATCGATGTTGCACTCTGGGAGCCAATCCTCCTTGGAAATTTTTCTACAGAAATATTTTTGCTTGACAATTACCAGGTAAAATGCGTATTTGCGTGACATTTTCTGTCACGCAAAAATAACTGGCGTGACTTCAAATTCCTCAGCAAATGCGTGACAAATACGCAAATTGCGGGACAGTTGACAGGCCTGCATTTTTATTCAATTTTAGTGACTACTCTATTATCGCCCGTTGAGTTCCTTCGATAGTCGATCTTTTTTGGTGTAACTCTTCATTCCACGATATTTGTTGAACTTTGTGAAGCTTTGAGAGTGTTTTTAGGTGACGGGCGCTAAATATGGCGATCATTGGTATATTTATTCCACTAATGAAGTAATGTTGCACGATCTCTGGGACCCGAATTCATTTTATATGCTTGCAAGATAGGCAAAACTCGCGAGTTGACTCGAGTTATAGCTAGCTCGCGAGTTGAAATAGATTGCGAGTTTCTAGAGGACAACTCGAGCCAATGTATAGGCACGAGCTGTACTCGAGTTACTGACTCGGGAGTTACACCTCTAGTTTTTATCATTCATATCCTATTTGAATCAAGATGAGTTCAGTTAGATCACTTGTTCCGTAAAGTACTTTGAATTTGAAAAGTAAGCAATCAAAGGACCACGTTGCAAAATTATATGAAAAATAGAAATATGTGTACCAGACTGACCCTAAAGTTTGCAATTTCAAAAGAGCAGTACGTAAGGCTGACAGACTGATTTCTGGCCAGTTTTTGAATATCTGGGTTTTGCCTTTTAATTTCAGTTCGTGGGTGTTGTGTTTTCTGTTTGTGGGGTGCAGTGTAGTCTGGGCGCAGCAGGATGCGTGTGGGCCTGCGGAGATCGTCTTTATGCTTGACGCATCTGGATCCATGAGCGAATTAAACTTCATGACCATATTGGAATTCACCAATGCAGTTATTGATGTAAGAAACAACAATATAAAAACATTGCATTACTACAATGTTTTGAATAGATTGTATTGGATCATTCTACTGTCAAAATTGATTTTGCATGTCAAGCAAACCAGTTAAAGCAACCAAGTCACCACAGCGTAGTTGAAAATGCAAGAATGTATTTGTGAAAAGATGCCTAACTTCTGTATCTTTCAGATAATTAGCTTTAGATATGGGATGAAGGTGTGTCATCGGATTTAATGGGTATTTCAGCCTTGTTAATTAGGGGTCCATGCTTACACCAAGACTCTACTTTATATATTCTAAACTGCAGAAAACATCTAGATTTGTTTCGACTTCAAATTCTTGTCTGCATTCAACTGGTAATCGATCAACTCTTATTCTTTTATTTTTGATTTATTCTCAATAGGATATTGATTCGAAAATGACTAACGGATTCACTGGCTCCGTACACATAGGCGTCTTAGTGTTTGAAAACGACGCCATCATGAAAATACCTCTTTGGAACGAGTTGACCAAGAACGAGTTGAAATCCAGAATAAATAACATCCAGTTTGTCCCTGGGAAATCGTCTGCAACTCGAGACGCCATTTTTCTTATGCGACAAATGCATACAGATCGGGGTGAAACTAATGCGACAAAGATCGGTAGGTGTAGTAAAGATGAATTGCTTATAGTACTTGTCCGTTTCCGCATCTGACAAGTAATATCAGATTTGAAAGACCTTCGTTTTAATAATAAAGTATAACTAAATTTTGATTGTATCAAAACTTGAAAAAATAAGTTACCACCAATGCTGAAAATACATCTAAAAATCCAAAGTTCTTAAAGGGTTCCGATAAGCTTCCCGTATAAAAACAATATGGCGGCTCCAGGCGAATCAACTGGATCAGTCCATTTTTAAGAAATAAGGGGAGTTCTGTAAAATCCAGTTTATTGAAATTGTCTTTGAGATAAAGTAATCCGTTTATAATGATTTTGAAAATATTATCCAAAGAGTGATTGTGTTCAAAGAATACATGTTCAACAGCCAATATAAATCCTTGTATTAGAACTGCTTTGTTTCATTGGTAGGGTATTTCATATATGCCAAGCTGTGTGCTATTACGTTATGGGGAAATTTAGATGCCAATTTTTCCTTATTATACACAAATAGAAGATCCTGAAACTACACCCATAAATGTGGAATTGATTTGTCAAAATAAAAATCACCCTTTTATAAATGTGTGACGATCTATAATATATTTATGCTATATAACAGTTAGAGGTGTTGACACAACGACCTCGAGCCTGTGAACCCTTGAGTATTATTCCGGGATCGGGCCTTTTATACTAAACGGTGAGCAACACCAGAAACGAGCGTTCGATTTGCTAAACGATATGCGTCACCCTTTAAAATGTGTCCACTAACCGCGATATGGAGAACCACATAGACGTCATTATTCTGTTTTGTGCTTTTAGTGTTTTTGGGGGTCATGTGCAGTATTGCAAGTGATTTTAGACCGTCATATATTTCAACATGAGTACTTTCGGGCCATAAATACAGTGGTTTTTATGAAAGCAATAAGTTTTCTTTCAAGTGAAGTCCTCATGATGATAAAAATATCAATCGAAAAAATGAATAGGGACCCCATGTCGACAATATTTTCAAAATATTGAACCTATTTACTCAAAAGGGTATCTTCTTTTTCTGATTTTTATTCCATGAAAAGATTATTTCAAAAGGGTCTTACACTTCTTCAAACGTAGGATCTAGGATGGTTTGAAAGTCTAATTATGAAGATATCAATTTTTGATGACCAAACACCAAAATTATGCTGGAAAATAAAATGGGATATGTGGATTTTAACTTCAGCGCATTTCAAATGCCACATCCTTTCAGAAATTGTTAATAATATAGTGTAGAAGAAATTTCTAAGATGTTTAAATTGAGAAAAACAAGATCCTCATTTAGAAAAAAAGCTTAACATATTTTAAGAAAGTGCAAAGGTGTGGTCCTAAATCCATAATTTTTTAGAGAGTTGGATTGATATTTTACTATCATGGGGACTTCACTTGAAAGAAAACATATTGTTTCAATAAAAAACACTATTTATTATGGCCAGAAAGTACTCCTGGTGAAAGATATGACTGTCTAAAATCACTTGCAATACTACACATGGTCCTTTTCGGTTTTTATTTCGGTGTGTGATAGACAACCAATATGAAAGTCAATCCTCTCCAAAAGTGAATTTATGAATTCTAATTATAGTTTAGTACTACTTTAGAATTCCCATTTATAACAACATGTACTGCTTTCAGCCATTCTAGTAACAGATGGCAACCCAAAGACCGGCGACCCTCAACCAGAGGCACGGGCTGCTGCAGAACAAGGCATCTTCATGTTCGTGTTGGCCATTACGGGCGGGCAGATAGATATATCTCTTCTATCATCTATCGCAACTGAGGACACAAGTGGCGAGAGCACTTACTTCATGACTGTAGATGGCTTTGGCAAATTGTTGAATAAGGTCGGATGGTTGAACACTGGAATTTGTGACCTCACGAGAAAAGTTGAAATACTGGCATTGGATCCGAAAGATGAAACAACATCAGCTTCTTCCACAACATCAACAAGTGGTTCTCCCGTGACATCAACTTCTTCCAGTACGTCAACAACTGCTTCTCCCGTGACATCAACTTCTTCCAGTACGTCAACAACTGCTTCTCCCGTGACATCAACATCTTCCAGTACGCCAACAACTGCTTCTCCCGTGACATCAACTTCTTCCAGTACGTCAACAACTGCTTCTCCCGTGACATCAACTTCTTCCAGTACGCCAACAACTGCTTCTCCCGTGACATCAACTTCTTCCAGGACGTCAACAACTGCTTCTCCCGTGACATCAACATCTTCCAGCACGCCAACAACTGCTTCTCCCGTGACATCAACTTCTTCCAGTACGTCAACAACTGCTTCTCCCGTGACATCAACTTCTTCCAGTACGTCAACAACTGCTTCTCCCGTGACATCAACTTCTTCCAGTACGTCAACAACTGCTTCTCCCGTGACATCAACTTCTTCCAGTACGTCAACAACTGCTTCTCCTGTGACATCAACTTCTTCCACTACGTCAACAATTGGCTCTACTGTGACACCAGCTTCTTCCACCACGTCAACAAGTGGTCCTACTGAGAAACCACAGAGTGCCACTACGACAATACCACAGAACCCCACGGTGTTGCCAAATGCAATAAACTGTAAGTGTCTTGCAATGAACATTCGTCATTCGTGCACATGGAAAGCAGGATATCATAAATTGTACAAATTAAACTGAATTAGATTCACTATTTAGAAATATGAGTATATAATATTAACGAATTTAATTCCAGCTGAATTTGGTGCATGTCCAGGCACACAGGTTGATGTGATATTTCTCCTTCATGCTGACCCCTCTATAGACCCCAACGTATTTCAAGACACGAAAATTTTAATTTCAAATATTGCCGACCAACTAGTGTTCGGTCCCACTAACGTCCGCGTGGGTGTCATCACATACAGTGCCTACTCTTTATTTGGTATGTTTTATTTGTATTATCATTATTATTTTTGAGATAAGTAACAGAAAAGCGGTCACAAAAGAATTATGCTTACAATTTATTTTTCCCTTTTACAGTTTAAATCGTCTCTAAAAGACCAGTATAATTTTGCACTAATGGAATGATAAAAAATGTCGCCACTTTGGTGAATACTTTCGAAAATGGACTTTGATGGCTGGGATAGTGACGTAAGAGATAATCCATCCAATCAACTTTATTACCTTCTATGATCTTTTATTGAAGACTACACATTGGCCTAACAGACCCATTTGTTTTTTGTGGTCATATAATTCAAACAACTAAAGTTACAGCTGTCTGGAAAAATTGCAATCTACGTATCTATTTGCATTCTTTCTTTTTACTTTTAGATATCAAGTACCAAATGAATCCTGATTCCTTTGACGGAGCTGAATTCAACTCTGCGTTAAGTCAAATAGATACTCAAAGTCATGTTTTGAATGGCAATAGACCGGATGTTGCATTTGCACATGTACTCGATGCAGCCCAATTTCGACCTGGCGTTCCAATCGTAGCAATCGTACTGACAACAGATACGAATTACACAGATTCTACCAAGGAGTTAATCATTGAAAGTGATATTTTTAATGTTGGTATACAATTGTATGCTGTGGGTGTGAATAGCGACAGTCTTCACATTGATGGCCTTGAACTCCTCACCCGTGAACCGAACTCTATGTTCATTTACAATTCATCGGTCATTGCTGATGTGAACACTGCTAGTGAATTGGTGAACATCATAATCTGCAATGATCCAGGTGAACAAGCTTGAGAATAGTCCTCGTCATAAATGAAAAAGATTCAATATGTGCTAAAAGATTGTTCAATAAGTATAACCTATTTTTTGTTTCATGCGAGTACACATTTCAATTTTCATATAGTTAAACGAGAACACAGTAGAACAAATATGACATAAACTGACTTTACAGAGGTGGACCATTTCGGTAACAATTGTTTATCCTGTGTATCTTCTAGTTTGCAAGGATAGAAAGGTGGACGTTATATTTGTGGTTGATACAACGGGTGACGACGCTTATATTGCAAACATGAAGAACTTGGTCAAATCTATCGTCAACCGCCTTGACATTAATGCTGACGCTGCCCAAGTTGGCTTGCTGCAGTACGATGCTACAACGTCACAAATCTTCCAGCTAAACAGAGTACGCAGTCGCAAAAGGATCACAGATGCAGTGAACGCATTAACAAGAACGGGTATGAATGTGCCTTTTGCGTTCCAATAATACGTTATATATTCACATCTTAAATGTTCGCAGTAACAGACTTTATCTTGATCCAGCAAGAATTAGACAATCAAAATAGACAAATATCTGACTGTCAAATCCAGTCTTTTGTAGTATTTGAAAATAATCCAAGAACTTTTATTTTATGTTTTAGTTACTGAGACGCACACAGCCGTTCCTCTTCGTATAGCTCGACAATCTATGTTCACTAAAGCTAATGGGGATCGTAATGATGCTGCGGACATCATCATTCTTGTAACTGACGTCATATCGGGAAATCCAGAACATGAGGCATTGCTTTTGCGCAATAAAGGAATTCTTACTCACGTGGTTGGAATTGGACCTGAAGTGATGAAGACCGACCTTCTGCCAGTGGTGCTGTCTAAGGAGATGATTTATGAGATAAGACACCCAGATAATGTTTCGCTTGTGGCTGATATGTTGTCAAAGACCACGTGTTTTGCTGATGGTAAGATTACTGCATATATCTCCATGTATTATGGTTCAAGACACAGTGAGTCATATTCATATTTTCCTGATTGTGTCATAAAGTAGTAAGGACAGGATACACTGACGACTTAGAGAGTATTATTTAACGAAGTGTCTGGAGTACCTTAAAATTTAAGGCTCTTTAGCCATAATGCTAAAGAGCCTTAAAATTTAAGGCTATTTAGCTGTGAAGATAGTGTTTTGGCTAGAGAGCCTTTGTGTATATAATCCGTGTTTATATTGTTTTTATTGAAGTTTTCGTCATCTGAACAATAAAACAACACTCTCGAAAGTTTTTCGACCCAGAATGCCACTTAAAAATTTCACACATGTATATCACTATAGAGTTGCAAAAAATTTAGTCCAATCATGGAAAAACACTCTGGTATAGTGGTTAGGGTGGTCGGTTACTGCTTCTGCGGCGTGGGTTCGATTCCCGGACGGAGCACTTTTTATTTTGAATAACAGGCCGGAAGTTTCTTCTCTGAGGTCCGGAAATTATGTACACAATTTTTTCTAGAATTCTTGGGCTTGCTCCATCGCTCAATCATCAATGTTTAATGAAATTAATCACTTGTAGTGGCTTTGCTATAGTCACGAGAATATACAGGGAATCCCATTTTATGATGGCAAAAAGTATGATGAAGACCTGCAGGCCCGTAGCCAGGGGGGGGGGGGGGTCGCAGGTTTTTTTTTGAAAATTGAACCCCCCATTGGCAAATCCTGGCTACGGGCCTGACCTGGGGATGAAAAAGGATCTTGTTTCTTCTAGATCACCACATCTTGACGCAGTTTATCGTGAATGCAGGGACATCAGCCCAGGGACATCACAGAATTCACTTCCAAATCTATTGCCCATTAGATTTCAATGCTGATTTTAGAATTTTTCACGTGACGAGATATTTTTGCATAATATTTTCCTCACAAGTGAGAATTTAAGCACATCGATGAGAGAGCACAAAGAAAATTTACAGTACAAGAGGTGAACTGTCGAGGAAACACCGGGAGGAAACAGCGGCTTATGCAACACAACAACAACATTTTATCATAGCCTCCAATCCATCAATAAATGTCTATACATCAAAATCGATGTTTGAACCTTTAAAAAGCCAAATTTAGACTGAGGATTGAAAAGGTTCTTTTATTTCTCTCGGTAGACCGGAAGTAAATTTATGAATCGAGCAAAAAGTGATAATGCTGATTTCAATGCTGATTTTAGAATTTTTCACGTGACGAGATATTTTTGCATAATATTTTCCTCACAAGTGAGAATTTAAGCACATCGATGAGAGAGCACAAAGAAAATTTACAGTACAAGAGGTGAACTGTCGAGGAAACACCGGGAGGAAACAGCGGCTTATGCAACACAACAACAACATTTTATCATAGCCTCCAATCCATCAATAAATGTCTATACATCAAAATCGATGTTTGAACCTTTAAAAAGCCAAATTTAGACTGAGGATTGAAAAGGTTCTTTTATTTCTCTCGGTAGACCGGAAGTAAATTTATGAATCGAGCAAAAAGTGATAATGCTGATTTCAATGCTGTTTTTAGGATTTTCCATCTGACAAGATATTTTTTCGAAACTTTTTGCAAAAACTTCCGCTCAAAAGTCTGTTAGGTATCAACGATTTTAGGCTAGCATCAAAGTCATCAATAAATGTGACTCTCGGACATTTTTACGTGATTGCCTAGTCTTACACCTTCTCTGGTGAACCTTTTTTCGATATATGCATAAAGGTCCATTCAAAGTCAACGTTTGAACCTTTAAAAAGCCAAATTTAGACTGAGGATTGAAAAGGATTTAGAACGTTTATTTTTCCCGGTAGACCGGAAGTAAATTTATGAGTCGAGTAAAAAGTGATAATGTTCTGTTTATGAAGTGGGGAAGTCAAAGCAGTACTAATAGAAGTCATAGTTAGCATTCAAAGATTATTTAAAAGCATTTAAAATTAAATCGACGGCAAAATTGAATTGACTGAAATCTTTATGTTTTCTTCTTCATCTTCTTTGCGGACCTCAGAGAAGACACTTCCGGTTTAATAATCAGTGATTTTATCGATCAAAAATATTTCTTTTTGAATGTGTCCGATATCTGCTAGTATGGTATGTATATTTGTGCTGATTTCTTAAATTACAAAATAGGTTGGGTATAGATTATGTCAAAGTCGTTTGATCTTGTCCCAGAAGCAATATTTCGTCATTTCTGTCGCCTGGAATTCCTTTAAGGCTCTCTAGCAGAATTGGCTATCAAAATGCTAAAGAGCCTTAAAATTTAAGGCTCTTTAGCCTAAATGCTAAAGAACCTTAAAATTTAAGGCTCTTTAGCATTTTGGCTAGAGAGCCTTAAATTTTAAGGCTCTCCAGGCGCGGCCATTATTTAAAGATTTAAGCCACGGACACGATCAGTGCATTGTGGACTTATCATTCCACTAATATAAGTGTTGTTTTAAAAATCTACATCTACATCAATAATCCGCAAAAGGCTAATAAGCCCATTTAAAGCAGATATATAGTTTAACAGTGATATAATTTGAATGGAATACAATTTGAACCTTAACATTTAAAAAATAGATCTATGGTTTACAACTCATATTAAAATGTACACTGAAATCATGCAACACTTCCCCACTTAAGGAGGCATCTTCCCCAAGGTCGATGCTCCCGTTCGTAGAAAAGTTGGGCATAAACTTTTATTAAACCTTATTAAAACTTTGCACAAATGCGTATCGTGAGTGCTAACAACGCCTTGGTGGAATTAATCCGACACAATGCATTCATAGCATTGAGTCTTGTGTTTGAATTACTTTCAATCATTGCAAAACAAAAAGATTTATACGATGCAATTCACTTAAAGAATATATTTTCAAGAATACATTTTGCAAGTCCCAAGTTTTCAACACATCAGTTCCACTTTCTAGATGGGTGTTCCGGATCGTGTGCATTCTCCCTCTAAATCTAATTTTAATTTCATTTGCTCGTGGTTTATATATTCAGATGTTCCTTCTATTTCAGCCATTTCTCTTAAATAGAACTTCATTTCCCTGAATTGCAACTTCTTCATTTTAATGTGAGTCGGTCTGCTTTTTGGTTGAAAATACAAGAGTTCAGGGAGTGAATAGAACAGCCAACTTGACAGCCAACTTCAAATAAGGATGTTATCTGAAAATGACACTGTGTGCATTAGACTAGAATAATGCAATGCAATTATATGACACACTGTACTTCAACTCATCCAAATTAAACGTCAATTCATAATATCTATGAAGCTTATAAATGTATCTTCATATTATTTGTTGAAAAGTTTGTATCTATATCTAAGATGACACTCTGGTAAACATTTGTTTCTCTTTAGTATTAATTGAATCATAACAAATGGAATATCAACAAACCATAAATCTTGAGTATATTTTCCCATTTATCAAAACACGTGTCTACGAAAATGAGTTTCGTTATCACAAAATACCTCATCAGTACAACCAAAAATGCATCATGGATATGTCTTTCAGCATGTCGTGGTATAAAATATGATATTGCTGTCCTGTTGGATCGATCCAGTAATATCAACGATGCAAACTTCAAGCTGATAATAGAATTCCTCTCTAGCGTTGCTAATGAACTCGATATTGGTCCAAACAACACCCAAGTTGCGATGGTAACATTTGCTGATCATCCAACAATAGAATGGGACTTACAAAGGTGAGTAAAAATAGACTTTGTCACGATGAACAAAAAATGTGTATGACATAACTTATCTAAGAAAATGTATGATCATTGAATGCCATAGACTGTACTTATGTGTAGGTAGCATATTCATTTCAGGTTTATAAATCGGTTTGACTTGGTGAGAGCTATTCAGAATCTGTCTTCTGTTGTGACAAGTGGTGTTACAAATCATACTCGTGCACTTGCTACTACGACTGATAACGTGTTCAAGCTTGACAAAGGTGACAGGTAAGGCGCTTCATTGTTACTTGCCATATTATTGGTGCTAGTAAAAATAACTGCTATAACCTATATGACAACCTGACAACATATCAACAACAAAGAGGACAAAAATGGTGATATTTTTGGTAAAATTACATCAATTGGTGATATTGTGTAACTGTCAAGAGACCTAAATCATATTTCAAGTCTCACATGGCCTCATTTAACCCGATATGTGTGATTTAACAGGCCGGGTGTGATCAATTTGATCCTTATGTTCTCTGATGGACGATCTGTAGCAGACGATTCTGGTGAATGCGAGAACGAGGCCACACGTGCCAAAGAGAATGCTGTCTTGGTTGTCATTGGAGTTGGTTCATATGAAGATATTGCCAACCTGAGAAAGATATCATCTCAGCCTAGCGAACAATATGCGTTCACTGTTGAAACATACGACTCTTTGGTTAAAATGAGGAAGTCTCTATTCAAGGTCGCCTGCACGCCACCAGGTAGGAGTACTATAAATGACGGTGCTGGTCATTTACTAGAATATTGCGTCATATTCATATATGAGATGACGTTTTATAGCCTGCCTTACCCATGTTTTATGTATATTCATAGTTTGCCCTGACACTCAGGCAGAGGTTGCGTTTATACTTGAAAACAGTCTGGATCCTGACAACGATCAGTTTGCAAATGCTACACGCCTCATCATGGGTACAGTGGCCAACATGCACTTTGGAAAATCATTCATGCGTGCTGGAGTGTTGACGTTTAATTCTACAGCCCATATAGAAATAGGTAAAACAATTTCATTATTAATTGTTTATTTACTAGTATTTTTAAAGAATTCTCATGAAAGATTCAATGCCCCTTTACATGGCAACCATTTCTCTACATACAGAGATTGGCTCGTCTCTCCTTGTCACGAATACCTCTTTGAATCATCTGTGGGTTCTGGTGGAGAGCAGCAACCTCATTGGTGATTCTCTGTTAACTGTTTTAATGTCTAAAACTTTTAAAATTTCATAAGAATCTCGCCAATGAAATTCTGATTTCATAAGCGAGATAAACTCATAATTTATTCAAATGCCTTGGCGCGAATATCAGTTTTTTCAAAAGGAAACTGTCACGTGTTCGCGTTGCGCGGTCATGCAATGCACGGTGACCCGTGTAAACCAATAATCGGCCTATTTTCCAAACTCTAGGAGTTAAAGAAAAGTACGTATGAAATTTTAAATGCGTCATGGAATGCACATTTCTGTACAATTCCAAAAAGTGCTTTAACCAAATGTTGAGTGAGGTAACTAACTTACTCTGTCTTTAACTTGTTATCATCTTAATGGATCTGTTAATGTCCAAGTAACTTTCTTGGTCCTAAATAGTATCCGAGTGTCTTCCTCGTACAAATAGCTTCCAGGTTCCTTTCCTGGGCATCAGGAGTACTATTTACATTCTATGTACACGTCACATTGTGTTCAAGCTTTAACCATCGCCCCTGAAAGAACATGAAGCATGTTAATTTATTCAGTGGGAGGGTGAGGTGGGACATGAATAAATTATGAGTTTATCTCGCTTATGAAATCAGAATTTCATTGGCGAGATTCTTATGAAATTTTAAAATTTCATTACGCTAATAAACTCATAATTTATCCAAATGCCAGTTTAAAGCATGTATATGATTAAAGTCTTACTTGAACACAAATTCTCCAAAGTTGGTTTTATAGTGCGATGGTAGAATTTCTCAAATGTTTTACTATTTGACCAGTTCGCTGTTTCAATAATTTGACAGGTAGTCATGCCTGCGGCAAATGCCTTACTTGTTGAAGCGGAACGGGTGGAATGAGGTTTGAATATGTCCGTATCCGCCCCAGATAATTCCATTATTTTTTTGATCCATCCAGCTATGGTGCTGGTGACTACTGGTTGATATGGCTTCACACAGCTTATAAAGAGGTGTGATTTTTGAGTTTCAGATATTCTGAGATGTTCTGTTTGTTTCAAATATGCTCGGAGAGCAAGAGTAACATCTAGTTTGGGGTTATCCGGATATTCCTTGAATACTTATGTGGTAATATGTTTACTGGGGTTAGCTGTTTTTGTTAATCCGTCAATATTTATGATGATTTCTGACACTTTATCAATGAAGAACCTTGGGTTAAGTTTGTGAAGTTCAGATCACCGACAAGCACTGGTTAATGCCATAAGAATAGCTAATTTTTGGGCTAGCAATTTTTGCGATAGTGTATTATTTTCCCCTATAGATTTTATGTGGTTCTACATCCCAATTTTCAGTATATCTTGGTTTGGGGGGGGGGGGTTGTATTAAAAAATCCCCTCATTAAAGCAGTTATAAGTGTGTGTTGGCCAATTTTAATTCCGTCTATTGGGTCACAGAATGCAGAGATAGCGAATCTATATCCATTCAAGGTGGAATATGACTTACCTTTTTCAAACATGCAGTTGAGGAAGTTTACTATATCGGCCAGAGGGGCATGAGAGGGATTAATTTGTTGTCTGTCACACCAGCGATCCCATTTATTCCAGGCGCTGCTATAAGGATTTTGTGTACCTGGTCTCCTGGCATTGACGAGCATGTTGATAGCTCCTTCAGAAATACCTTCTGTTTTGTAATGTTGTTTGAGATTCTCCAGGCTGCTAGAGTTAGTGAGTTGTTTAGTACTAGTGGATGGCATTCCCCTAATGGGCTCATTAAAAGGTTGTTTTGGTGAGGAATCAGTAATGGTTTTTGAATGAGCATGTTCAATAGAATGGGGTACCAAGGCTGTGGCTGCCATGTTGGAGCAATCAGAACTAAGTCTGTTTCCTCCATTCTTACCTTTGCCAGAACTCTGTTCATCAGGAAGAATGGAGGAAAGGCATATGACAGTATTGGTTTCCATGTCTGACAGAATGCGTCTATTTTTAGAGCCATCGGGCCTGCTTTCCAACTGTAAAAAGTTTTTACCTGATGATTTGTCCTGTCTGCAAATAAGTCCAGAAGGAACGGGCCCCAGACTTTTTCTATTTGTAGGAATACTTGCCTATTTAGCATCCTTGAATACCCTGGACGCTTTGTCCGCTATCTCGTTCTGACAGCCTGGGATGAATTCTGCCGTAATTGTGATCCCCTTGTTGAGGCAATACTGGTAAATTATTTGTGTTACCTGTAATAATTCCTTGGAGCGAGTTCCCCCCAGTTTGTTGATTTGAGACATTGCTGTCATATTGTCTGTTATTATATGGACTCTGCAATTGTTCATTTCTTTGGTCAGAGTTTTCATGGCCAGATAGATCGCCATTAATTCTAGATGATTTATATGTTTCTCCCTTTCTATTTTCGACCATAGTCCCTGGATTACCTGACCCTGGCACTCCGCCCCACCAACCGGATAGGCTGGAGTCTGTTGTTATGATCAATGATGGTTCCTCCATTTTGATTGGCTTGCCATTCCAGAAGTCCACTTCTGAGATCCACTATAACAAATCGTTTCTTACCTCTTGTGTCAGCTTGACTATCGTTAAGTAAGATTGGTTGTTTCTCTTCACACCCTGAGTCTTTAACATCTGAAGGTGTCTGTAGTACAGGGGAGCTGGTAGGACTGCCATTGCACAGGCTGACAATCTGCCTACTATTGTTGCTATGTCCTGTACTGACACTGACTTTTTGTGTAAAAGATTTTCGCAACCTATAATATGAGTTTGTCTGAGGGCACTTTCAGAACCATTGCTTGGGAGTTTACCTGGAACCTTAGATATCCTATTATTTGGGTTGGGTTCGAAATTGATTTCTCCCAGTTTATCAGAAACCTCAGATTTTCTAACAGGAATACAGTTGTGTAGAGCTGATTTAATAGGGTCGTTTGACATTGATGGAAGAGGATCAAATCGTCCAAGTAACAGATTAGTTTGATTCCGATTTTTCTTAGAATCGCTATTGGAACTTTCATTAGTTTTGTGAAGGTTCTGGGAGCGGATGCCAGTCCGAATGGTAGTACTTTCATTTGGTACAGTTTTTGATTCACTTGAAATCTCAGATATTTCCGGTGGGTTGGATCGATTGGAATACTCATATAAGCATCCGCTAAATCAAGCTTCATCATGTAGTCGTTTTTTGAGATCATTTGACTTAACATTGGCATCCCTTCCATTTTGAAGTGATGATACTGAACATATTGATTTAACGCCTTTAGGTTCAGAATGGGATGCATTTTTTTCTCTCGAAGAAAGAAATGTGATATCATTTGATTTTCTGAAGGACTTGCAACTTCTGCCGCATTTTTGTCTAGAAGTTTTTAAACTTCTTCGGTCAACAATTTTGAATTTTTTGTTTTCACAATTTCGAAGTTTATGTTCTTGTTTTGTGAGGGTGTATTCAAGAATTGAATTTTGTAGCCTCTTACAATGTTTAGAATAATTTGATCTGATGTTTTTCTCTTCCAGTTTTGGATGAACTCTGTCAAACGACAGAGTTTGTTACAATTTTTGTGAATTTCAGTACCAAGATATTTTGATTTATGGAAGGTTTTTGTTTGAAAGAGTTCTCCTGCACGGAAGGTAAATTCAACATACCTCTTTCCTCCTTTGTTGGAGGTGGCGTTTCCGGTACTGGTACTGAAGAGGGGCCCCCACGAAAGGGCTTTTTCTTGTCATTTGAGCCAGATAGGGCCTTTTTCAAATTGGCTAGGTCTTTTCGTTCTTTAGGTACCTTGATAATTGAGCAGTTTAGACTTAACTTTGGCTGAAAATAGCTCTTTGTTATTCTGTTTGACGGTATATTTTTAACCTTTGTCATGAAGTCTTTTACGCCTGCTTTATTGTATTTAATTTATTGTATTTATTTCTGTGAGCATGAAAGCTTGTCCTCCCAGAATTATTGCTTGTTTTGCTAAGTTTTTAAGTAGTTTTACGTCTATGTTTTTGTTGTCAACATTTGTCATCAGGTTCCACATGGTACTTAATGGCCCCATGGTGTCAGAAATTTTCCTTTGTACAGTGGCTAGTTTTTTATCAGATTCCACTATGGGCTTGATGGAAATTTCTTTGATAAATTCGTCCATTTTTGGAACATGTAGCCCTTGACGGTCTGGTTTTGGGTTTTTTGAAGCATTTCAGTAATGGTGTCAATGGACAGCATGTCCTGTTTCCAGTATTTCTTGACAAATGAGTCATGTTTTGGTTTTAGAGTCCAGGTTTTGGACTTTTTTGATCTCTCTGGATCAAAAAATCTGAGTCAGAGTTACTTTGGTTTGGTCTTTTTGTTGGATTTGTGATGTTCCGGTCACTCGAATCGCTTGATTCATCAGAGCTTGAGCTTGACTGGCTGTCATCTGAAATAGAGTCAGAGTCATTATTGAAAGAGGGGTATTTATCTCTCTTTTTCTTTTTCTTGTGAACCTTTTGATTTGGTTTTGTTTACATGTGCCTATTGCACTATTGTCTCCAGCATTGGAGTGTTTTGTCGACAGCATGTCGTTTGTTGACCGCATGGTCTTTTTTGTTATGTCTTTCGACACACCTGCACCTTAAGTGCTCAAAGTTTTATCAATCATTTGCCTACCTGATTGAAAGGAATGAATAGATTTCACTTCCTCTTCCTTATTGTCATCAGATTGTGAATCTGACTCTGAAAGTCTCCTAGACCTGGTGGACGTGGCGTCGGCCATCTTGAAACTTTGAAAGTTTTTTTGGAGCCTGAATACGTCCTTCTCCTTTGGGAGTTTGGAAAAAATAGGCCGATTATTGGTTTACACGGGTCACCGCGCATTGCATGACCGCGCAACGCGAACACGTGACCGTTTACTTTTGAAAAAACTGATATTCGCGCCAAGGCATTTGAATAAATTATGAGTTTATTAGCGTAATGAAATTGGTCCAGGGCAGATTTTGGCCCGTTGTGCAAAAGGTAATGATTATTCAGTGGTCTGTGGCCATATATGAATAAATGGCATACTATTGGAAAGAGGAGACCGGTGGCTTCATGATAAAATAAAATGCAATTGATGTAATCATCACTGTTTTTTGGGTTTTTGCTTGTTGCGTTTCTTTGGGACGCACTGTGCATGCTTTTATTATGCGTGGTCATATTCTTGCATTATTGATTATACTGTATTTACCTAGATTCACACTCGGTGGCTCCGTTATACGATTGGGTATTAAGATAAAAATTTTAATCTTGTGTCAAACTATTCATTGATTTGAAGTCACTCTTACCAGAGGCATTTTTAGAAAGTAGAATCTTCGCAATTGATTGCATCTCTTCATTAACTTTTTCTAGCTTTGGGCGATTACGACACCACATTTAATTTCACTAAAGGACTACAATTGCTCAATAACGGTGGACAGGGAAATGATCTCACTGCGGCGCTTAAAAAATTGCCAGAGTTCTTTCAAAATGCAAGGGCTGGTGTTCCACGAGTTGCCATTCTCCTTTTAAGTCGACCATATATCCCAATAGAGGGCAACGCAGACCTTGTACAGGCTAGCATCGAGGCATTAAAACAAGGAATGAGTATCTACGCTCTCGGCCTCCCTGGATCTTTGAGATCGGATTTAGAGAAAATTGTGCCCGGATCAGAGTTCGTCCACATGGTTAACGACGATGCAACTAAAGCTGTGGAATATATGGCCCAATACACATGTGTGGAACCAGGTTAGTTTAAGTCCAATCATCCGTGGTAACTCAAGACCTGCAGGTCTACATGTACATATAGGTACATTATTACCACTTCGGCCCTTGTTTCACTATATTGCCCTTTGAAATGACGTTATTGTACTATTAATATAAAATGTCAACGTAACCAACACCCCTCCCCCCTTTGTTTCAGTGTGCCGAAATAGACGTGCAGATATCATTTTCCTAATAGAGACTGCCATTGTTCATCCATCTAAATTAGATGGCTTGAAAACATTTGTGAAAGCAGTTGTCAATCGATTAGATATCTCTAGCACCTCTGCCCGTGTTGGTTTGATGACCTACGGCTCTACTCCTCGTGTCTTACTGCAGTTACACGACTGTATGACAAAGACATGTATCCTTGCAACTGCTGGAAACATCACCTATCATCAAGGTGACTATTATTAATGATTTTATTTCACTTGTTGAAAACAGTAGAATACACGAATAAAAGCATACGAATCGCCATGTGGCATTACAGGTTGCTTTAACTAAATTAAACATAGTTTTCATGTAAAGATTTGTTCTTGGTGTTGCCAAACAGTTTTATCTTCTTTTGGTAATTTTAAAATCACACACGCAGGCCAGTAGCCAGGGGGTTCAAAAATCTTTCAAAATCATGCAGTTTTCACCATTCTGAACACTTTTAAGTGACTTGGCCATTTTTGGACTAAAATTGTCACAAGTGAACCCCCTGGAATTTTTCAAAAAGTGACCCCGCCCCTTGACAAATCCTTTTCTATTGTTTTCTATTGTTTCTGTTGAACTCCTGTGTGAAGCAAGGGTTACGGGTTTTCATTACTGTTGATATTTTCTAGCTGGCTCTCCAAATATCACAGCTGCCCTAGACCTTGCCAAACGGGAGATGTTTACACCAACAAAGGGGGATCGAAGTGGAGTTCCAAACATCATTGTCATTGTGACATCAGAGGAGGCTCTATTTGATAACCTATCGGAAAACGCCGACACATCCGGGCTTTTGATCCACACGGTCAACATCGGAACGAGTTCACAACCAGACAGATTTACAAATAACCTAGGTGTTGCATTCCATTCAGAGAGTTATTCAGAGCTGATGAAACTTAGTATAAATGTAACAAAGATGGCCTGCTATGCTGATGGTATGTGTTTTAACGTCCTCATGTAGAAAGGCAACAATTTGTTCAAATAAATCCATGCAATAGTGTGAATAAAACAAGTTTCTCCTGCTTAGGAGATATTGTTATCTGTTTCACTGTTTTCCCCGTTTTGTTTTGCAGTGTGTAAAAACAAAAAGTATGACATAAACGTTGTGATAGATCGCTCTGGCAGTATAACACAGGATGATTACATTCTCATGCTTGGCTTCCTCTACAACACCGTTAACGAGTTGAACATCAATAGGAACAAGATTCAGGTTGCCGTGGAAACGTTTGCAGATGATGTCAAAGTCGAATGGTATTTGAACAGGTGTGGATTATCTCATCAACGCTTTCCTCCATATTCACAATATTTAAATTTTTAGAAAAATATATTTCCCCACTTTTTCACTAAAATGTAATGCGTAAGACTGTACAATCATTCATAATTCATGAAAAGTGTATTGTTTCTCTTAAAGACATTCACTCATCTGCTCATTTTGTTCAACAAGCCGCATAGTAGTCTTACATGTTGTTATAGCTACCGTGTATTGTGACTTGCGTCGTCGTAGTCTGTAACAAATGGTACACTTTATTGATTTTCTTGTGTAACTGTCTTGTTTTTCAGATACAACGATCGAATTGAGATTGGTGATGCAATATACGGGTTGAGTCCATATATCAATCCATCTGGCTCTACAAACCTGAACCTTGCAATAAATAAATCAACGCATGAAGTCTTCACCGTTAAAAGGTAAGAGACGGTGCAGTAAATCTAGAGAAATTACCCTATTGTCACAATCCAAACAAATAATGAACGCCCAATATACGTACCGCCGACCTTGTTTCATTAAACTATACATATTAAAGTGATTGTTAGGATGTTCATCCAATGGACGTTTTAATGAATGCCTATGAAAACATTTCACACGCAGCCTCAGTGCGACATCTGTATCCACTATCGGCTTAATTCGAAGATACCCTACCACTACTCCTTATGTCATTGTTTTAGGGGAGATCGTAGTGATGTACAGAACCTGCTCTTTACCATAACCGATGGCATGGCCAAGGACGGCGACCCCAAGGTCAGTGCAGATAGGGCCAGAGAAATTAGTAAAGCTATTATCATCGCTATTGGTTTTGGACCAGAGATGAGTGAGCAAGAGCTGAACAAGATTGGATCTGACCCCGACAGCAAATATGTGCACAAAGTGGAGACCGTGCAAGACTTGGAGAGCATTCGGTATGTGCATATGTAGTAAATGATTTACAGTAGCATTTAGTAGTTAGCTCACAAAAATGAAGACGTTATTAGAACTTTGTTATCTTATAAATAATACTCTAATGTTTTGCCTTTTTATATCTACAGGTACAATCTGCTTGATATGGCATGTGGGAAATGTAATGGTGTCACAGATATCGCCATTGCCATAGATTGTTCTGGTAGTATTGGTGTCGCAAACTTCAACCTAATGTTGGAGTTTATCCTCATTCTTATTGACAATCTAGATATTAATACTAACCGGGACAGAGTTGGTGTAATTGCATTTAGTGATGATGCAAAGGTTTTGATTCAACTTGTAGACTTCACAGAAAAGGAGTCACTGAAATCGGAAATTAGAAATATTCCCTATACGCTAGGGGCTACTAATACACAACACGCGCTGAAGCTAGCTAGAGAAAGTTTGTTTACTGAACAGCATGGGGACCGACTAGATGTGCCCAATGTAATATTACTCCTCACCGATGGCGTATCCACTGTGAAGAAACACTTCACCATACCCGAGGCTCTAGCGCTGAAACAACATGGCGTCTCTGTAGTAACATTAGCTGTGGGAAACCAAACCGATGAACGTGAACTTTCAAAAATTGCATCTACACCAGAACTGATGTTCGAAGTGAACCGGTTTAGTTCTCTACCTTCTATCGTTGATCTTGTAATGAATGCGATATGCAATGGTATGTGATTTTACAGGCAATAATGTGCTACTCCTGAGTTTATTATAGTCCTGAATAGCTTATACGTTGGCATTGCCGAGAGATTTCGTAACTCACGTATAGCATGTCTATTATTCCCATACAACGTGTAACTGATGAAGCGTTTGATTACGTCATCATTTGTTGCGCAGCTCTATACGACGATTCATAAAGATTTCAAATATATATTTATTAAAGTCTCACGCCATAAAATAATACAATAATATTTAAAAACTTTATGTATGGACGTGTAGAGTTGGGCAACAAATGATGACGTAATGAAACGCTTCATAAGTTATGTTATACGGGTATAATAAGCATGCTATAAGTGAGTTGCGAAATCTCTCTATTGAGTTTAAATTGACTATAATGTTATCATTTGTTATTACAATATGATGTAATTCAGCAAGTAAAAGATTATACATGTTGAATATTTCCTTTTTTAGATGAGAACGAGTGTCTAGACACGCCATGCATGAACAATGGCACCTGCATAGATCTTGTCCACGGCTACATGTGCGAGTGCAAATCTGGGTTTTCGGGTATCCAGTGTGAACGGGAATGTGACATCAACGTTGACCTCATTTTCGCTATCGATCGATCAGGATCCATCTTTGAAGAGAACTTCGACCAATTAAAGCAGTTCATCATTGGAACCCTAGTTGATTTCCCGATCTCCCAGCAGAACACACGCGTGGGTGTGATCACATTTGCATCAAATGCTTTTATAGAAATATATTTAGATCAGTCGACCGACCTGAAAAATCTTACGCATAGAGTGGAGTCAATAAGTTACACCGGTAAGCAAACGTTTTGGCTATAGTAGTGATATATTTCTTCTAATTATTTTCAAGTTACTATATCTGCTATTTGAAACGAGCGATCAGACCAAAAATGGCAAAACAATACCCTGTTAAACTACAAAGAAGACGAAGCTCTCTTTTAAGAAGTGAAGTCAAACGAATGCAAAGGGTAGCAAAACAAAATTATTATGTCTCTATAATTCATGATTATCTTTCACATGGTAATTTGCTGTTCGTTCGAAAATCACATTACATTGAAGTTGCAAACCAAATCAAAGGTGGAACACCATGCAAAACTGAACGTTGCTACCATTTTGTATGTAATTCCAAATCTGTAAATGTCTGATTCTTTTGAAAACTGTTAATATAAAAAAAATAGTTCTGATATTGGTCCAAAAAGGTCAGGACATACGTTTCCATACATTTCATGTCATTTTATAAATAACAAGTTGGTATCTTAAATCTTCTTTCTTATCTCTAGGGGGTGCAACTAACATTGCCAGTGCTCTCCAACTTATCCGCTTCTCCATGTTCAGGGAATCACGTGGCGATAGACTAAATGTTCCAAATGTCCTGGTTATCATCACAGACGGCGCCTCTAGCGTTAACACCAGGGATACTCTTCCACAAGCTAGAATTCTCCAGAACGAAGGCGTCCACATTACGGTTGTGGGAATTGGACATGAATTGAAGAAGTCGGAACTTCGCGGGTTGGCCACAGACCCGGATCGTTGTAATGTCATGGTCGTAGATGATTTCAAGAATTTGGCAATGATAAGACCAAATATTACTAAACCATTTTGTTATGGTAAGTAAATTATCACGACATGATTTGCCTTTTTTGTTAGGGTACTTATTTTGACTCCCATTCAGCGATTAATTATACATTAAAACTAAAAAGTCCATATAAAAGAGCAAGCCTCCAGACTCATCCCTTGTACAAAGTAGTCTACATAACATTACTATATGAAAATTGATGGGGAGTAGATACTGTATGCTATACGTTTACGCTTGCATTGGGTTCTTGAATGCAAGATCACCAACGATGAGTTTCGTATGTCTTCGTGTATAGTGTATTGCTGGTTGTTCTTTCTCATCTATTATTTTCTTATAGACCAGCACCACTGTGAGCCAAACCACTGCAGAAATGGTGCAGTTTGTTCGGACAAACTAACACATTACGTATGTGACTGTGTCTCCGGCTTTACGGGGCAGAATTGTTCTGCTGAATGTCCCTCTAAGCGAGATATAGTCTTCATACTAGACGCTTCGGGTAGTATGGGATCCGAGACATTCGATAAAATCCTGACGTTCGTCAAAAAGGTGACTGATAACTTCGACATAGAAAGCGGTACTCAGAGAGTCGGCCTGGTAGCGTTTGCGAGTGAGGGTGTGATACATTTTGAACTGGACAAGTTCTCGAGCAGCTTTGACCTGCTGAATGCCATTGGATCGGTGGAATATACTGGAGGTGAGTGGTCGTCTATTTTTACCGTAATTTGACGCCGAACACAAAGCATTTTGAATATTGTGTTTAGAAAGCTTTGTTTTGTTTGCATTCAATATTTATGTTGTTCACATAGTCTTTGCGTAGAAATGCTTGAAATCAACATGATCCTCGATTTCTTTAGTCTCTTATATAGCTCAAATCTCTTTTGTGAGACCCATACATAGTAGACAATAACCATTTCTCCACTCAATGATATCCTTACCTTTATCTTCTTCTTGGAATCTTTCTTTCATAAACAAAAATTTCATCAGAAAAATGTTTATCCTCGACGAACATGTTTTTGCAGTTCTACCTGATGACGAACCATTATTGTGGGCTTAGTTTCCAATAAACAACTCAAAAACGCCATTTTATTTCAGGTTCAACGAACACAGCTGATGGAATTGCTCATATGATGACCATGTTTAGCACCGTGAAGAAGATCGGTCGCAGTGATGTGGATAATCTCGCAATACTTATAACAGACGGTGTAGCAACTGTCCAACAAGGTGTCGAGTTCGAAGAGGCGTTGAAGGCAAGGGACAGAAATATACACATCAAGGCTATAGGCATAGGGTCTATTATTTATGAAAAATACCTAGAAAAGCTAGCCTCTAAAACGACATCTGAAACCGGAATTCCCGATCAAGTTATCATTCGAAATGTCAATGACTTGGACAATGTATTATTAAGGAAGCTTATTGACGAGATATGTGATCGACCATAGCATGATTTGATTTATTCTTACTGAATGGACATGCACTGTTGTTGACTGTTGTTCAGGTTGTTACTCGATGTGTTAGAGCTCGAACTGATTATTTATGATATTAATGTTTAACTTAATGTATATATTGTACATAGTTTGTTTTAATTTTTGTAATCATAATTTATTCATATTAGAATGAGTGCAATTAGAATATGTAAAATATGTTCAGGTAAGTCACACGAACAGAAACAAAAATTTAAAAAAAACTATACAAAAATGCGTTTTTACATTTTCATGTTATTTATTTATTTACTTTTTAAAATTACATAACTTATGCCGTACAAAATATATATAATTTGACATCTGGTTGTAAAACTTTAAATTACAGTGTCGTCGAAAACATCCATATTTTGAATTCATGTTTCATGATTTTTTATAATAACCCATATAGTTTAGAATATTGTTGGAATTGCAGGAATCACCCGCGTTTGCTCCAGAAATGAATGAATAACTCGTCAGGGGTTACTGAATGAAAATATACAGTTGTCGTAATAATATTCGAAGAAACAATTAAAGACTGATGACAGTGCCATATTATTCACCCTGCCTGAGACACGGAATGGGTTGTTAAAGTATATTCGGAAATTAGATTTGCCATTTTATTGCTGCATTCCATGCGAATTTTGTTTGAAGAACATGAATTATGAAAAATATGGACGTTTCTTAGCATACTTATATATTTATTCAGAGTCTAACAGTTTGCCTTCGGGAAGTCTAATTAGTACAATTATATGATAATTTAATTAGCCTAATTAAAGGGATGGTTTTCACTACTAACTGAGGAGCATCCCTTAATTAGTCTTTAGAATAGGCCAAATATATTTATTGATTCATATTGAATTAAGGTGGGGCATACGGCATTGGCCCTGATGAAATCTAGTGTTGGACTAAACTTATCATAGTTTACGTATTATCTACTTTAACTTTCATTTCTTTGTTTAAAAGTTGGTTGTTCAGTTCGTCCTCCAAGGTAAAACTTTGGTGATGAATGACCCGGATGTTACCTCTTTAACCTCTGACAGCATAGATAGCTATAGTCATGTAATGTCCGTATAGGAACTGGTCATTCTGACCAGCTTTGCTTCTACATATTTTATGTACCAATATCCAACTCCCCTTGACACTGTTAGTTTTACACAAAGCTACATATTTGTTATATATATTGTATGTTTATTTTGTATTAAAAATATTTATCGTTTATCTTAATATTTACATGCTGTTTTTTAGAAATGAAAATATATTTTTATTAAACTGTATTACTGTGTTTTTTGTGATCTAGACATACAAGTAGCATGCTTAGAACACTGGACGGTCCAATGAGATGCAAACTTGAAATAAGAATTTGGATTTCCAAAAGGGCATGTAATTCTAAGCATTTCCACCTAAGCATACTTTCAATAGATTCTCACGGGGACTTATTTCCATTTACGTGTCTCAATCAAATTAAAATTAGCCCATCGTTGTAATTTTTGTAATACTTTCTAGAAATTGTTCAAATTCGTCCTTTCTCTACATCATTAAACCTTACGAGGCCTAAGTTTATTATCATGGGCTTCCAAGAGAAACCCCATGTTATTACTGTATCAACAAGGTTTTGATGCAATTTTAAATTAACAAAATTCACCTCCAATGATATTGGTCATTTTTGTTACCAAACCTCTTACGCCATTTCCTATTAGAATAATGGTGGTAGCTAAATACCAAAGTCTTTTTCACCATATCAAAATGACTAGAAATCATCAATAGCCCAGTCAAACTAATGAAAAAAATAGCTTAACCCAAAACAAATTGCAATAGAAATCAAATTAGGTTAGTTATTTACATTTATTAACCTTGAAATACATACTAAAAATCTACCAAAATCGAAGTAGTGGAACAATGTTAAAATTTGAATCGAAGATACCCCCTACCCCACCCCCTTCAATTTATGAGTGCAGGACTAAAAAACATATTTCTTAAAGTTGAGGTCTTATTTTTACATAATTTAGTTTGACCACGATTGGATATTGTTTTTCCTAGATAATAATATTAATTTAACAAAGAAAAAGTTCATTTGTCTTCTTTTTAACCCTTACAAACCCAGAAAAAATAGAAAAAAATATCTCGAATTTCGCATATACTAATTTGAATATGTGTTTTTATATTAATGGGACCTTCTAGAAAATGTCCTATAATTTATAACGATGGACCAACATAACACTCATTATTTCTTTGTAATCTTGAAATGATAGGTTTATTGAATTTTGAGAAATAAACTTTTTGATACCGTATGGTAAGGCTACTAGAATGAAGGTCGGAAAATGAAATTTGTACAAATGAGAGGAAAAGGCACAAATAAGGTACCGTTGTGAAACTTATGACCCAACCTTTTCAAATTCACTTGTATCTGAGTCACAAATTTGTTAGCAATAATGTCAAATGCCAGTTTCCATAGCAACCATTTGAATATTGTTAATAGATGTAATACATTATCAGGCAAATTCCACTCATTATTCGTCGACTCAAATTCATATCTGTATCATAATGAAGCAATAAATATGCAATTAGCTCATATTCAAATTAGCTCATTTGCTCATTTATTATGATATCATATGATGTGTATTTTATCGTACCTAAAAAGGTAGGAAACTGTTGTCTGCTTGGCGGGTGGGTGGGTGTTGCATTTTCTTAAAATCACTATTCCTGGAAAACCACTTAATGGATTCACTTCAAATTTTCACAAATGTTACATGGAAAGAAGTTCTAGAGCTTATTAACTTTTCGGTGGCCATCTTGCATTCTGGCGGCCATCTTGGAAGTTTTTAGATAAATCTTGCCATCACAATTCCCCAAAAATCCCTCAACATATTTATTTCAAATTTTTCACATGTTACATGGTAAGAAGTTCTAGAGCTAATAAACTATTCAGAAGCCATCTTGCATTCTGGTCCCCTTTCAGTGGCCATCTTGCATTGTGGTGGCCATTTTGGAAGTTTTTGGATTAATTTTGTCATTGGCATTCCATGAAAACACTTTATGGATTAACTTCAAAACTTTACACATGTTACATGGTAAGATGTTTTACAGCTGATAAACATTTTGGTGGTCATCTTGCTAATAGGGTAAACAAGCCCACTCTGCTATGTATTAGTTACAATATTGTTAACCCTGTGCCTTGTTCTACATTGTGCTCATATATTTGGACACAATGTTGATTGGCATTGTAAAAGTTACTATTGTCATGCAGTAAACACAATACAAATTTATGTCATATTCCGCAACGAATATGGCATATTCACTTGCGGTGTTTGCCAGATTCACCCGCGGTATATGGCATACACACTAACCAATGAGAACGCGAAATGGAGCCAATCAAATCGATGCTTTCTGCATAACGTTCTCATCTGCTGTATATGGCATATTTGGCAGTTGAGTGTATCGCATATTTACTTTGGAATATGCCATACTCACCTGTAGAATATGCCATATTCTGCAGGTGAGTATGGCATATTCACCCGTATCACAAATATCGCACGACCATAAATATATGCCATATTCCGCATTACAACTATAAGACTATGACTGGAATATGTAAGCACTAGTGCTAAAGGGTAAGGACCAAAAAATGTTCAGAACAAAGTAAGAAAAGAAAAAATTTAAGTACAGAAGAGGGCCTCAAAAGCTACTTGAATTCACAATTTTCAAAAGCCAAGGTCATATTTTTGCGATTCTGACACTACGCTTTTATAATATTCTTCGAGGTTCGATGTACAGATAGCCGAGAATATGCTAATAGCCTTAGCCTCTTGCCGTCAGAGGGTATTTTAATCTACTTTTGAGATTTGTATGGAAAATAGGTCAAAACAAAAAGTTCTAAATGAATGCAATGTTTGAAGTGTCAAAATACTGGGAAATTTTTGAAATCAGAATAACCCAGATGCGAGTAGAAATAATCTTGATTTACGTCATTAAAAATTCAAAATTCAGTCAAAGTAATATCATATTTGAAATCTACATGTAAAATTACATCTAGAAATGTGGTTTTAAAAAGTGTTTATCAACTTTGAAAAATTAATTTTCTTTGAAAATGTGACTTCTAGCTCAGGGAGATTCCCCATAGACCCCATGCTATAAAATCCCAAAAAATGAAATATCTTTTCTTTTAGTGGACAGATAATATTTTGCTTTACTGGACATATTTTCATTAGTATAAGTATCAGACACATAAGGGTTATATGAAAATTGAGCCACTTAAAATTATAATATTCAAGTTTAAGGGAACTTTCTTATATACCTGCCATGTTAATTGACCCAAATCAGCCACCCGGAGGTGAAACTGGTAACTACCTACTCGCATTTGGGTAATTGAAATCTGACTTCGAGTTTAGATTCTTTGATGTTTTGAAATCTCGAAAAGTCGACTTGATGATATCCTCATGTTAAGTCAACGGTGCAAACTTGATCAGCAACCCACTAAGCTACTTAATCAGCTACTTACCCAGCTACCTATATCATATTTATAGTGTATATAATATTAATAAGATTTCATTTTCAAGTCCATAAGGGTTATTGGTCTCAATTCTCCTAGTAATTTAAAAATAAGTGAAACAAATGAAGGCCTACCCCTATTTTTCAATTTGTTTTAAAAAATGATGACTTTATATATATTTATATTATATTTAAGGCATACATAATATATATATGATTTCATTATAAAGTCCTTAGGGGTTAATGATCTAAATTCTCCCAGTGATTTAAAAATAAGTGAAGCGAATGAAGGCCTACCCCTAATTTTTTTAAATTTTTTTTCGAAAGTTTCGATTTTTTTTCTCAACAACTAATGGATGCAAAATTCTCTTGCTTTGTATATGTATGGATTACATAACAAGGTAAAACTGGGATTTTTTTATACATGATTGAGTCGCTTTTTAGGAATATAATGGCGTTCACATAAAATTACCGTATGCATTTAATGCAAAATTTCAGATGAATAAGGGTTAAAAATATTCTTATTCACTCTGAATATCAAAGTTTAAGAGATACACAGATTGGGATACCTTATTACAAGCAAGAAATTGTAAAATTACTTTTAAAAAAATGCAGGCATTTGAAAAATAATTTTTTCCTTAGGGGGGTCTGTTTTTCAAGGGGAGGGGGTACCAAAAATGATTTTTTTACATGTTCCACTGAATAGATTTTGGTAGATTTTTAGTATGTCACTTCATATGTTTATATGAATTGAAAAAACAACATTTTATTACTATTGCAATTAGTTTTGGGTCAAATGTTTCTTTGACTGGACTACAACGGTTGCATTATGTTGTTCATTGCATGTTCATTGCTAGTGAGAAACTGTATTTTTTCTTTAGCTTCTTCATCCACTCGAATAAATGTAGCAGGGAACTAGGTATGAAACACGATATATATTAAATAATATGTAACAATTAGTGCAGAACTCGTATATGGAGTTTGCCCAGTGTTTGAAAGGTCGTATCTGCCGTCTATGACATTGCACAGGTCTGCTCGGCATGTTGAGTAGCAGACTCTAAATCCAGTAGAGTCATTGTATCTACAATAGTTCCGTTGTGGTTCGTAAGAGCATCCACGAACCAACTGGACTATAATTCCTGAAAGAAGCAAATGTACAACAACATTCTACTTATTTCGATTTGTTTTTATATTCTGTTGTATTCTTTTATATTACAGCAATGTTATAAGAAAAAAATGTCCAGGCAACAGTTTTGAAAGAAATTGTCAAAGAACTCGTGCATCTTATCGTCTATCCGATATGTTGCAAGGAATAACGAAAAGCAAATGTTTCCAGTTTAATTGTGTTAGTCTTAGAGTTTGCATGTCTTTCGTCACTAAGAGATTTGCAAATGTGGACTTTGCCGGGACTTGTTTGCCATTATTCAAACTCTATCTTCCGTTGCCTGGTATGGGACTATTTAGAAATTTCATCTAGTATTCCATTGGAACTGGACATTATGAGTAATATGGTAATATTCGAACTCCCGTGGCAGAGCTAGTCTGCAACATTTGGGAAATTGATCAAATTGGTCTGTACCGGATAACGTAAGATCAAGTTTGAAAAATGGCTGCCATCAACCTTGAGGATTTCCATAGACTACTGTCTTTTGAGTATTGAACAACTTCTGTTGAGAAGACATCAGTTTGAAAGAGGATTTTAATGTATGAGGTTGTCTTTTATCATCTGCTCTTGTTAGAGCTGCTATGGAATGTTAGGGACTTTTGTCACTCACCATTATCAGCTTCTCTGTTAGTCACACAATTGCCATTTGTACACATCTCCCATGTACCCAAGCCTTTAGGGTCACTTATACACGCTTCGTTATGGTTTAGGTCTATAGGTGAGTGAGAGCACTTGTAGCATCTTCCTAAAAGATACATATAATGCTTACAAGGTGTGACCATAACACACATGTTATGCTTACAAAATCCAACCATATACATGGAATGCTTACAAGATGCAACCATAACATGCATGTAATGCTTACAAGATGCAACCACGACATGCGTGGACTGCTTACAAGATGTGACCATAACATATACATGGAATGCTTACAAGATGCAACCACAACATGCATGGACTGCTTACACGATCCAACCATAACGTATACATGGAATGCTTACAAAGGTGCAACTATAACATACATGGAAATACTTACAAGATGCGGCCATAACATACATGGAATGCTTACAAAATGCAACCATAACATACATGAAATGCTTACAAGAGGCAACCAGAACATACATGAAATGCTTACAAGTTTCAATGATAGCGTAAATGTAATGCTTACAAGATGCAACCATAACATACATGTAATGCTTATAAGATGCTACCATAAAGTACATGGAATGCTTACACGATGCTACCATAACATACATGGAATGCTTACAAGATGCGTCCATTACATACATTTAATACTTACAAGATGCAACCATAACAAACATGTAATGCTTACAAAATGCTACCATAACATACATGTGATGCTGATAAAGATGCTACCACCACAACATGCATACATGTAATACTTACAAGATGCAACCATAACAAACATGTACTGCTTACAAGATTTGTAGCTTGTCAACCAACCAATTTTTAGCTAAAAGCACAAAATATTGTCGCTTAATTATTTAAAGATGATGTTATATTTAACTCACGTAATGCTGGTTGTGTAGTTGGCCATGGCGTATACCATTTCGTTGTTGTTGATTCTGAAGCCTGACGAGTTCCAGTAGAAGTACGTCCACCTTGTGCTGTCGACGCTGTCATTGGAGGAGGAACGGTGGGTCTTGTTGGAATCAGGGCTGAATCCAAAACTCCACAATAGTCTATCTTTAGGTCATCAATGAATCCCAAATTTCCCCGATAGCTACTGTTTGATGACCTTACATCGATGTGTACCTAAAATATTTTATTCACATTTCGTTATGTAATGTGGTGATATTTATCTTAGATACTACTACTATGTAAAAGATCCGATTTTAATCATATCATGAGCACTTTGCGAGATTGTAATTATAAAACATTCACCACATTATGTCCAGTTGCAGGCATATTCACGAATATCTGATTCCATGCATCTAGTTTTAGACTCTCATCTGTGCGACTGTTCCATATCTCTTCGGTAGAATGCGAAACATTCATAATCTGCGAAGTATCCGTGAGGTAAACATAGAGCTCTACACACATCTGAGGATTTGACATGATAGATGGCGTGCTAATCGAATGCATGGATGAATTTAGTTTCAGGAATTTACCTAAAGCAAGAAGCAATAATGCAGTTCAGAACTGAATACCAAAAGCAATAATGCAGTTCAGAACTGAATACCAAAAGCATTAGTGCAGTTCAGAACTGAATACCAAAAACAATAATGCAGTTCAGAACTAAATACCAAAATCAATAATGCAATTCAGAACTGAATACCAAAAACCAATAATGCTGTTCAGAACTAAATACCAAAAACAATAATGCAATTCAGAACTAAATACCGAAATCAATAATGCAATTCAGAACTGAATACCAAAAACCAATAATGCTGTTAAGAGCTGAATACCAAAAAACAATAATGCAATTCAGAACTGAATACCAAAAGCGATAATGTACCTCAGAACTGAATATACCACAGACAATAGTACAGTTCAGAACTGAATACCAAAAACAATAGTGCAGCGGTTCAGAACTGAATACCCAAAATAATAGTGCAGTTCAGAACTGAATACCAAAAACAATAATGCAGTTCAGTATCAAAATCAATTGTTAACGAACTCCGTCAGCGTTTAGTACGATGTTGTTCAGCTAACAGCAAATGGTCGAGAGTCACATGATACAAGAACACATTTGAAAATCTTTTCTTGAAGCCACGGATAGTGGGAAGTCCTCCATCTAGGAGGTATATACACCAGGTAATGCTACTAAAAATTAAAAAGATATGAAAAAATATGGTCACCTGTACTCTAGATTCAATTTTTGAATGAATCGTGGCATAATGTACAGATTATTTGATATCATGCTATTCTTGAAACATGTATACGCAAAAAAAACTGGGTCGCTCACCTCTTATGCCTATATGTGTTCAGTAATCATCAATTCTCGTGAGTAAAATTTCTCCAGGTCATTGAAAGGTCCGCTCAGTAAATTGACAATTTCTACTGCGCATGAGTCATGCGTTGTGAAACACTGGACGAAATGGTTTGGTAAATTTCAAGCTATTTGATTGGTCGAAAAAATCACGCGCCATTGCGTGATTTGCTTTATTCTCGCAAGATAAGGCGAATTAAATTCCCCTTAAATTTTTATTTTGAACAACCATTATGATTTGGTGCACTATCTGACCAATAAAGCAGATTTGGAGGTATGAATATTTTTTTTATTTTTCTGTTTAGTGTTTTCTACAGGCCCTATGTGTCTCAGGATATTTGTTTAACGAAAACTAGACAAATAATTTATTTTTAAAATACATATTTTTTATTTTGGATGGAAGCTGCGTAACCTGAGAAATAATATAAGTAATATATATGGAGGACTTCCCATAACCGTGCTTGAAGCCAATGCCATAATTGTTTAGCTTACCGTCAACTGTACCCGTGGTGTGATCAACAGGTGGCCCGTGATCAGTAGACCCTCCCGACACTACATATTGTTCAACGTTGCCGTTTGCGCTGGTCATTGAGCACGCGTCCGTCTCAAAATCGCAATTTAACTTAGTTTGAAACACTGGAGGTGGGGAAGAATCATAGGTACCCAAGAAAGGACACTGGTATACATTAAATCCATTTATCTTAGGTCCGCCAGAGGACGCTCCTTTCATAACGTAGGTGAATGCCAAGTAGTTGACGCCAGGGGGCAGTACGATCACTTCCCAATTGTTCTCCGCAATCTGCTCTTGTGATAAATCAATCGATCTAAGAGTTTGTATACTGGAATCTGGGAAGCGATTGTTGATTTGCAAATATCCAAATGGATTTGTCATTCCAATTTTGCCATAGTTATATTCTAGACAATACGGCATTGTAGAGTTAGGGACAGTCATAGGGCTAGTTTCGTAAATTTGAGCTTGGTCGCCTTCAACGCGTGGTTCCCATGCTTCCGTTTTCACATGTAAACCTACAATTATCAAAAATATAATGTAGTTATACTAGAAATATTTAGAAATATATGTCTCAGATTATGCATTGCAATATCAACGATTTGATTTGATGATTTTGTCATTCTCATCACACTGCTTTTTTATTTAGTGCTTTAGTATCAAAAATAATGTATGCTGGATGCCCCATGCAAAGCAACGAAATTGGGGAAATTTGGAGCTTGGAGTAATAGAGGTTTAGTTGACTCATTCACCAAACGTCAATTGTTCACCAATCTCATTGATTATGGGACACTCTGTGACACGCACCTGTGCTGATTTCTGATCTCGTCCACTGCAAGATATCATAAATATTCTCGCTAAAATCGCAGTTATCTGTGTCAAAGTCGCAGCGCTTCACTTCTGTCGGAATGGGTGTATCAGTGTGCTCATTTGGGCAATCATAGACCCGGATGTCATCTATACAAAGATAATTAGCTACATGTGCACCAATGACAACAGTGTAGTTACCACGCGGCAATGGCGTATAAAAATGTGTCCACTCCGTCGTTTTTCCTGTTATTTGTTTTATTTCCTTGGTTTGTGTACCTAACTGCGTTCCTACGTATACATAGTTGCTTGTGTAGTTCCAATTGCAGAAATACCAAAATTCTATGCATTTTGATTCGGTTGTCAGGTCCCAGATTTTTTCAAAGTCAACGTAAGCTATTGAATGACTGTCCCCGTAGGCACCGTGTGTGTAGTAAATGGTTCCTAAAAGTATATAAATGAAAAATGGTAAATTGAATTAAGTTACAGCTGGAAAGTAGAATTTTGGTAAAAATTGCTATACCTGCACATGTTATTTTTGGTACAAAATAAAGTATGAAGGCATGTGTCAATTTCCTTGCTTTTTTCAGGAAAGTATCATTACATTATCTTCTTTTAGTATATCTGGTAAGAGTTCAATGAGAACTCTGGGAAATTCTGATATTTCACACTTTCTATTTTTCCAAATTTTCTTTCAAAGTTTTCAGACAACACAGGAGCTACCATTGACCTGTTTCCAGGTTTACTAAAAGTAGACAACGTACTGATACTTTCCTGAAAAAAGCAAGTAAATACGCCATGCCTTCATACTTAATTTTGTACCAGAAAATAACATGTGCAGGTATAGCAATTTTTTACCAAAATTTTACTTTCCAGCTGAGCCTTAAAGTGTGTGCCTGACCCGGCTACGTATAGCACAGAGTTTATACTGGCGGATTAGACTAGTTCATTTTTTATATGTGTGTGAAAGCTTTCTCTTATTTGCGTTTTTTCGTTTAGTACAGTTTTGTTATAATTGCCGAGGTCATATAAGGTATGAGTACCGTAATCCAACACCAAATTCGAAAATTCATAACAATACTTTGCACATATGGCGTTCGTGACCAACTATAAAACGCTTACCCCCCATAGTGTTATATATCAAAATGTACCTGTTCATATAGGGGTTCGATTGATCTACATCAAATTATAGGGAGTCAGGTTACTTTTTGAGATATCAGCGTCCATTTATTGTGACTCGCGTTTGCTACCACTTCCTCAATTCTGATATGATGGGCAAACGCGTAGTAAACATGCTCACGTCGGAACTATTTTTGACCTACATCGCTATTTTCGTAATTCAAATGAAAGTTTAACTCCTCCTCTTTATTTTGATACCAAATAGTGGCATACTAGGTACCCTAGAAGCCAACTATGGCGTTATTTAGAACAATACCACGAGTTTTTAAATGGACTATATAGGGGTCATACCTTTTGGCGGATGGATATGGAACCTCATACCTTAATGTGTTATGACATCACACTGATTTTTGTCTCTGCAACTTTTTTTGGCAGAAAATATCATTTCTAGTTCAAAAATGCATAAAAACGTCGGAACTGGCTGAATATGTGAAAAATTTATCCATTTAGGCTAGAAAGGGTTAATTTGCCCTACCCCAAATACGTCTAAATATGCTAGTCTAACTTTGCCACTGTGACGTCACAAATCTAACCTGACTATCTCTGAGTTTATTGAAGAAAATGATACGTCTGACAAACAGCTTCCATTCCCTATATGGCACACCTTCTACTAAGAGTTGCATCATTGACTAAATCTAAGACAAAGGCCCTGTGTCCCGACGATTTTGACTGAAATTTGGCCATTTTCGCCCAAATCTAACTAAATTGCAGTTTCCCTCACACCTGTATTTTGAAATAAATATTGCTACAATGTAGCAATTTAAAAATCACACATGCTTACTGTTTCTGTCGACCTGACACGTGTATCTAGCCTGTAAAAATGAAAAATCGCTACATTGTAGCAATTTCACTGAGATATGGGCCCTGAAAATCATGTAATTTTAGCAAAAAATGAAGAGATAACCTGCAATTTTGACGGAATTTCAGAGGGCTGTCTTTCATTCCAGACCCTCCACGGGCCTCTTATGACCATTCTTATACTCACAGAATGGTTGAAAGTGATTTCAAATCATTGTTTGCCCTACGCAGAACGAAAAAATCGATTCTATTCTCAAATTCTGCAAGAATATTGGTCTCTGGCCAACTAGCAGACAATTTTAGGCCTCATATTAATGTGTTATGACATCACACTGATTTTTGTCTCTGCAACTTTTTTTGGCAGAAAATATCATTTCTAGTTCAAAAATGCATAAAAACGTCGGAACTGGCTGAATATGTGAAAAATTTATCCATTTAGGCTAGAAAGGGTTAATTTGCCCTACCCCAAATACGTCTAAATATGCTAGTCTAACTTTGCCACTGTGACGTCACAAATCTAACCTGACTATCTCTGAGTTTATTGAAGAAAATGATACGTCTGACAAACAGCTTCCATTCCCTATATGGCACACCTTCTACTAAGAGTTGCATCATTGACTAAATCTAAGACAAAGGCCCTGTGTCCCGACGATTTTGACTGAAATTTGGCCATTTTCGCCCAAATCTAACTAAATTGCAGTTTCCCTCACACCTGTATTTTGAAATAAATATTGCTACAATGTAGCAATTTAAAAATCACACATGCTTACTGTTTCTGTCGACCTGACACGTGTATCTAGCCTGTAAAAATGAAAAATCGCTACATTGTAGCAATTTCACTGAGATATGGGCCCTGAAAATCATGTAATTTTAGCAAAAAATGAAGAGATAACCTGCAATTTTTGACGGAATTTCAGAGGGCTGTCTTTCATTCCAGACCCTCCACGGGCCTCTTATGACCATTCTTATACTCACAGAATGGTTGAAAGTGATTTCAAATCATTGTTTGCCCTACGCAGAACGAAAAAATCGATTCTATTCTCAAATTCTGCAAGAATATTGGTCTCTGGCCAACTAGCAGACAATTTTAGGCCTCATATTAAGGTATGAGTACCGTAATCCAACACCAAATTCGAAAATTCATAACAATACTTTGCACATATGGCGTTCGTGACCAACTATAAAACGCTTACCCCCCATAGTGTTATATATCAAAATGTACCTGTTCATATAGGGGTTCGATTGATCTACATCAAATTATAGGGAGTCAGGTTACTTTTTGAGATATCAGCGTCCATTTATTGTGACTCGCGTTTGCTACCACTTCCTCAATTCTGATATGATGGGCAAACGCGTAGTAAACATGCTCACGTCGGAACTATTTTTGACCTACATCGCTATTTTCGTAATTCAAATGAAAGTTTAACTCCTCCTCTTTATTTTGATACCAAATAGTGGCATACTAGGTACCCTAGAAGCCAACTATGGCGTTATTTAGAACAATACCACGAGTTTTTAAATGGACTATATAGGGGTCATACCTTTTGGCGGATGGATATGGAACCTCATACCATAACCAAGGGCGTTACAATACCCGGGAATTTATCGGTTCGTGCAGTACTTGTTTGTGATAGCGCCCTCTGTAGGTCACTGTGCTCATAGCCTACAGTAATACGGGGTAGGATATCGGGAATTCGGTCAGTTTCTATCCGTCGATTACGCTATGAATTGAAGCAAGTGTTACCACTTTATCCACTTAAACAATTTGATAATTGATTAAATCTTTGAACAAAATCGATAAACACGTTATACACTTCCTATCTCCTTAGAAATTAGCATGTATTTATGGATTGTGTTTTCGAACAAGGCTCGACCCATACCAATAGGGAAATCCTTATGCTAATTAGTATGACGTCATATTTTCCTGGGGAATCCTAGATTTCAAAGACTCAGTCTGTTATTGTGTCAAATGTAAACGCTCTTTTGCAGACAGAAAATTGACAGATTAGCTTTTAACTTTCAGCTTTGATGTTTAAATATTCTGTATTTCTACCGGACTTCTTGCTGAATATCATATAATGTTATAACTTGATTTGGACCATTGCCTGATTGATCATAGTGAAATTTTGATTGTGATTCACGATTGATTGGCAAGAAAAATAATTCCTATTGTTTTCCAGCAAAGTCAAAATGTTACAGCATGAGTTATAATGTCGAGTTTGCATCATGTTAAATTCTGCTAGTGATTAGAAGTCCATGCACAAGCACAAACACAAGAGACAAACACACCCAGGCTCCAGGCCGTGGATGGAAATATAAAACTATTTAAGGCACAGACTGGTATTTAATAGACCGATATGTAGTGTCTGCCATGTATTGAAAGTAAACCAATCTGCATTATTAATGTTACTTCTATCAATACATGGATTGAGCAATGGAAAAGCAATGGCACAATCAAAAATGTGCATATCAATCGTGAATATCTCTCGGTTCAAAGCTTATTTCAACCAGAATCGTGTCAAAATATGTGTCTGAGTAACAGTTATACATTATAAGATCGCAAACTCTTACCAATTATTAGCCGAATGGCTTATTTTCAACGAAATGTCCTTAAGACAACAGCCCTGGGTCGCGCCTGAGACCAAAAACTGTTTCAAATATCCCTCCCCTAATTATATTGGATAATCACATTTATGCGTGCGCGCGCAGCTCATCCACTGAACGAAACGCCACTTCCCGCTGAAATCACCGGGTATTGATCTTTCCCTTGATATAACCGGGATAAAACAATGATTATCGTTGACTGCCCACACACAAAACATACGTTGAGTGAACAGTGTTATTACAAACAACAGGCTTTAGAATACAAAGCGTAGTGTGATAATAAGCTGTACATTACCACTGCTGCATGTACATATTACTAATTTACTAGGGCTCCCAAAGAGTGGATAGGGAGGTTGTGTTTGTCACTTTTAAATTTTACATTTCAAAATTGTCATATTACATGTCATAATTTGTTGGTTTCATTCGTTTAGCCAATCAAAACATTGTAAAACAATAAATTGTCTGTTACGTACAATCAATTTTGTTCAGTTTTGATAAGTTGTCAGAATAAAGTTACGTTCATCTGAATCCATGTATCAAAACAAAAATCCTATTTTCACTTCAAAATACTTCAGTGAGATGAAGGCTCGGAATTGTCACATGCAATAACTTATTGTCGTATTCGTTATTTTATGTTCTCGATAGTAGCATTTAGTCGCACATTTGATGCCAGGTCACCTTGTCGCGTACCTCTTGGGGAACCCAACATTTATGTGTGTACTCATGGAAGTAAATTCCCCGGAGTAGCCGAGAGCCACAAACTTTTCAACAGGTTCGAAATGACCAATTTCTCTCATATATACTCTAAATATTTTATTATTTAGCACCTACAAAGTATTGCTAATAACCATATGTAATTTCAATAAGGAAACTTATCTGGCTACATATAAATTCAATATCAACACTAGCTGTTCTCTCAACACGTCCTGGCTTACCTTGTGGTGACAAACCCTGGATTTTCGCTATTTATAGTTTATCAACACCTGGACGCATGCGCATTTTATAGTTTATCGGGCACTTTAAATACCTTTTATACATGATGAAATTACAGTCTGTATTTCCAAATATTTCAAACTGCGAAAATGAAAAATATTTTTCGAAACGTGTAAATAAATGCGACATTGCTATTAAGAATCTAGATATCAAGGACATGTTTGGAGTGTTTAATCTTTATCTTCGTATTTGCCACAATCGGTGCACTGCTTGAAAAGAATTAATTCATAAAACTAGTAAAATTTGCAAACTCGATGGTAAAAATAATATTCTAATGTAGGCCATGACCAGGTACACGGATGGTATATTTACCTGCTTCTGTTCCGTAGGTATGGTCCACTGTCGGCAATCTTGGTCCATAGGAAGGCAAATCTCGTGGTTGCCCCCTTTTCCATAATTTTTTATTTTGTAGTCTACAGTTTGTATCACTTGGTTCAAAAGTGCATTCAATGTTAGAAGGTTGGTCACCTGCAATAGACCTATATATCTACTCTTTCTGAATGATTATTGGAACTATGGGTAGGGGAAACATTGCACATTTTTATAAACGATCCTTAAAATTGACTTTATTTGGGCATAGTGTCGACAAAGTGAGACCCAGAAGCCTTGGTAAACGATAAAATACTGTGTGTTCACTGGTGGAAATATGTACAAGTAATCGGGTAGTCTGGCCTCGGATGTAAACTCTATTTACAATTTCGTATAGTCAAAACAGTAATGTTTGTGACTACTTTGAATTTGAAAAATAAGCAATCAAATGACCATATTGAAACAGTTTAATTATGTAAACATAGAATCATTTATATTTATCCTTACTTTTGTATATTTCAGATAGTAATGTATAATGTGCAGCAAAGCTGTGGCCTTTTGTAATTTAGGGAGTTTCAGCAATGTTAATTTTTCCGACAATAACATGGCAGAGAAGTATCAAAATATAGGAGGACACAGATATGATCGCTTAACTAGAAAACAAACTAAAATAAACAAAAGTTAGGATAAATATAAATGTTCTATTTTTACATAAATTGTTTCAATTTGGTCATTTGATTGCTTATTTTTTAAATTGAAAGTACTCACAAACATTACTGTTTTGACTATAATTACAATTTTTACAGCACAGTGCACATGACCTAGATGGCTCTAGATGTGTTCGACATCGTTATCTATACCAAAATGCTGTATTACACTATCCTTTCAAGGTAGGAACGGCGTTAAACTCAATAACGGCGTTCTTTACTATTAGGAATTTTCTTGGCCATAAGACATGTCAGAAAAAACGAGGCCCAGGTTAGGTCTAATGTTGTTGGACTAGTCCATATGTTGATAATCTTGATCGATGATAATTCATAAAAGTATAACTGTTCACATTTATGTGGATATTTACAATGGTACACATACACATGTAAATGCTACATGTATGAGTTTATAGGGGTGATTACCAGTAATTATAATCATGAAAAATAAGTGATATATTATTATCTAGACATATGGGTGTACGACACAAAGGCACAGGCATATAGTTGTTAAAACCTGGGTTTCTAATATTGTCTTTCACGAATGCACATAAAGTACATTATTATAACTTACCTGGATAGGATACTGTCGTGTGAAACTGAAGACAAAGGAAAAGTCCAACTACCAGTCTAGTCATATTGTGAATCCAGAAATATTTGGAGATATCTTGTAAGATTTGTTCGATCAAATACTGCTGTATGTATAATCCAAATTAAGGTCAGGGTGCATGATGGGAAATTTTCTGCATTCCTCAATTGAGTCACATGTTATTTTTCAAACAAGAATCACTCCTTCCCCATATTGTCTATATCTTCCAGTTTTGCACAAAGAGTGCTCTTATGTGCCTAGAAAAGACTTGTGAGAAGAATGTTTTGATAAAGTGTATAAAAAACAAGAAAATTCAGTGAAAAGATTCAGAAAATTTTCAGAAATTTTTTTCACTGAATTTTTTCGTTTTTTATACATTTTACAAAACAAATCTTCTCACAAGGCTTTTCTAGGCACATAAATGCACTCTTTGTGCAAACCTGGAAGATGTAGACAATGTGGGGAAGGAGTTATTCTTCTTTGAAAAATAACATGTGACTTAATTGAGGAATGCAGAAAATTTCCCAACATGCACCCTGTCCTTAAAGCACCTGTATCTCTGCAATTGATATGTTTCATCTATGTCACTCTATGTCAATACACGAGTAATACCAGTTAATACTACTGTACTTGTAAGGTATAATCATGTGATCAATAATCATATAAGATTAAGACTACTCCATTAATAGCACAATTTTCATATTAGTCATATAAACAGCTACGATGAACGTAAAGGGCCATATTTTCAATACTACTATAAGTGCACTAAACTCCACGTTTACAAAAACATAGAACACAACGACTAAATTAACTTTCAAATAGTAATGGCCTTGTGGGCGAGTATGACATTTATTCATCAGTCCATTTACATCAAGCAACTATACATCTCGTTCCATACCACAAATCTCAACTTCTGAATGTTACTCTGAGCAACTGTTTTTGCTGAAAAAGGAAATATAAGGGAAAACCAATCCCTAGAAGATGATAATCACGTAAACTGATGGGATAATTATTAGTAATTAATTAATTAATTAATGGGATAATTAGTGAAACGTCGAAAATAAAACATTTTACTCTGAAGTAAATGAACTAAGTTATTATTAATAGAGTGATGAATTTACACAGAAATCACGTAAACGTTTTTGTTCCTCTAAACGAATACAAATGAAAACGACGATTATATACGTATATGAATCAAGCAATTTTACGGCTACAAAACCCTTTAATCAGATCTCGTATCTTGTCTAATAAAAGTTGCTCAAGTTGAATTATGACCCCTTGAGCAGAATAATTAATTCTGTTAACGCAGAGACACCTCCTCCACAAGATATCCAGTTATCCCATCATACATGGGGTTCCTAACGTATCATTTTTATTTATCAAGTCGATGTACCTTTTATTTTATCACTAATACTAAGTAGTATATGTTTTAGTACAGCACAGAACCGCGAATGTCAAGTACAATTGTAAATATTTGACTGTCAATCTCAATTAGACCTTGATAAGATAACTGAAACTGAGCTCCAATACAACGCAGATCAACATGGAGTGGTCGATATGTTGTGTTATCATAGGGAGGTTAAATTACACCTTTTCAAGATAACCTATACCATGAACGTGAACGCGGTGAACGTCCTCAATCGATTAATTCTCCCCTTTGTAGTATTCACTTGCTTGATTGAGTATGAAAGTATTAAGAATGAATATATAACTTTCTGGTAAAAGCAACAGAGAGTACAGTAATCAGTGGGATCATATAATATCATTACACGTTCATGTACAGTTCTCTAAAACATATAGCTTAACCTCGACTGCAAGCAACTTAAGCCAGCTATCATCATCTAAAGTCTACTCCACTCATGTTGATTCATTAGCGCGTTACATTGAGAAAATCCTCAAATTATCAGATAATATCTGACATTTGAAAAAATGACACGATAAAACGTTCATTCCAAATAATCATAGACTTTGAAAATGCTTATGATGCTCTCAAACTTATTTTATTGTAAAGTACTTATCGATCATTTCTTTTATCACACTGTTATATCTGTAAGGGCTAAAATGTCGTCATGACACTAAGATTAGGCTTACTCTTTTACTTATACATGTAAAATGGCGTGTGCTTCTACGACATTTAGAGACACAAGTTTTAAATCAATTCTAGAATGCCAACTTTGTCTTGATGATATCAAAGATCCGAAAGCATTACCGTGTCTGCATACATTCTGTTTGGCATGCCTCGATACACTGGTCGGAAGCACATTTGGGAGACGTGTAACATGCCCCTTGTGTTGTAGAATATGGGAGATTCCCCGTCATGGGGTAGCTGCCTTACCCACAAACTTCCTAATCAACACACTCACGGATATGGCTAAAGCATCAAATGATGAAATGGATCGCACACGTCAAGTTGAATGTGAACCTGAAAACTCGTTTAGCTGTGAACACCATAGAATGCCACTAGAGTTATTCTGCCGGGATGACAAAACGTTGATCTGCTACGCTTGCTACGCTCATGATCACCCGGGTCATACGTTCATCCTTGTTGATCAAGCTGCTGCGTTGTGTTCGGAAGAAGTGTATTTTGGAATGAGGCAACATCTTCAGGCATTGCACGCTATGCAGGATGATGTCCGTAGGCAAAGAATAGCTTATGACGGCGACACCAGTGATGACCTCGATATGTCCAAAGCGATCGTTGAGAGTACTATGACTCAGTTGGAAACGCTTGGGGGAAATGGACACCCCGTAGAAAATATCAGATTCTGCTTACGCGTGCGTGATCAGGGTTTACCCCTGCCACGTAATCGAGCGCGACTTCCATTGAACAACTGGGAAGTTAATTGTGGGGATATAATGGGATCTTTAAAACCATATGACCTTGTACCGACTGCTGTAGAGGTCAATGTAGTCAGCGAGATTCGTGTAGAGACACAAAAAAGGCATGGCGATGACCTGGGTAATTGGATTCAAGACATTCTACAAGCAGGGGTCAATCGCGTGACGACTGCCTTTGGGAAATTGTTCAGTTCCCATGTTCATGTCACAAAGTCTCACCTGTCTGGAAGAGGGTTCATCAGCGATCTCACATTGGTTGGACCACGTGGTCTCGTGGCTGTTCGACCTGGACGACTAGAATTTTATCGAAGCCGGAACTTGATCAAAACTGTAACTGGCGACTTCCGAAATGTTGCAACCAGTGCCGATTTGTCAATTGCAGTCACCAACAACTCGAACAAAATCAAGATGTACAGTCCGTCTGGTGTCCATTTGCGTGACATTGAAGTAGCCCATCTTTCAAAAATATGTGGTATTGCATGTTCGTTCAATGGCCATTTAATCCTTCTTGACTCGGGGACCGAAACTATGGCAGTGGTGGACAACCGAACCGGAGTCTTACTTCGCCGAAATAAAATCACGGGATTTGGCAATCGTCGGTATATTTCAGCTGACAAAGATAGTCAAAAGACGGTTGTTTCCGATTTTACGGAGAACACTATTAAAGTGGAAGATGGAAATAGTGAAGTTGTCATGGAGTTTGGTGATGCAGTTAATAGTGTTCAACTGCGGTCACCACGTGGTGTATGCTTCGTGGATAATGGTGATGTCGTAGTTGCCGACTGTTGGAACCACAGGGTCGTTGCTATTAGGTCCTCTGGTAGTTGTATCGAGCTGATTTCCGAGGCCCACGGTTTGAAATACCCCCAAAGTGTTGCTGTTGACTGGCACAATGGTTCTCTTCTGATTGGTGACGAAAAAGGCCAGCTGTTTGATGTACAGTTGTAATTGTAGTAGCTAACAATACAACACGTTCTATGTAAACATATCATATTTTTTTATCTCTACAGATTTGATTGGTTTCTACATGGGCATTAAATTGGCCCTGGCCCATGGTTTCTAGTAGCGCACTGGAATTTTGATTTGGGCTTCCACTCGATATCCACTTGACTCTGAATCACTTGCAAAGTGACTCGCATATGTTTTGAGGATATGATCTTCTTATATATTGTGATCCCGACCAATGGTCGGCATCTGGTCTTAGACAGATTTAGACACTTATGAAAAACGAAATGTAACACAGATTGACGATGCTAGTGCGTTTTCACTGATAATTTCAAAATTATGATCTTGTTTAAGTTTAAAATGTTTAAGTTTGTCACTGTTTATTTTCTGTATAGCCTGTGTTACGCGGTAAACACGATACAAATATATGGCATATTCTTCAACGAATAGGGCATATTAACTTGCGGTGTATGACAGATTCACCTGCGGTATATGGCATACCCACTAACCAATGAGAACGTGATACGGAAGTACGCGATTGTCAATTGCATCGATTGAACGAACGGGTAAAAGTTTATAAAATATTATAATAATTACTGAATCAACAATGCAGTGTATTGAATATATCAACTTATGCAGAAGTATCACTCAGCAATCTCACGTAATAAACTTACTCAATAAGTCCAGGATTCATATATTAGTACTCGAAGCACTAACTATTTGGTAATCCAGCGTAGTTTTGCAATTAGAGGCGATTTTCGCAACCAATCCAAACAAGGCTTTCTGTATCACGTTTTCATCTGCGATATATGTCATACTCACTTTCTGTATATGGAATATTACGCAAGTGAGTATGACATATTCAGCAAGTGAGTATATTCATGAGGGTATTCAATGAAATCAATGTATCGCATATTCACTGTGGAATATGCTATACTCACCTGCAGAAAATTCCATACTTACCTGCGGAATATGCCATACTCCCCTGCAGAATATGTTATACTCACCTGCGGAATATGCTATGTTCACCTGCAGAAAATGCCATACTTACCTGCGGAATATGCCAAACTCTCCTGCAGAATATGTTATACTCACCTGCGGAATCTGCCATACTCACCTACGGAATATGCAATACTTACCTGCGGAATATCGCCATACTCACCTGCAGAATATGCCATGCTCACCTGCGGAATATGCCATTAACATACCTGCCAACCTAAAACCAAAATTTTGCGGTCGATTTTTTTAAAATTGCTGTATTTTTGCGGTAGATTTTTTCAAAATACGGTAGTTTTTGCGGTATTTTTCAACAAAATTGCGGTAGTTTTTGCGGTAGATTTTAGAAAAAAACGGTAGTTTTTGCTGTAGATTTTAAAAAAACGGTAGTTTTTGCGGTAGATTTAAAAAATACGGTAGTTTTTGCGGTAGATTTTAAAAAAATACTGTAGTTTCAGAGGTTTGGGGTAGATTTTTGAAAAAAGTGTAATTTTGCGGTAGAAATTTGAAAAAAGCGGTAGTTTTGCGGAAGATTTAGAAAAAATGCGGTAGTTTTACGGTAGATTTTTAAAAATGCGGTAGTTTTTACGGTAGTTTTTTGAAAAACCGGTAGTTTTGCGAAAGATTCTGAAAAAATGCGGTAGTTTTACGGTAGATTTTGAAAAAATGCGGTAGTTTTTACGGAAGTTTTTTGAAAAAACCGGTAGTTTTGCTGAAAATTTTGAAAAAATGCGGTAGTTTTACGGTAGATTTTGAAGATTGCGGTAGTTTTTACGGTAATTTTTTGAAATACCGGTACTTTTGCGGAAGATTTTGAAAAAATGCGGTAGTTTTACGGTAGATTTTGAAAATTGCAGTAGTTTTTACGGTAATTTTTTGAAAAACTGGTACTTTTGCGGAAGATTTGCCAAAATGCGGTATTTTTCGGTAGATTTTGAAAATTGCGGTAGTTAAACCTTTATACAATGCGGTTTTCTATATTAATACAATGTTTACGTGGTCATATTGTTGTTGTTATTGTGAATACATATTTTACTGCAAGAGTGATTTTGATAATTACAGTTTGTAAAGCAGAACTACCACCTGAGAATTATACGAAACTATTATTTTCAAGAAAAAATAGATATACTATTTTCAAGGATAAATAGAGACTAAACACTTTTTATTCTTCATTTACCATGCCTACAATGGACTGACAGCAACTTTGGATTTTAATGTTTCAGCAAAATGTACATATACAACTTTTTTACAATAAATCTAGATTGATTCAAAATACGAACACAATATTCATATCTCCACTTTTATTCACCTTCTAACCAGTTTTTTTAGATATCAGGATGTTTGGAAATACCATGAATGAAACATTTACTGAAATACAAAATATGGATTTTACACGTTTTTACTCACCATCTTAGATGATCTATCATTTTAACGAATTGAAATGACAGACATAATGTTCATATAACATAGGGAAGCCGTCCCAATAACAACAACGGGAAATTTTACGGTAGTTTGAACAAAAATACTGTTGATTTTAGCAGAAATACGGTAGATTTTCGAAAATTTACGGTAGATTTTCGTAAATTTACGGTAGATTTTCAACAATTTACGGTAGATTTTCAAAAATTTACGGTAGATTTTACGGCCGTTCTCATGGAATAAACGAGTTTTTTACAAAAAAAATTAACGGTAGATTACGAAAAAATACGGTAGATTTTTTTACGGGCGTTTTTACGGGAAAAAATTGTATTTTTTTTACGGTAGTTTGTCATTTTTTTACGGAAAAACGAAAAATTTACGGTAGATTCCCGTAAAAATACGGTAGGTTGGCAGGTATGATTAACCTCATCTTGGTGTCTCGCTCTCTTTAGTCAGAGACTTATATGTCTCGGCTTTAGTCTACAAAGTATTCATTTAAAGGATAGATATACATACAACAACTTTAACTATTTTATTTAATGCGTGGTAAAATCAATTCTGATTATAATCTCATACACAAAAGGCTAGTTCATTGATGTGATATATCAGGGTTTACCAACAAAGGGTTTTTGTATGACGATTTCACGAATTCGAAAAAAATCACAAACACAAAATATTCCCTGGATTCTGATAATGATTAGCACAGCAGAAAGTCCTGGCAGTCCTAAAAGTCCTAACATTTTTATCATTATAAGTTCATTTTGCGTTAAATATGGATATTTTCGCATTTCGAATTTAAATTTCTTTGAATTTCTGTGAATATATTAGGGGGTATATGATGCACCTTGCACTTTTGTCACCCCGTTATGATTCTACCTTTAAGGCGCTAAAGAAGTTTTAATCCAGAGAGAACACTATGTTATCGTGAATGACTGATGGTTTGACCGATAACAACTTAACCTTCGTAAAGAAGGAAAGTAGCTATAGAATCTCACACTGTCTTAAAAAATAAACAAATGTTACATTTTTTGTTTGATAGAATAATACGCGTGGTGTTATCGCAAATTTAGAACTAAAAACAAAAAAGAAAACTAAATGGAAACCCGGAGAACGATGTTTAATAAAAACAGGAACCATTCGTTTTCTAATTGAGAACTTCCAGACTTTTTGGAACATTCTTGTGTCGACCTTTGATGGCCACGAGGGGGCTGTTTGTTGCATTGCAAAAGTAAGCCTTTATTTTGATATCCGCACAAGGTTAATTGCCAAAGTAAATAGCAGGGTATAAGATCTAAGATATAAAGTTCCAGAACACCGTGAATATCTGACGTAAAATAATGGAATATCTTCCGGTTGTTATGGTTACGGTTATATGAAGTTTCTCCAGAGCAGTTCGGGGGTCTATTAGAAAGGAATTAACGAGCCAAAGCTTAGTGTTGGTATAATGCCGCAAACAAGGTGGCTTTGATTAAGATTAAGCAAATAGAGGAGTTTTGCTTAGAGCCCTTACCATAGACCAACAACGTGAAAAGTAAGAAACAGCATTAAACAAAAAAAACATTAAAAACATTATACAAGTTGTAAAAAGTTAAAGATAAGATGACGACACATCGATATACACATGGTTTTTATTTTTGGAAAAATTAAGTGATATGCATCCATGATCAAATCTTTGTATGATGTCTTGTTTGCAAGTTCATGCCAAGGTGCAGAGATAAACAATACACCTGATCATTACTATCATGCTAGCATCAGATTACCAGATACCATCACTCAAGGAATATCACCACTGGATCAGATCTTACATATCGTAAAATTGAAATCAACGATGTTTACAACTGACTTGCTGGGTTGAGTTACCTCAATTGAGATTTTTTTAAAACGTGCGCGTAAGAACGACTTTGCAAATGAAGAAACACTAACTGACTAGTTTCAGTTAAGTTTATGGATCTTGGTGTCTTTGAACTTTGCCTAAGCGAAACGATGGCTAACAGACAAGGTGCAGTTGCCAGACAGGGTGCAGTGGCCAGACAGGGTGCATTCTTCATGATTTTACATGTGATGCTCTTGAATGCACAAATAGTGAATTGTGAACATGCGGCATCTGACGGAAAGAACAATAGAATACTAGCTTATTTAAAGACATTGCTTAAATGCCGTCATATACCAGGACTAAGCGTTGCTATAGTAACGGATACAAATGTGACCATGGCAACGGGTATTGGTAAAATAGATATAGAAGAAAACACAAATGCGACATCGTCTTCGAAGTTCTGCATTGCATCCATCACAAAAACCTTTACAAGTGTTCTTCTGGCTAATCAAATAATGAAAGATAGCCAGAGATATGGGAGCAGCACCGAAAGGTATGTCCACTTAGACATTGTTATATTCTCAAAATTAAGAACTATTAATAAGAAGGAAATGGATATTTTCAGATGTTTTGTTAGCCTTAAATTATTTACAAACGTTTTAAGTATACACCTGTTTTTTATAATAGCCATTTTAAAAAGAACACTTTGTTTAACACAAATTAGTGTTAAGCAAAATATCCCCAGACTCGCTTACCTATAAAAACTTCATACCTTGGCTTCTTACCTTTGTGACCCAAGATGATATCTCCTGGGTACTTGTTCGTAATCTTATACATGGAACCTTGAAAGACACGACCCTGAACATCTCTTTTGAGGGCCTTGTGGTATTTTATATGCTCTGATATATGCTGATCTACGACTGAGAACTTCAAATGCAATTCTAGAGATTTGTACGCATCACCACTTGTTAACAAGTGCTGAGAATCTTGTTTTGATTTCATCTCATAATTCTATTTAGACGGCAGCGAGCTTATCAAGTACTGAGATTCGGATTCAACCTTGTTTCCGAGCACAGCTTTCATAACTTTTTACTCCAAAAATAAGAAAATGGATTCGTTAAATTGATTAATAGGTGTCAAGTATTGGCGTTATATCATGATATTTGGAGATACAGTATACTCTCCTTGGATAAATATTCTATCTTTATTCTAATATATGGACTGGTCTCCGGAGCTTCATATATATAATGATGATAAACGAGGGTATTACTTAATGATGGAGCCATTTTTTTATTCAAATAATTAAGTTTGTAATATTTTTTTTATAGTTTGATACATTCCTGAAAATCTCACACATACAAATGTCTTTTTTGAATAACATTGATAAGTAGTTAATAAAATGTCATGCTTAAAGATACCAAAATATATTGCTGAAATTCGAACGATAAAATTCCTTATCATTCTTAGTTGTTCTTTGTGACCAACTGCTCTATGGGCCACCACCTGTAGTTTTGGATCCCCGGATTGTTGTATCAGTTCCAAATTCAAGGATAAATACCGCATTCGATTTTCCTTTTCTGATTAAATATATGTATGAACGTACTTCATTCGAATGGACCATGAATATAAGGTAATCGCTTAACATTTATTTATACATTAACACAATGTAAGGAAGTTAACACTCATGTCACTGCTATTATATGCCAACTGCCCCAGAGCAACAGTCTCTGGAAAGTATCACAATAGCTATTTGCAGAATATCAAGATTTATTAGAAAAGTAGTTGTTACATAACTTACAGGGGACTTGTTACTAATAGACTTTACTAACATCGACAACCCTGGCTCATTGTACCTGTGGTGTCTATGGTGTGAACAAGTTAGAGGGGGGGGGGATAAATACATGTACATGTAACTAAAGTTGAAAATACGTGACCCCTAAAATATTTTATCGTCGTTTTCTGCAGTATTGAGCACCTTAAAGTCTGGAACTGCAGTACCTTGACCTCAGTCATTCGCTTAAATTATGAACTCCAATAAAAGACATACGGCTGGAAAAGTATATGTGACATTGTACCGGTGACAAACCATCTCTCTAAAACATCTGTATTTATTTTGCTCCATTTTATATACCTCCATCACATTAATGTATTTTAGTAGTCTTCCTTTATTCTAAAAGCTCTATGATATAATACAATGCGAGTTGGAGAAGTCTTCTTGCTATTCTTTTTCTTTCTTATGACGAGGAGTGTATTGTAAACATTTTACTCTATTTAAGACTAACCTGGGACAGTCCCATCTACAGACACTTGGGACCGTGGTTCTCGTTATCCGACAAACACAGGGAGAAGACATTAACTTTACGTGATCTACTCGCCCATCGTACTGGAATGTCTCGCTATGATCTCACATGGATGCTAAGAGTCTTCCGACGGAAAGAGTTAATGAGGTATGTTATGAAGAGAAGCACTGACTTATTTGAAGAATTTTTGTTGATATGGTTGACATTGGTTGCGAAGTTTATCAATTCCTTTTGCAGGAAAGCAATCATTGTCATGTGCTCGTACACGTCATGCATGTCGGCCATTGTCATGTGCTCGTACACGTCATGCATGTCGGCCATTGTCATGTGCTCGTACACGTCATGCATGTCGGCCATTGTCATGTGCTCGTACACGTCATGCATGTCGGCCATTGTCATGTGCTCGTACACGTCATGCATTTTGGCCATTGTCATGTGCTCGTACACGTCATGCATGTCGGCCATTGTCATGTGCTCGTACACGTCATGCATGTCGGCCATTGTCATGTGCTCGTACACGTCATGCATGTCGGCCATTGTCATGTGCTCGTACACGTCATGCATGTCGGCCATTGTCATGTGCTCGTACACGTCATGCATGTCGGCCATTGTCATGTGCTCGTACACGTCATGCATGTCGGCCATTGTCATGTGCTCGTACACGTCATGCATGTCGGTCATTCCAACTCGAAAAGCATCGTTATTTTCTATCGGTGCATTGATACCAAACAATATTTTGAATTTTTGAAATGTGTTACATGTATCTTTCAATAATGACTTATGACATGACTTAGTCTTACAGTTTGTCATTAAAACTTTCTTGTTCGAAATGTTGAATTTGTGACATATTCATAAAATGGTAATACTAGGGTCATCACATAATGAACGATAAATGGCATTGCTGACATTCTTTTAAAATTAATATTGTCACATCTTCATCTTTGCCATGGTGTAGAAAAATATCGCGCTGTGTGATGTATCTTGGAATATTTGGTGATATTTGACAGTAAATATATGACTTTAATTCGAATATTAAAAAAAAGAAAATTGGTTGTAAATATTCAAAATATCATTTTTCAAGTAATATTTTGAAATAATGCAAATTCATTTTCAAACTCTACATTTGGTATGCTAAATTTTGCATACGTACGCTTGTATTTTAGAAAGTTGAAACATTTTAAATTCGCTGGAGAGTTCCGCCAGGGGTTCACATATAACAACTTGATGTATGCTCTAGCTGGTGCCGTAGCAGAGGCACGTGCGAACAGCACATGGGAAACACTCATACGGACACATCTTTTGCAACCATTGGGAATGAACGAAACTACCTTCATTGATGTTGAGGCTCCACGGTGGAAGAATATTGCCAAACCATATACTTATAAAAACGGCACGTATTTGCCTTTACCACGCGAAGCACATGGGTAAGAACATGATCTGTAATGGCCCCTGATAACAAGTTACTACTACTATAAACCATATATCCAAAGTAATCTTTAAAAATGGCCTCTGAACCTTTAAAATTGCCGCCATTTTTCATTAAAAAAACTAGAAAAACAGCGAATCCACGAAAAAACACATTTTGATAATCATGTTTTTTCCGGAAATTTTTAAAAACTGCCATCTTGAAAATGTCCTCTTTAACAGATCTCTGTACAGCCCAGCTGTAGTAGTTATATTATATTGGTTAAGCGGAAGGTGTTTTTGCTATAAATCAAATTCGGGCAACAATGGTCTCCAGGAACTGTAATACCTGTAAATAGTATTTAAAAAGCCAACAATTGCATTAGTTTTGTTTATCAAATACTTATCATAACAAAACTAATGCCATTGTTGGCTTTTTAAAGCCTTAGTTACCATACGTTTTACTAAAAAAAATAATCAAAAAAATTAAAATCGAATGGAGGTGGTGATTGAACGGAGGGGGATTAATATGTCTTGAAGATGGAACAAATACACATCTCATGTTACATCTCAGAAGAGTGAAAACGGGGAGTTATAGGAATATATCTTATTATGTCTTATAGACCTATTAATCCCTACCTCTAATTATTTTCGATTATCGTTTGTATAACATATGGAAAGCTTTAAAAAGCAAACAATGACATAAATTTTGTGACGACAATTTCAATTACATATTTATTACAGGTCGTGTAAACCCCAGTTGATTGATTTATAGCAAAAACATTGACTCGTGCACGTTGGTGGCGTTGCGCCTTTTTAATAGATCTCATATCGATTCAAAAATTCAATATTTTACTATACCATGCGCCTATACATTTAGCAATTCAATAGTCAACTTTCTCCTGAAAAAATAAAATTTCCAGATTTGTTGAATTTTCTAGCAGAGATCGCCGCATCCCACCCCCTCAATTCATTTTTCCTACCCCCGGGCGTGATAGTTGTTTCAATATGTATGGGGCAGAGTCCCAAGCTTCACTCCATATTTTTGCAATAAACCTTAAAATTCAAGGTGGTGCTTTAAGTGTTTTCATTTATAGGTCATTTGGTGTTGTTGGCGCCGCTGGTTCGATCTGTTCTTCTGCTAAAGACGTTGCAAAATGGATGCAATTGCACCTAAATGACGGTGAAACCCAGGATGGCAATCGAATTCTAAAAGCGGACGATTTAGAGACAATATTTGAGAGTGCGAGTGTTGTACCACAGAATTTGAAATGGGAGAGATTGTTCCATCGACCTGTTGTTCCAGTCACCGAGTCCAGGACTACATATGGCCTAGGGTGGTACAATGGCCACTATAGAGGTAGGTTTTATCAAACTTAGTTATCGAAAAATTATAGTTCTTATAATTATTCTGTTGAATTTATTGCCGTGATTGAGTCAATTGGCCCATCTAATTTAAATCGAAATCCGTCATGATTTTCAGTTATAACAACACCAGCAAGATATAGTTACTCATTTCACTTTTGAGCTTATCACGGGGTACCATCGAATAATTTTGGCAACGTACCGGAGAACGACATTTTACTAAGAAATGGCAATAATTTAGCACAATATATTTTCTAACTAGAGTTCTATTTTGATTTTGACAAAAGTAAGTATTCCATGCAATAACTATTTCATTCATGACTTTGTAGGAATTCTGATGGAACCCAGTTCTGATCAAGTACGAAGTTATTGAAATCGGCGCAGACGGACTTTACTCCGAAAGATGGTTTTTCGATTATAACTTTTCACAACATTTAAGTGTAGACTTTTGAAAAAAGTACAGAATAGTCCTTATACTTTTGAATAATTCTGTTATTTCTGATTCACACGACTCTGATTTGTTTAATTAAAAAAAAGTTTTAAAAATATTACTTAGGAACGTAACCGGAGCTGGGAACGTAACCGGAGCAGATCAGTTGAATTATTTAATCAAAAAATTAAAATATATGATTTAAAGCACATATACTAATTTAAAAACATACGGGATTGTTCGAATGTGTATTAATATATATGCTTTAAATCATATATTTTATTTTTTTAAATTATATAATTCAACTGATCTGCTCCGGTAACGTTCCCAGCTCCGGTTACGTTCCTAAGTAATATTTTTAAAACTTTTTTTTTAATAAAACAAATCAGAGTCGTGTGAATCAGAAATAACATAATTATTCAATAGTATAAGGACTATTCTGTACTTTTTTCAAAAGTCTATACTTAAATGTTGTAAAAAGTTATAATCGAAAAACCATCTTTCGGAGTAAAGTCCGACTGCGCCGATTTCAATAACTTCGTACTTGATCAGAACTGGGTTCCAACAGAATTCCTACAAACTCATGAATGAAATAGCTATTGCATGGAATACTTACTTTTGTCAAAATCAAAGTAGAACTCTAGTTGAAAAATATATTGTGCTAAATTATTGCCATTTCTTAGTAAAATGTCGTTCTCCGGTACGTTGCCAAAATTATTCGATGGTACCCCGTGCTTATATTTCATAATAAAGTAGGTGCGAGTAGGTAGTTACCAGTTTCACCACCAGGTGGCTCGCTCGGGTCAGATAGCATGGCGCGTATAGTAGAAAGTTCACTTTAATTTAAATTACATCTGTTTTAGTGGTTCAATTGTCATATAACCCTTATGTATCTAATAGTTATGCAGATTAAAATATGTCCAGTAAAAGAAAATGTTATCTGTCCAATACAAGAAAAGGTATTTCACTTTTTTTGATTTTGTAACATGGGGTCTATTGGGAATCAACCCGAACTAGAAGACACATTTTCACAAATAATTAAATTTTCAAAGCTGATAAATAATTTTCGAAATCATGTTTCTAGATGTACCTTTACATGTATATTTCAAATATGACATCACTTTGACTGAATTTTGAATATTTATTTTAATAAAGCAAGATTATTTCTACTCGCATCTAGTCTATTTTTTACATCTTATATATCGTATCAAACTTATATTCTCGATACACACTATTGTCTTTGGTGTGACCTCGCTTTCATATATTTAAAACACGTACATTTAGTATAGTAGGAACAAGGGGTTCCCATGCACCCATAAGGTGTGAATAAGTTACATACATTTTTGTAATCCCTAGGGTGTATATTTAATGAATCCATTTGTTAACATTGCCAACTAATGTCCCATAGTACTTTTATGGCGGCATTCAGTTACCATGGTTACGCATCTTTAGACATCTTACCTTGGTATCTTAAATCATTATTTGGTCTGTCATTATTTGGTCTATAGAAATGATATTGGTACCAAATTAAACCTCGTTAAATTTCTAATAAATTTATGATATTCAATTATGCAAATTATCTAATTTGCATAAATTATGACGTCATCAATCTATTTTTGGTTCAGAATTTCCAACTATAGCAACGTATCTATTAGAACTGAGGCCGTATGGCAAAATTTCTGAAAGGTTTTGTCCTTTATTCTATTAGTAGAAGGTATAAGCAACATAAAAGTGAAAACAGATTCAAAATTGAATCAGTATTACGAAAGTTATGTAACTTTCGAGGCAGCTATCGTGAATGTCATTATTTGACAATAATATACATACGTCTTACCTTGGAGTCTTGAATCAATGTAGCTTCGCCATTATTTGGTCTATAGAGATGATATTGGTATCTGATTAAACCTTATTAAATTTACTATATGGTTACATATTCAGTTATGCAAATTAGCTAATTTGCATTAATTGTGACGTCATCAATCCATTTTTGGTTCAGAATATCCTAGTATAGCAACATATCTATTAGAACTGAGGCCGTATGACAGAATGTGTGCATAGTTTTGTCTCTTATTTGATGAGTGGAAGATATAAGCAACATTAAAGAGACAACAAATCTTCAAAATTGGATCAGAATTAACAAGATTATCCAGCTTTGGAGGCAGCTACTGTGAACGCCATTGTTTGACAATTATAAAAAGAATATTAAATTAACAAAAAAAGTAACAACCATAGTTGTTTCAATCTTATTGAGTAAAAATGTGCATGTATTGAACTGAACTAATAAGTATGTGGAAAGGTTACATGCATTTTGACTATCATTCACAGGGGTCAAAACAGTTATCTCGACCCTGTATATTAAAGATCCAATCTTATAATTCACCATGCACTTTCAATGATTCATATAAATAGTATACATATAGTCTGCTTTTCATCATATTCGTTATATTCTTGATTCTTAAAGCATCTGAAGTATATAGCATGATTAGAAGTGAAGATCATCATATGGTTTATGTAATATTTCTAACATTTCAGATGCTATGGTAACATCACTTGATAATGAGGTTTTTACATTTCACGTTCTAAATGAGTTAAAAGGAAGTTATTCTCCCTTTGCTTTAGAGATAAATAGTTGCATGAATTTGTTTAGAAAAATTATAACTTAATTAATTTAACCCCCCCCCCCCCTGACAGCCCCATATTTGAAGATTTTGGTGAAACCTGGCAAAATACATTAATTATTAGGTTCCAGAAGCCCCCAGAAGCTATATGATGGCCCCCAGTGGCCCCAAGAATCTATACAGGGGCCCCAAGTGGCCCCCAGAAGCTATACTGTGCTCCCCAGAAGCTATATGTTGGCCCCCAGAAGCTGAATAGTGCCCCCAAGGAGCTATACGGTGGCTCCCAGAAGCTATACAGGAAACCTTGTAGCCCCCAGGAGCTATACGGTGGCGCCCAGAAGCTATACAGGGGCCCCCAGTGGCCCCAAAAAGCTATACGGTGGCCCCCACAAGCTATACGGGGGCCCCCAGAAGCTATACGATGGCCCCCAGAAGCTATACAAGGGCCCCCAGAAACTATACTATGGTCTCCAGAAGCTATATGGTGGCCCCCAGTGGCCCTCGGAAGCTATATAATGGCCTCCAGAAGTTAATTAGTGGCCCCCAGGAGCTATATGGTGGCTCCCAGAAGCTATACAGGGGACCCCAGTGGCCCCAAGAAGCTAAACGAAGGCCCCCAGAAGCTATACAGGAGCCCCAAAAAGCTACATGATGGCCCCCAGAATCTATATGATGGCCCCCAATGGCTCCCAGAAGATGTGAAGGGCCCCCAGTAGCTCCTAGAAGCTATACGGTGACGCCCAGTGGCCCTCATAGGCTATATGATGGCCCTAAGAAGCTAAATAGTGACCCTCAGGAGCTATATGGTGGTTCCCAGAAGCTACACAATGGCTCCCAGAAGCTATAAAGGACCCCCAGTAGCCCCTAGAAGCTATACGGTGGCCCCCAGTGGCCCTGAAAGCTATATAGTGGCCCCCAGAAGCTATACGATGGCCCCCAGAAACTATGCAAGGGCCTGCAGAAACTGTACTGTAGCCCCCAGAAGCTATACAGGGGCCCCCAGTGGCTCCCAGAAGCTATACGATGGCCCCCAGAAGCTATGCAAGGGCCCGCAGAAACTATACGGTAGCCCCAATAAGCTATACGATGGCCTCCAGAAGCTATACAGTGTCCCCCAATGGGCCACCATATAGCTTTGGGGGCCACCGTATAGCTTCTAGGGGCTACTGTGGGCCCTGTATAGCTTCTGGGAACCATTGGGGGCCATCATATAGATTCTGGGGGCCATCTTGTAGCTTCTGGGGGCTGCTGTATAGCTTCTGGGGGCCATCGTAGAGCTTCTTGGGGCCACTGGGGTTCCCTGTATAGCTTCTGGGTGCCACCGTATAGCTCCTGGGGGCCACTAATTAGCTTCTGGGGGCCATCATATAGCTTCTGAGGGCCACTGGGGGTCACCATATAGCTTCTGGAGACCACAGTATAGTTTCTGTGGGCCCTTGTATAGCGTCTGGGGGCCATCGTATACCTTCTGGGGGCCACTTGGGGCCCTTATATAGATTCTTGGGGCCACTGGGGGCCATCATATAGCTTCTGGAACCTAATTATTAATGTATTTTGCCAGGTTTCACCAAAATCTTCAAATATGGGGGCTGTCAGGAGGGGGTTAAATTAAGTTATAATTTTTTTAAACAAATTCATGTGATTATTTATCTCTAAAGCAAAGGGAGAATAACATTCTTTTAACTCATTAAGAACGTGAAATGTAAAAACCTCATTATCAAGTGATGTTACCATAGCATCTGAAATGTTAGAAATATTACATAAACCATATGAAGAATCATCTTCACTTCTAATCATGCTTTATACCTCAGATGCTTTAAGAATCAAGAATATGAAGAATATGATGAAAAGCAGACTATATGTCGTCGCGTGAGAATAACTTTGTACTAACTGCCATTTTCAAAAAAATTGAGATAGACATGGAATTTTACTATTTGAAACACAGGCTTTCATCTCAGATACATGCCCCATCTCAATTCCCTCTCATTAAGCTAGAATTCAGTGTGAAATTGTACCATCTCCAGACAAACAGCTTATTTCTAATTTCAAATTGTCATATCTGATATCAACTGTTTCAACCAATCAACTCTCTAAGAATTGGTCATGTGACTTGCAAAACTTGGAGTTATAACAATCTTATATTAAAACGAAGTATGCCAATATGCATGTTATTGTATCTAGAATGAAATAATGTTTTGTAACACAATACCATGCCAGTTTGCATGCCTGGCCTTTCATGTTTTAGTTTTAGAACTATTACAAGTAGATCAAAAAATAAAATGATACAGTATGTGTAATCCCATGCATATTCAAATTATATGCCCTCAATTACTCTTTGTATTATGGATGCTCATTGGATTATTCATGGCCACATGATATGAAATAGAATTACTAATTTCCTCGAAAACCTAAATCCTTGCTACCAGGGAAGATGAAAAGTACAAATGACCAGTTAATTAGATCATGTGAGCAGTCAAAAGTACCCTTTGTCTTCCCTGCTACCAGGTCTTTTGGGGTCTGTTTGAATGGCCAAATGCAATAGAAATGCATATACGAAGCTGTCATCATTAAATGTTGAAAATGAAAGACTACTTATTTGTTTCTTCAAATAGAGTACATAATACATGTAATAGGTTATATACTAGATATAGTAATCAAAACAAATAGTAACTGTCATATTTTGCACTACATTGCTCAAAGGCAATCACTGTCTTTATACTATTGAAATCTCTTTCAAAATGATGTTTTATAGTTTGTGGATAAAAGCTAAATCTATTTAAACTAGCTTTAAACTTTTACTTGCCATACATTATATCAAAAAGGAGTTATCTTTATGTTAGTATAGTCCCTTAAAACACTTATTTTATTTTCTCTTCATCTATGATTTACTTTGCGCTTTTCACTGAACATCTGGGATCTTTTTAGTTATTTCATTACTAGTATGTTTTTCAGATTTGTCCTTTCTTTTGCATTATCATTGTTTTTAGATCATCTACATTTTATTTTGGAAAAGTAACAAATTGGTTCAATTTCTTTAAAAAGAGCCACTCTTAGTCTCCACTTCTACAATTGCTTCAATTCCCAATTGTACTCCACAGAGTAGCAAACAACAGAAAATGAATGGATAATGATAGCTGCATCCCAATGAACAAAATGTGATTACCTAAATCGAGGTTTCATCACTTTCATTAATCTAAAATGAATTAGAAATTATTTTTCTATTTTCAAATTTCTTCCCTGTACATGTAATAAAAATTGGTTATGTCTTAGGCCCTAAGGATCTGAAACCTGCTGGTCAAAATGGAATTACGGACCAGTTGCAATGTTATTCTCCTATACCCAGTGAAAAAATCAACTGGTCTGTTGTAATGTGCTGGGAGGTTTAGGCTACAGGGTTTATACCGAGGGAAATATGTGGGGGACCGTATTGGCATCATTGGTTTCAATGCATTATACTTCTGCCTTAGTTTCAAAGGCAATAAATTCTTTTTGAAGGGTGTCCTGAGATTCCAAAATTAAGAAATAATTGTACTTATTTGAGAAATTGATTTTAAAGTTTTATAAATTGAATTTTCTTTATTTTATTAAATAATATTCTTTGGTTTTTGAAGATTTTTTTACAAAGCAAAACATTATTTTTCATTCTAGATACAATAACATGCATATTGGCATACTTTGTTTTAATATAAGATTGTTATAACTCCAAGTTTTGCAAGTCACATGACCAATTCTTAGAGAGTTGATTGGTTGAAACAGTTGATATCAGATATGACAATTTGAAATTAGATATAAGCTGTTATTCCGGTGGGAAATTGTATCAACTCCATTTCCATAGTTTTAAAAAAGGATCTTGTAAATTGTTTCAAGGTATGATATTTCATATAAGATATCTCTAGGGTGAGACCAGGTGACATACAAAAAAATCAAGTTTCACATAGCAATACTAAGTAAGATACAGACCTCTAAACTTTCAAACCTTGATTTCTCAGTTCCGTAAAAATGTGAGATAGTACAAAGTTATTCTCATGCGACGATGTATACTATTTATATGAATCATTGAAAGTGCATGGTAAATCATAAAATTGAATCTTTAATATACAGGGTCGAGATAACCGTTTTGGCCCCTGTGAATGATAGTCAAAATGCATGTAACCTTTCCACATACTTATTAGTTCAGTTCAATACATGCACATTTTTACTCAATAAGATTGAAACAACTATGGTTGTTACTTTTTTTGTTGATTTAGTATTCTTTTTATAATTGTCAAACAATGACGTTCACAGTAGCTGCCTCCAAAGCTGGATAATTTTGTTAATTCTGATCCAATTTTGAAGATTTGTTGTCTCTTTAATGTTGCTTATATCTTCCACTCATCAAATAAGAGACAAAACTATGCACACATTCTGTCATACGGCCTCAGTTCTAATAGAAATGTTGCTATACTAGGATATTCTGAAGCAAAAATGGATTGAAGACGTCACAATTAATGCAAATTAGCTAATTTGCATAACTGAATATTGTAACCATATAGTAAATTTAATAAGGTTTAATCAGATACCAATATCATCTCTATAGACCAAATAATGGCGAAGCTACATTGATTCAAGACTCCAAGGTAAGACGTATGTATATTATTGTCAAATAATGACATTCACGATAGCTGCCTCGAAAGTTACATAACTTTCGTAATACTGATTCAATTTTGAATCTGTTTTCACTTTTATGTTGCTTATAGCTTCTACTAATAGAATAAAGGACAAAACCTTTCAGAAATTTTGCCATACGGCCTCAGTTTTAATAGATACGTTGCTATAGTTGGAAATTCTGAACCAAAAATAGATTGATGACGTCATAATTTATGCAAATTAGATAATTTGCATTATTGAATATCAGAAATTTATTGGAAATTTAACGAGGTTCAATATGGTACAAATATCATTTCTATAGACCAAATAATGACAGAGCTACAAATGATTTAAGATACCAAGGTAAGATGTCTAAAGATGCGTAACCATGGTAACTGAATGCCGCCATAAAAGTACTATGGGACATTAGTTGGCAATGTTAACAAATGAATTCATTAAATAGACACCCTAAGGATTACAAAAATGTATGTAACTTATTCACACCTTATGGGTGCATGGGAACCCCTTGTTCCTACTATACTAATTGTACCGGGTACTGTTCTTCCCCATATAACTGCATTTTGATGTATTGAACTTCCCATCTACTGACCAAGGATCGTTTAGACGATTGGTTAACTTGTGAAAAGACATATTCGTATAATAATTGATAGTAACACTCCTCAAATGATTCGAATAAAAAATTACAAACATGTTTTGATTTTGTGCTTTTTTCGCAGTAAATTAAAAAAATCACACGGTTTTCTCAATGCATGCATATCCTTGAAGACAAATAAAAATGTTGATTGTTAGGAATACTAAATACTACAAAGAAGGTGTGTACCAAATTTCATGGAGATGCGTAAAAATTAATGAGACTAGATAAGTTCGACAAAGAAGAGGATTGCGACAAAATTTCACGTGGGGTTCTGAAGACCAAAATTCTATGATTAACCACAAAGTAATAATAATTTAATATTATGATGGTTTATCATATTTTAGGATTACGTACGCATGTTGCACATGGAACAGCTGGCGGGTACGAGTCCCAGATAACGTTGTTCCCAGACAGGAAGCTTGGAATATATACAGCGATGAATGGGTTAATGGGTCCATCTGCATATATAGCACTGAGAATGATGCATCAATATATTGCTGACGTCATGATGGGACAGAAACCCTGGTTGAACCGCACAACCGGATGTACATTCCCGGAACCTTGGTCGGAAAATATTTACGAGAAAGAATCGACCCAATTTATTAACACTTCATTGCCAGCCCATCGACCTTTTGTTGATTATACAGGCGTCTATATAAATGACGGCCATGGGACTATTCATATTTCTGCTAACACCAGCTACAATTATTTATATTTCAAAATAGGAGAACTTGGTAATTTTATACTTTATCCAATGGAAGAAAGAGACCGGTTTCACATGAAAGCCACATATCCTTACTCTTTCTATTTATTCTATCCCCTGATGTTTAACAATGATACTAGAGGGTATATAAACAGTATTTCAGTGCCATCTTTTGACGTTGAAAATCCTCCTATCTTCTTTAAACAACACCAAGCATCAGACAGTATTAGTTTAGCAACTAGTTATGCATTCACTTTAACATTTTCCGTGAGCATATACTTATGTTGGATTTAGAACAAGAATCAGGTCAACTGAGAATAGTACCATATCGTGTTATCAGGGGCAGTGACTGGCTGGGCCAGAAATGTGATTCACCTTTACATATAAACGGAGGCTTAGTCGAAGGCACAAAACGACGAATGGAATTGTTAATTAATTATCAGCCTCGTAAAAACAAGTCTGTATACCAGGGTTCAGAGACAGACACACACATGTAGGGCTGTTCAAGGAATAATCATTCATTAAACCTATTGGTGATTTTCTTTGAAATGAATGAACAAAATGCCCTTTGTTTATAACTGACCCATTTATACCAACAAATTCGTTGTTCTCATTGTGAATGTTTCCTTCGACAAGACATTTTTTCTGAAAATAAGGTAGAATGTGAGGTAGAATTTCCTTAGACACATAATCTCAATTCTACTTAATAGGCTGTGGGACTAGATGCTTACAACTAAATCAAAAATTAAAATATATATATTTACGAAATGATATACAATATAGGGCACATAACATCAATGGTCAATATGTCTGAGAAACAAATGTTCTAAGCAAACACGAACATAATGGACGAAAATAGGGGTGTTTTGACACAATAAGAACTACTGAATCGTAATTCGGGGGGGGGGGACAAAAGTTTATTTTAGACTCAAGAGTTTAGTGACAATTACATATTATATAACACATTTCTGCGCAAATAAAATCACCCCGGCATACCTTTTATGTATAATACACTTTTGTAAAACGTATAAATCATGTTTTGTAAATAAATGTTCCCGTCGTTTTAATAGCATCCGGTCATAGACTTTAGCAGTGAAGAGACAAATTCTGTCATGAGACATTACAGTTAGCACTGGAATTTACTCTCTTCATCTAAAATCAGTTTCAATAGTGGAAACGTTTGCATACAAGTCTAAACGGTAACAGTTCAGATTTCATTTTTAATTGCAGAATTACATATAAGGCACACACCCCTTTCATCGACTTGCAGCCTTTCATGACGACCAGTCCATATTCTTATTGGTGCTAGTTCACATCTCATTTTAGCAAAAAAGCTTTCTTTGAGAAATGGAAATCGTCGATACAACAAAAATTTTATCAGTCCATATTCCAATATATGTACCCACCCTCGACCAAGTATCAGCAGGACCCAATGACTTGGTTGTATAGTGTTCCTCTGATAATCACCTAATCCTACTTAGTCTATATTTAGTTTTCTGAACGTTGCAGCTGGAGCAGTTACACTTGGACGTTTCTTTTCATCAATGTACATTCCTTCTGTAGTATATTTGATTATTGCTGCCCGTTGCTTCGGATCAGTAAAACGTTTCGCGAAATCATCTACAATCAAAGCAACATTCTTGAGATCATTTATGAAGAGTGTCTGTCCACGCTGCACAGTATAATGAAATATAAATTTTCGTCAGGTACGGTGTTAGAGGATAATATGCTATATTTTTCATGTGCGCAGATAAGTTGGTGGTTGCGGACGGTTGATTTTTATAGTTATTACTTTTTTGTAAACACATTTTTATCTGATTTACATCAATTTTGTCAATTTTAGAATTATCGTCTCATATCAAATTCCAAGATATTCCCAACATACGTACCATGGTATGGTATCTCTATCTGTTAGTTTAAGGCGAATTATTTCTAAACATTTTAAAAATCCTCATTTTCTCTAGTTTACTAGGTCGATCAATAAGTTCTGAGAAAAATCCTCTAAAATCAAGTTTTGTGATTTTTTTATTTGAAATTTTCACAGAATATACATGATATTACATGATAATTCCACAAACGCACTGTACCCTATCAAGATTTTGAAACGTCATCTTAAGCGGGCTGTTGCACGAAAACGCCCTGAAACAGTGATGTCGTCATTACTGAACCACCACGACAATACCCCGTCCCATACATTTGGTCTTGTCAAAAGCACTATCACTAATGACCTTCAAATGGAACAACTCAATATTCAGCAGATTAGGCGATTTGTGATTTAGGTGTGTTTGCGCCGATGAAAGATGAGATGAGAAGATTCAGATATGCAAACTTTACAGTCCTCCAAAATGCTGTGAAAAATCCCCCGAGGAAACGTTTTCCTGATGAATTAAGACGCTTTTTCCACCAATGGGAGAAGTGTATCAAGAACCATGGAAACTATTTTGAGCATCTTAATTGAACCTAAACATTTTGCTAGGACGATAATGCAGGAAGCGACTAAGAACTAAATTTATAGATTGACTCATTGACATTTTATGTGCTTTACTTCTGCAATTTAGATCATTTGCCCCGCCTACCCAAAACACGAGTTACCATAGTAACCATATTGTTGTCCAATAAGAGGAAAGTGCATACAACTTGTTACACTAATTGCTGAATTCATCTCATATATTCTGTGAAAATTTCAAATAATGAATTCACAAAACTCTCGATTTTAGAGGATTTTTCTCAGAACTTATTGATCGACACGGTATGCGGATATCAATTTTTCGAACTTCTCCTTTTGATTATGAATAATCTTAAATCAATTGATTAGATATTATCAAATTCAAGTATTGGTTCTCGCACTAAGTCTCACCTAATATATTTTGAATTGTACCAGCATTTGGGCCAGTGTAGTCATCTGGTAGATATTCCTCTGGCAGAAGATGCATTGGGACGTGCTTATATAAACTTTCTAAGTTGTTGCCATGAGTAAACATCTGAAATAATAGAATTCAGCAATGGCAATATGTAAACACGAGATGCTAGAATTCAGCAATGGCAATATGGAAACACGAGATGCTAACTCATTGAGAGTCTCGGAAGTTTTTAAATGACAGTCACTGCGGGAAACAAAAATAAAATGTTGCGACTTTGTGACTAACATTTTACTATTCATCTTTATTTTCAAGCTTCATTGTCAAACTAAACTTTTCTTTATAATGTAATAGATTATTTTAAAACCATTAAATTGTTCACTTTCATTTATAATTCAATCGAATGCGCAGCCCAAATGACACATTGCCATTAATCTGCTCATGTACTGTCATTTAATTAATGATCAGTGGGTCCGAGATGAGGTGCTGTTTGAGATCCGCAAGGCTGTAACTTCAGCATTTAACTACAAATGGATATCAGTATTATCTAATGTTATTGTTAAACTTACTCTGTCCTGGATTTTCTTTGAAAGGAAAGGTCTTGTTATGGTCATAATGGTATCAAACACTGGCCCGGTGTTGTAATAGTGTAGCGCCTTGAATCGGGCAGGAAAATTATCCTGAAATTCAAAGATTATCATAAATCAAAGCTGTACAAATTAAAATTGAATCTGTCGAATGCTTTTCTATGAATTTCGATTACAAGATTAACCGAAAAACGAAAGATGACCACTCTGTAATTCACCAAGCATGTCCAAAACTTGATCAGAATATTGGTATTTAAAGTCTGCATTTTGATGTTAAGATGTCCTGATTTATTTACACCCGCCCACACATGTACGCATGTCAATCAGCACAAGACAACGAACGTGCAATAAAACGACACATGGATTTGTATTGTAAGGTGAGCATTTTGTATGTGAACAATATGTTTACCTGCCAAAATTTTGTTGACTTTTTCACCATCTCTATTCCCAGAAACGACAAATGTTTTGCTGTAAAGCCTGTGTAGTCAAATATTAGAACATAGCCGTTCACTTGTGCCATTTCATCTTTCTGGAGAATACTGAATACCACTGTGCTGTTCTTTATGATGTCATTGGGGCCTATAGTACTATCTTTTACATCAAATACTCCTGTATTAGAAATGTATATACCCATACATTCATGGTGAAGTAATACCTGGCTATAAGTCATACATTTACGGTGTATAGTAGTACCCTTGCTATATACCCATACGTTCGTGGTATAGTAGTACATTGGCTATATATCCCTACATTCATGGTAAAGTAGTACCCTGGCTATATAGCCATACATTCATGGTAAAGTAGTTCCCTTGCAACCAATACATTCATAAGAAGTACCCTGGCTATACAGCCATACATTTACGATGTATACATCTTAGTAATACCCTGGGTACATAACCATAAATTCATGGTAAAGTAGTACACTGGCTCTATTACCATACATTCGTGGTAAAGTAGTACCCTGGCTATAAAACCATTCATTCACTGCAGTCTTGCCTAAGTTGGTGTCTTTTTATATTTTGCATTTTATTTTCACGCTTTTTAATTAAAAATCAAGATAAATAAAAAATAATACTGACTTGGGCAAGGCTACATGAATTGATGAGGCCGATATTCTCTGATTAAACCCATGTTACCTGCTCGCATTATGATAATTGTTCTCCCTTCACTGTCGCGGCCTGGAAGAGGTATAACATGCCTGAAAAACATGAATTGGACAACTAGACAGGCTTATTGATCTAGATGATATAGACGACTGGTAAAAAACGTTAACTTATAACAGAATAAAACCGTGTCACACATTTGCAATAGATCATGTCATAAAGGCCTCTGTTATAATTCTTATATATAGAGGTTATTTACTGGGAGGGATTCAATATGGATTATATTCCGAGGGACAATATGATATTTCCCGAGGGCGGGCAATATCATATTAACACGAGGAATTAGGAGTATCATGGGATAATATAATTGAAACACCTTTCCCCAGCAGCAATGACTAAGTACGTACAGCATATTACTCACCCCTTGCTGTAAATACTTGAGATGCCTTTGTTCAAAGGGTCAATATTCCGGAACCATTCGGGTATTTCCGTACAAAGTGTTAGGAAGTCTTCGAGCATTTTGCGTGCAGCAAGTTGTGAGAATTTGCATCTTCTTAGAAATAGCAGCATGAAATAAGTTTCTGTAAAAATAAATCTCTGCTTATTATACAAGATTCAATTTCACCGAACAAATTAGAAATTTTGATTATAGGCATATCCAAGAAAAGTTGGATCCCAGAATGCAATCTCGGTATTTTCAAACAATGAATCCGATCTTGAAGGATGTCGAGATTACAAATTGATTGGCCTCCATTTTTTCACTTAAGAATTTGTATCACGAGTTTTAGTCTTATTTCCATACAAAAAGTTTCAAACACACAACAAGTGATCAAAATATTTGTTCAGATCTTTTTCAGATATTTTGGACATTTGGGACATTTTTAATGTTGATATCGATCAAGGTCAAGGTCGAATATTGGGTTGTGTCCCTGGAAGGAGCATATCCGCCCTGGGCATATCAATAAATAGAAAATATATTGGTACAAATAGCTTCTCATTTCGTTCAGTGCCTTTGCATTCGTTCTTGACATCGTTCTTGGCTATTTTGTTTTTCCCTCGGATGAAAAAGAGAATATTTACATACTTTTAATGCTTTCTACACCCCTTATAAAATATCAACATTCACATATGTATGATGTCTGCTGATTTCTGTAAATGTAGAGCACATTATAGTATCAATGGATCATCTTATTACCACCTGGAATACAGAAAAACTGCTTTCCAAAATCAAAAATGCAGCCTTAATTGCATGCAGTGACTTACCAGTTCCGCACACAAGATGGGGCTGTGACTCGACCCATTCTCTCAACTGTTTCACCTGTGCCTCCCTCTGTAGAGGGTCCTCTCCAAGCTCTACACGCGCCTTCTCCAAACTGGCTGCATCAAGTGTGCACACGTATCCATCCCCCATACTTTTAAATGGACAATGGTTGAGGATAAAAAAGGGGGTGACAGTGTGTTAATGAAACGTTTATTATCCTTGGCAAACTAGAAATATGCTTCATGAATTCTCAAAAAATGTTTTTGAAATATAGTAGAAGTTCTGAATGAATAAAACAACATGCAGATTAATTAATCTACAGTCGAATTTATATTTATAATGATTTGCATAAAAAAATATTATTTTCTTACCTGTGAACAACAGATGACTGTTTTTTGATGAATGTTTTACTGGCTATGTTTGTATAAATGTAAAATATGATTATTAGCAACTTTGTCACGATACTTTGCACTTTGCACAAAGTTATCATTAACCCCAACACAAAGTATAATTAAAGTGATAAGTGTATTTTTCAACATTCGAGGCTAAATAAGGCCGATCTGTAGATGTACGTACACTACACAAACTAATAGTCTGGCATCCAGAAGTTTCCCTTTCAGACCACACGTTTTAGGCGGCCTACTTCTCACTGACATTTTAACATATCTATTAAATCTCTCCTAAATTTACAAGCAATTGTTACAGTACTGGGAAACAAAAAATAAGATTCTAATATAAACAGGTTCACATACACTTTCCACTTCATGTACTATTGAGGTACAGCTACACTTTGTGTACTATTGAAGTGATATTTACACCCAGCTATGTACTATTGAAGTGCATCACCAGCAACCTATGTATTTTCTTGAAGTGCAGCTACACTGTATGTACTATTGAAGTGCAGCTGCACTTTATGTACTCTTGAAGTACAGCTTCACTTTATGTACTATTGAAGTGCAGCTACGCCCTATGTACTATTGAGGTGCAGCTACACCCTATGCACTATTGAAGTACAGCTTCACTTTATAACTATTGAGGTGCAGCTACACTTTATGTGCTATTGAAGTGCAGCTACGCCCTATGTACTATTGAGGTGCAGCTACACCCTATGCACTATTGAAGTACAGCTACACTTTATGTACTATTAAAGTGCAGCTACACCCTATGCACTATTGAAGTGCAGCTACACCCTATACACTATTGAAGTGCAGCTTCACTTTATGTACTATTGAAGTGCAGCTACACTTTATAACTATTGAGGTGCAGCTACACTTTATGTACTATTACAGTACAGGTACACTTTATGTAATATTGAAGTCCAGCTACACTTTATGTACTCTTGAAGTGCAGCTACACTTTATAACCATCAAAGTGCACCTAATCGTTTTGACTATTAAAGTACAGCTACACTTTTTGTAATATTAAAGTGCAGCTACACTTTATAACTATTGAAGTGAAGCTACACTTTATAACTATTGAGGGGCAGCTACACTTTATGTACTATTAAAGTACAGCTACACTTTATATACTATTGAAGTGCAGTTACAGTGTATGTACTATTAAAGTGCAGCTACACTCTATGTACTCTTGAAGCACAGCTTCACTTTATGTACTCTTGAAATACAGCTACACTTTATGTACTATTGAAATACAGCTACACTTTATGTACTATTAAAGTACAGCTACACTTTATGTACTATTGAAGTGCATCTACACTTTATGTACTATTAAAGTACAGCTACACTTTATGTACAATTGAAGTGCAGCTACTAAATGAGGTGCAGCTACACTTTATGTACTATTAAAGTACAGCTACACTTTATGTACAATTGAAGTGCAGCTACACTTGATAACGATTAAAGTGCAACTACATTTTATGTACTCTTGAAGTACAGCTACGCTTTATGTACTATCGAAGTGCAGCTTCCCTTTATGTACTATAAAAGTACAGTTACACTTTATGTACTATTGAAGTGCAGCTGCACTTTATGTACTATTGAAGTGCAGCTGCACTTTATAACTATTGAGGTGCAGCTACACTTTATGTACTCCAGCTACACTTTACGTACTATTAAAGTACAGCTACATTTTATGCGTTATCAAAGTACACTTAACTATATGTACTATTGAAGTGCAGCTACAGTTTATGTATTGTTGACGTGCAGCTACACCTTATGCACTATTGAAGTGCAGCTACACTTTATGTGGTATTGAAGTACAGCTACACTTTATGTACTATTAAAGTGCAGCTACACCCTATGCACTATTGAAGTGCAGCTACACCCTATACACTATTGAAGTGCAGCTTCACTTTATGTACTATTGAAGTGCAGCTACACTTTATAACTATTGAGGTGCAGCTACACTTTATGTACTATTACAGTACAGGTACACTTTATGTAATATTGAAGTCCAGCTACACTTTATGTACTCTTGAAGTGCAGCTACACTTTATAACCATCAAAGTGCACCTAATCGTTTTGACTATTAAAGTACAGCTACACTTTTTGTAATATTAAAGTGCAGCTACACTTTATAACTATTGAAGTGAAGCTACACTTTATAACTATTGAGGGGCAGCTACACTTTATGTACTATTAAAGTACAGCTACACTTTATATACTATTGAAGTGCAGTTACAGTGTATGTACTATTAAAGTGCAGCTACACTCTATGTACTCTTGAAGCACAGCTTCACTTTATGTACTCTTGAAATACAGCTACACTTTATGTACTATTGAAATACAGCTACACTTTATGTACTATTAAAGTACAGCTACACTTTATGTACTATTGAAGTGCATCTACACTTTATGTACTATTAAAGTACAGCTACACTTTATGTACAATTGAAGTGCAGCTACTAAATGAGGTGCAGCTACACTTTATGTACTATTAAAGTACAGCTACACTTTATGTACAATTGAAGTGCAGCTACACTTGATAACGATTAAAGTGCAACTACATTTTATGTACTCTTGAAGTACAGCTACGCTTTATGTACTATCGAAGTGCAGCTTCCCTTTATGTACTATAAAAGTACAGTTACACTTTATGTACTATTGAAGTGCAGCTGCACTTTATGTACTATTGAAGTGCAGCTGCACTTTATAACTATTGAGGTGCAGCTACACTTTATGTACTCCAGCTACACTTTACGTACTATTAAAGTACAGCTACATTTTATGCGTTATCAAAGTACACTTAACTATATGTACTATTGAAGTGCAGCTACAGTTTATGTATTGTTGACGTGCAGCTACACCTTATGCACTATTGAAGTGCAGCTACACTTTATGTGGTATTGAAGTGCAGCTACACTTCATAACTATTGACGTACAGCTACACCCTATGCACTATTGAAGTGCAGCTACACTTTATGTACTATGGAAGCGCAGCCTAACTTTATGTACTATTGAAATACAGTTACACTTTATGTGCTATTGAAGTGCAGCTACACTTTATGTACTATTGACGTGCAGCTACACTTTATGTACTATTGAAGTGCAGCTGCACTCTATGTACTATTAAAGTACAGCTACACTTTATGTACTATTGAGGTACAGGTACACTTTATGTACTATTGAAGTGCAGCTACACGTTATGTACTATTGAAGTGCAGCTGCACTTTATGTACTCTTGAAGTACAGTAAAGTAGACGAATGGTCAAAGGATGGAAAACAACACCAAGATCTAAGAACAGCAAATGGTCAAGGATCAAAAACAGCATCACGACCAAAGAATGACGAACAGTCATATGACCTAAATCTGAAAAGCGGTGAAAATAGTTTTGACTAAATCTAAACAAAAAATGTATTGAAAAAATGAAGATTTTGAAATGTTTTTCTATATTACTGTCACTAGGCTCATTAGATACACTTCCATAATTTAGATTTCCCTATGCTGCATAAGCCGGTACAACTGCATCATCGTGTTCATTTTCTTGCATTTTCCATGTTATTGTTTCTAATATGCTCAAGTGAAGTTTTCTATACATCATTCTGCACGTAAGATATAAATGAAAAAACACATCTGTGACATCGTTTTTCGTCTTACGACTATGTGGTAAACGTTTTCACACTTTTGTGCCTCATTCTGCTTTTTTATCCATCTAAATATGCTTACAGATGTATTTAGGAACAGTTTTCACATCTGCTGCATATTACCATACACCTGTAGTTAGGAACGTTCCCTTCATTTTTTTGTTATATTGTACAGCTGCAGTTAGGAACGCTTTCGGCTTGTTCTAGTTAGTATTGTATAACTGTAGTAAGGAGAATTTCCTACATCTGCTACTTATCATGACTTGGCTGTAGTCAGATACGTGTCCTACATCTGCTAGTTATTATTGTTAAGCTGTAGTCAGATACGTGTCCTACATCTGCTAGTTATTATTGTTCAGCTGTAGTCAGATACGTGTCCTACATCTGCTAGTTATTATTTTTAAGCTGTAGTCAGATACGTGTCCTACATCTGCTAGTTATTATTGTTAAGCTGTAGTCAGATACGTGTATCACATCTGCTAGTTATTATTGTTAAGCTGTAGTCAGATACGTCTCCTACATCTGCTAGTTATTATTGTTAAGCTGTAGTCAGATACATGTCCTACATCTGCTAGTTATTATCGTGTAGTTGTATTAAGGAACGTTTCATACTTATTACTTTAGTTAGGTACGTTTTCTACACCTGCTTGTTATTATCCTGCAGTTGTGGCTACATAAGAGTCCCCCAGTCCACCTGCAAACATTGTACATACAAGTATAATATAATCACATATGCCAATAAGCAAGATACTATTATACATATTTGCATCGTTTGCATCTGCATTTTTTAAAATGTTTTTTACCCTTTTTTCATGCTGGAACATGTTTTTCCTCCGAATTCTGTACCATCGCACTCCTCCTTCCTTGCGTGCAAATAACCGTCTCCACAAAACGGCCTCCTACACCCTACATTAAAAAATTCAATGTAATTCATGATTGGGGTTACAATTGCAATTCATGCATATTAGCTAGGCAAGGTGTGTCCAACTCCAGTCAATCAGAACACGCTATTTCATATAACTGCAATGCATTATATGAACAATAACACATCCAATGTCATCTTTAGATTCTAGTGAAACTTGGAAATCAATGAAACAGATAAGCTGATCAATGTCATAGTTCAGTATAAAAATCTATAAATAAGGGCAAATGCTTATATATGTCAAATGATAAGTGTTGAATGGTTGTCAAGGTGACAACATGACCCTAGCAAAAAGTTTCTTTGAAGTTTCATTCGTTGCTACTTACCCACACAATCATCTTCATTGATATAATTGCCATCATCACATTCCTCTCCAGTATCCCAATCGATCACTCGGTCACCACACGTTGACATCTGAAACAGGAACTTTCATGATATTTTATATCCAATTCATATTTTAAAATTTATCTAGTGAATTGAAATGTTGCAATCTAAGATCGTCATAACTTCAAAATCAAAGAGCAACGGCTCTGCACAATAATAAATGTAATAGGGAGGTTAAGTTATACGTTTTTAAAGAAACTGTACGTGAGCGTGTAATATTTCGACCCCCTGGGATTACTGTCCCGCTCTCGATTCTCTTTTCCAGTGACCTAATTACAATTATTTTCCGTATACCTATATACCCATCGGTCAAATAAACCCTACAAATGAGAGAACTAATCCGTAGAGGACCATACTTCTACACGTTCACGTAAACGTATCTTAACCTCTCGGCCTAGGACCTCAATATCAAAATCTAAATTTAGTATATTTGGTATATTATTCATTTTTATTTGTATAATCTTAAATGCTTCAATATGAATGATGCAAAATGTCATGTTACTCCACTCTGCATAAGAAGCTTACGATCAATCCTAGTTTAATGTTTGTTATCATTATATTCTGGAGGTTTGCTCAATGTGTTTGAATGAGTGCATGCGAGAGTCCTACCCGTATTGCCCTCCACGTGATGTGATCTCTGTAGTAAAGCCTCTTCGTATCTGTCCTATAAGCAATCAAGCCCTCCACCGCAATGCCATACATCATCTCGGCAGTAGGAAAGATCAGAACCTTCAAAACAGATACAGGAAAAGTAACCACGTGAGAAAGTGACTTATGTTTTCTCAAAGCACAACTGTGTCAAAAATCATGACTTTTGTATCATCTTACATTTGAGCTGAGACATACCCCGGATGATCCGTTGTCTTTGGCACCAGTGACGCCTCTTTTTTCTGATGTACTTCCGTATCCCCCAGAGCGTCCCCGCTTTCCCCGTGGCCCTCTTTGCCCGGGTGGGCCTGGTTCCCCGGCTATAACAGTTCAAATATTAATGCATCCGAGGAGAATTTTAATACCACAAAGTTGCAGTAAAAATAACTTAAGGATAAGTCTAATATCAATTTTGACAGTAATAATCATTTTAACATTCGAATTGTCAGTGCTTTGTGATTTAGTCACTTCATACTGATTATCACTGGTTTCTATTAGTGCAGTCAGTTATGACAATAAAACCCTTGAATTGCACTTGCTATATATACGCCACCATTTTTTGACCAAAGTATCATTATTACATATATTTATGAAATCCACCGAAGTGGTGTCAAAAAGTGGCCCCAGTGGATAATAACAGGCTTCGAGAATTTTGCATGTTTCCATTGGGCCCCCTGTTTATTCATCAATATTCAAAAGACCCCCTGCAGAACAGTTCAAGAGCAATAAAGTCAATCTTCATAGTATGTAACCATGACTCAATTGTCTTCAAAATAAGAAGGGTTACAAGCTAGATTTTGTCTCATTCAAAAGATATTGGTGTTTGAATTTTGGAAAATTCCCATTAACTGCCATTATAAACTACTCTCAATATGCCTTTACTAAAGGGTCATTTTCTCCAAAAGTCCACTATGGAATTTTCTGATGTTGCAGATTTCTACAGCCAATATATTGACTTTCAAAAAATCAAACAGGCACATTTCTAAAAATTTCTTATTTTTAATATATCTAGTTGTTAAGTTGCTCACGAAAAGTCCATTGAGTCCCATGTTAATTTATCAATCTTCAAAAGACCCCCTGCAGAACAGTTCACGAGCAATAAAGTCAATCTTACTAGTTTTTAACCATAACGTGGATGTCTTCAAAATGAGAAGGGTTACAAGCTGGATTTTATCTAGTTCAAAAGATATTGACGATTAAATTTTGGGAAATCCCCATTGACCGCCATTATAAACTACTATCAATATGGCTTTACCAAAGTGCCATTTTCTCCAAAAGTCCACTATGGAATTTTCTGATATTGCAGATTTCTACAGCCAATATATTGACTTTCAAAAAACCAAACAGGCACATTTCTAAAAATGTCTTATTTTTAATATATCTAGTTGTTAAGTTGCTCACGAAAACTCCATTGAGTCCCATGTTAATTTATCAATCTTCAAAAGACCCCCTGCAGAACAGTTCAAGAGCAATAAAGTCAATCTTCCTAGTATGTAACCATGACTCAAATGTCTTCAAAATAAGAAGGGTTACAAGCTAGATTTTATCTAGTTCAAAAGATATTGACGATTAAATTTTGGGAAATCCCCATTGACCGCCATTATAAACTACTATCAATATGGCTTTACCAAAGTGCCATTTTCTCCAAAAGTCCACTATGGAATTTTCTGATATTGCAGATTTCTATAGTTGATATATTTACTTTTTAAAAACCAAACAGGCACATTCCTAAAAATTTCTTGTTCTTAATATATTTAGCCATAAATCACATACAAATATCCCCATTGACTGCCATTATAAACTTATATCAATATGCTTTTACCATCTTTTACTAAAGTGTCCTTTCCCCCAAAAGTCCAATATGAATTTCTCTGATATTGCAGATTTCCTATTTCTATAAATCAGAAAATTTCATAGTGGACTTTTGGAGAAAAGTATAATTTATTCGTAAATCCATGTTTATAGCAGTTTATAATGGCAGCCAATGGGGATTTTCAGTCAACTTGAGGGCTAAATATATTAAAAATAAGAAAGTTTTAGAATTGTGCCTGTTTGGTTTTTTAGAAGTCAATATATTGGCTATAGAAATTTGCAATATCAGAAGATTCCATCGTGAACTTTTGGAGAAAATGACACTTTAGTAAAGCCATATTAATAGAAGTTTATAATGGCGGTCAATAGGAATTTTCCAAAATTCAAACACCAATATCTTTGGAACTATATAGAATCAAGCTTGTAACCCTTCATATTCTGAAGACAAAAAAGATATGTTTACATACCAGGAAGATTGACTTTATTGCTCTTGAACTGTTCTGCAGGGGGTCTTTTGAATATTGATAAATTAACCAAGGACTCAATGGAGTTTTCGTGAGCAACTTAATAAGTAGATATATTAAAAATAAGAAATTTTTAAAAATGTGCCTGTTTTGTTTTTGGAAAGTCATTATGTTGGGTATAGAAATCTGCAATATCAGAAAATTCCTTTGTGAACTTTTGGGGAAAATTGCACTTTATTAGTAAAGCTGTGTTGATAGCTTTTATAGTGGCAGCAAATGGGAGTTTTCGTGTGCAACTCAATGGTTAGATATCTAAAAAATAATGAATTTTTAGAAATGTGCCTGTTTGGTTTTTTAAAAGTCAATATATTGGCTATAGAAATCTGCAATATCAAAAAATTCCATAGTGGAATTTTGGAAAAAATGACACTTTAATAAGGCCTTATTGAGAGAAGTTTATAATGGCCGTCAATGGGAATTTTCCAAAATTCAAACATCAATATCTTTGGAACTAGACAAAATCCAGCTTGTAACCCTTCTTATTTTGAAGACATTTAAGTCACGGTTACATACTAGGAAGATTGACTTTATTGCTCTTGAACTCCTCTGCAGGGGGTCTTTTGAAGATTTATAAATTAACATTGAACTCAATGGAAACATGCAAAATTTTCGAGCCCTGTTATTATCCACTTGGGCTACTTTTTAACACCACTTCGGTAGATATCAAAAATACATGTATTAATGATACTTTGGTCAAAAAATGGTGACGTTTATATAGCAAGTGCAATTAAAGTGCTAACTGACTGCACTATATGTTTTGAAGTACTAAAGTGTGCGCCAACGTTTAAAACTGCGCAGGTGCAGCGCTCTCGCTAACCTATTTAAAGAGATTATATAATTACAAGGTACAGGCTTCAGAGGTATTAAAGCCAGGAATGTGAACAATCTTCGCCCCGTGTTGATTTCCCGTATAATCGTAGGCACGTTTCACCATTTAAATTGTAAATTACTATTAGATATACTTTGTAGGTGTTATTTCCCAAATGGCTCATTTTGAACATATAAAAAGTATTTGTGTCTCAGTCATTCACAGATATGACGTACCTTTGCCGGGAGGTCCTGGGGAACCAGGTGGGCCGGGAAAACCACTTGTTCCAATGGGGCCTACAGGACCAGGTACACCCGGCAAACCCTGAAACATCATATACAGGTCACTTACATTTATACGTGGAATTGCATGTAAATTATAAAGCAGGCGCGACATTAGAAGAACTATACAATTTTCATTCATTAACTCGATATTCATTTCCAAGAATTGGTATATCACATTATCGATGAAGTCATATATGAATCAGTGTAAATAAAATCTGAGACTAACATTTTTTTATGTTAGTCTCAGATAAAATGTAAAACGTGAAAAACTGTCGCCACCTACTTGCGGTCCAGGAGGTCCTGGCTCTCCTCGCTGCCCCGTTGGTCCTATGGCTCCTCTTCCACACGTCGAACTGGTAGCAGATGTGTTTAGTTTCATAGACTGAGATGAGTCATTTTCAGTTAGTGTCTTTATACCTGGCATCGGTCCAAAATTTGGCTGTTTGGTAGATTTTGAATCTGTTTCTGCCGTTTTCTGTAAATATATACTGATCTGATATTATGTATTACCATAATATTTTGATTCCTTAATGTGAGTTAATGCAGACACTGTGCATTTCAATGAGATTTTATTATGGAAATTATATTATTGATGGTATGATTCATTACTTAGAATAGGCAATTTAGCATTTCACTAATTCGGAAAACAATCTCACAAATATTTGGAAAAAATCATCATGTCCTTGCTGGTATAGAAATCCTCATTCATTGATTAACAATCCTTAAAATACAATGGGATATATATAATTGTAATAAATTCAATAATAACTAAAGTACAGAAGTTAACTATAAAATATTTACTTTACCGTTTCGTGGATTCCAAATCCGTTCTGATCAAATATTACCGTTGTCAATACATCCTCTGACGTCATTGATGGGGGAGACGGTGGAGAGAACGCGGGTGGGGGGAAAAGAAGTGGCACATCTCTGCCCGCACATGGGATTGACAAACCATTCTCAATGTTTGGATATAAAACCTTTTCTGAAAAAGCATACAGTGTGATATATCGCATAATTACCAATTTCTCCAATCCCTAATATTAAGATTTAATCAGCGTACCTAGCTATGAGGCAGCCAGGGCTACAATTTTGCAGAAAAATAGTACTACAGAAAAGTATTCTAGACACTTTGGAAACTAAAATGAACTGTTTGTTCAACAGAAATATAATATCCTAAGTTTTGACTCGTCTATTTTGGATTTTGGCTTAATCGTCTCTGGTTTCCATACAGTCTATTGATAACTAAATTCTTGCATAATACGACCAGAACACGCAGAGATTCAATAAACAGCTTATCCTTATAACGAACGATTACGACAAACATTTTGATTTTCAGTTTTCATTTAATATCTGAGTTAGCTGATTTATTTCATTGGTTGTCTTGTTTTCACGCAAAATGCTTATTTACAATTTGATGTTTTTAATCTGTTTTGCAAAGCAAACCTTGATGGATGTTCAACTCTGGACCGGTTTACCTATGCGTTTATATTAATAACACTTCGAGAGAATCAATCGTCATTAACAATTTCGCTAATAAAACACTATTTGAGGTCGTTTTCAGAGAAGATTTCAGTGGTGGCAACAAAGGGAGTTTGATGTGTTTGACAGCGCAGGAAATGGCGACTTTTTATTTCACAACATCTGAGAAATATTTGAAAAAAGCATGGTGAACAATATATTTTACGTAGGGGCAACCACCGGGTTAATTCTGACAGCATCTGTTCATCTCCGTCAATTAGAAATGTTTAACAAGCTATAAATACGTGTTGCTATTTTACCAACAAGTTCACGGTATAGGCTACTATCATTTCCTTACTTTTAAAAAGTTGATTTTACAGAAATACATGTAAGTTAACGCAGAAGTATCATTGTGTTTTTTATTTTGATTACCATTTTGGAAGGGTATATTATATATAGGGTGTCCAAAGGTTTGTTCATGGTAAATCATAATTCCGCTATCAGTTAAGTCCATTACGTAACTAGTCGCTTGTTATAGAAACCGAATTCTCTCATTTTAGATATATCCCAATTTATAGTTACCATTTCTATTACAAGCAAACATTTTTTTAAGTAACTTTCCACAAACCTGCCAGAAACAGCATTTTAACAGCGTTTTTTCTTCCCCAGAAATTTAAACGTCAGAATACACAGGGTATTGATGGTAAATTACTAAATTAGTCGAGAATACTTTTCCTTTGAAAAAATAGTTAAGTTCGATTGTTTTTGCACATTTAAAGAGCCATTTTTGTTGTAATTTAAAGTTTTCAAACTTTGTGAACTACTTGGGTTTAATCCTTAAATATATATAATGGGGCAGATATTGTTAAATGAATTGTCTATTGTCAATCACAGAACAACTGGCCTTGTCCAAAATACTATACAGTATCCTATTCTGATTCCTACAGTACATAGCTCCAATTTTATTTTGGTAGAATCGGGCAAACAAATAAAGAACGCTTAGATTGTGTTATGAAATATATCACCTAAAAATCACCTACCGTCCAAGTATTTGTAAATCCTCAACTCATCCGCAAATGAACCAATCCAAAGAAGTAAGACATTTAGAGCTGGTATACATATGTGTTTGACTCCCTTCATTTCTAATGTTATCTCGCTTATATCCACCAGTTGCTTCTTCCAGATTCAGTTACGTGACTTATTTCTATCCATTAACAGGGGTGGATCGGGGAATGTAGATAAGTGCAATTTCAAACGGCTGTACACAAATTGGGTGCTTACTTTTACGTCAAGGGTGACATTCCATTCATTTACCAATCCATGACTTCCTGAATCAGTTTTAGACATTCAATAATGTCCCACAAGAATTACTGACAAGACTGCAATTATAGTCTATTGCTGTTGCCAGTTTTACTTTATTCTTTCTTTCTTCCTCTCCCAATTTTCTCGCCGACTATATGTTTATGTTTCTTTATTTGGACCATAAGTTGATCATACAAATACATACTGGTATATATTAACTAAAAAAATGTATCTGTCTTTCTGTGAAATAAGGTCAAATTTTCATTTACAAATTTTCGTCAAGGTCACGAACTTGGTCAATCTTGAGTTTTCACTATTCAGAAATCTGAAATCTAAAATCAAAATAGCGATTTTCGAGATTTTAAAACGTCATTGTCAGACCAATGTTAAGTCAATGGGTTTAAAGAAAATTTAGAATTGTAAAGATACAAGATATACTGACTGGGTACAGCTAAACGTATTGTAGGCCAACAATAGAAGAGGACATTGAAACCTACTTTTTCAAAATTTGTAAACTAAAATGTCTCTGTCAAAACCTCGGTCTTTGGAGTAGACCCAACATGGCAAGAGATTTTGGACAGCTGTATTTTTGGTCACGGGTATTTCCCGACCATACAATGAATATTTTATATTAAAACAATATCTTGACTTCAACAAAAGTGCATGAAAAAAATAAAAATCTCATTTTAATAATGAGATTAGCCATGGATTAGTAACCCACCTCCTCACTTTTTCAATAATGTTGACCTTATATTGAAAAAGAGGACCGCGATTTTCAAAGTTTCTGTGCAAAATTAGATTGCAACATAAATTATCAGTAATCTCATATATAGGAAAATTGGATTGAATTCCTAGTTTTCTTTAAGAATTTTGGTCTCTCTCTCCAAGAAGTACTGAAATAATTGCTATGTGATGTTTATAATATATTCAACACAAATAGATGGCAACACGGTGTCATAATATCTGGTGTTATATTTGGGATTATATGGCATTGTGACTTGCAAACACTTGAGTAGTATTATATCCAACAGCATTTATATAGAAGGTATAAGAAATTCTTTGAAGGATACATGCTGATAAAAGTCATGCTCATAGTAATTTGAGTAATGGCTGATGTTTGAATGTATTTTTTTTATTCTCCAGCACTTCAAATTGCCTTGACATTTTATCCTTTATGTAACCCAATCCCAAAAGAGGGGTGTATAAATTCAAGAATCTGGCAAACTTCATTACGCTTTCATTTGGTTGGGTTAGTACAAAACATGGCATCGTGTCATGGCACAGGTACACCCTATGGCATAGGCCACAGCACCCCCTATGCCACACTGTAGGCTCTAAAACACTATTTCGAGTAAAATTCGTGCATATTTATGCAGATTATGATTGCCTTTACTAATGTCTACCCTTCAAATCATTGTTCTTGAGCCTCTTACTAAAGTTATATTATCTTTCTTGGCATAGTTTGCCATGAATGAACATTTGTCAATCTGAATCAAGTTACAAATGTATGTAGTACGTACGCAAGGATCCATCTCTCTGTGCCAAAAAACTTAAGTAAGAGGATCAAGAACAAAAATAATCTAAATAAATCTGAATCAGTATTCAAGAGCAAATGACACAGGGGCATCATAGCTCGGTGCCATGCCATGGCTCGGTGCCATGTTTTGTACTAATCCCATTTCATAAGCTTTCTTTATTTTTATTTTCGAATTAAAATACAAAATCACAAATTAAAAGGGTGTTTGTGATTCATTTCTGTAAATGTTAAGAATATAAAGAACAGGTCCATTTAACAGACTATTGGTCAACTTAGACTTTTTCCAAAAAACTCATTCTTCCATTTACTTTTAAAACCGATTGCAAGTTGTAGATAAACCTTTTTTCTTGAGGTGTGCAATTTCAAAAAGTGGCATTAGTTTTCAGTTTCTTTGAAAAATTGGCAGTAAGAACCCCTATCACAAGACTGTCTGAATATGGGTACACACTATGTTTACCATCAAAATAATATCAAAACTTATCATTACATAGAATTTGTTATATGGAACATATGGCATACGAGCATTTGGAGTACAACATTAAAAAAATCAAGCTATGTATGAAGTTTACCAATGCAAATCTGGAAAACATTGTCATTTTTGTTCACTTTGTTATCAAGTTTTAGCATGGTGCTCATTTCCTTTCGTTGAAAATTTAACCATCAGCCCATTCTCCCACAAAAAAGATATTGAAACTGTATAATGCAGATACTGTAAAGTAGCTTCTCTGCAAATATCATTGTTGTGGGAGTTTGGGCTCACCTCTAAAACTCAACTTTTGTGATGAAAATTAGGCTGACTGGTTTATGTTTTCAATATGGCTGCTAACCTGGGCAAACATGTACACTACATTACTGCATGTACAGATTAGGCCATTCAAAATTAATTATATGTTGGCATTCTGATGAAGGGCCTTATATGAAAAACTACAAAACCTTTATTTATTTAAAGGCTTTTATATATTATTTAATAGTGAAAATGCATTAACACATAGTGGAAAAGCAAGTAACACCTCTTGTTTCAGATGACCTTGTTAATGAAGACAATACTAAAGCTTATATACATGTAGTTTTTAATCAATTTTGGAACTCATTTCAATACAATATAATTCATGATCACAATACCCTCTGTCATTTATATGCATTACAAGTACAGAGTACATGGGAACATTTTGTGTTTGTAAGTGTTTATCTAAACAGGGAATTAGTAGAAATTATTTTAGGCAATCTTTTGAGTGTCATGCCATTTATACATGATGCTGCCTTATATTTTATGATATATATTGAAATTCAAATATGGGAACTGTAAATTGGCAAATAACTTTAAAAACTAAGTCTCCATGCAATGGGCCCAATGGGCATCTACATTGGAAATGCCCATGTCATGGGCATTTAAAATAATAATCACATCCCAACTCTTAAAACATGCTTATATTAGGATACTGTTAGAGTCTCAAAAGGCAACAAGAACATTCATTTTTGAAACTAGAAAATTAAGTCCCTCCAAAAATGCCCATATGGGGATTTATTCTCAAGATTTTCATGTAATTGCCCTTGAGAATCTATCAAAAATATTTTTATTTCCATTCACATGTCTTGTTATCAGTCAAAATCAAAATTAAGCCAATTGCTTTCATTTCTTGTATTAGAAGCGGCAAAATTTTGACAATAGCATCTTTCAAAGTTGACCTTTAAACCACCCTAATGTCAAGGTCAAATGTCTAAATTCTCAGAAATCACATTCTAAGTAATACGTCATACTTCCTCTTCAATTCCATGTCAATATATACTTGTTTTGTAGGGGGCTAAAAGAGGGGTTTACCGCCACCTGTCCTTTAAACTATACACATTTAGATGAAACAGTGTAAGAGGTGAAGATACACGGTGAGCCAATAAAGGTAACCGAAAAAATTATGCTAATAACTCAGTCATTCAGCATGGGTTTAAAATCATATTTGGCACAATTCAACCTTGTTCAAATTCAGTTCATTATACATTTAATTCAATTATATTGCAGTTAAAAGTTACATAGGTCAATGCCTTGCGCAATATGCATAACAGGCTATAGCGTTTTGAAATGAATATATATCAAATTAATTTAACTCATTGAGTGAGTTATTCAATTCAATTCAATTCAATTCAATTTATTTCCTTAATAATATAGTAAAATACAGTACAAATAAAAGGTTTAACAGGTGACATCATTTCTGATGTTTATACCCGTACATGTTAAAGCATAATATTACGAATATTAAGAGCAAGGTAAGGTCAAGGAATTATCAAACATATCAAGATTAAGTTTTGTCTAAGAGAAGATCGAAGAGGAAGTGTTGGTGGGGGAGGTGCATCACAGATATAAATATTTACAGGTTTAGTGTCCAGTACCCAGGCTTCCAGTTATATTTGTATATCATTTTTATAAAAAATACATGAATATGAAAAGTGTAAAATGAAATCATGTATACAAAGCCAAAATATGTTTCTTATATTTCGATTTAAGGCATTTACTCGACCTTGAATTTTTAATTTCTGAAGGGAGGCCATTCCAAATAAATGGTCCGGAAAATGAAAGCATCTTTCTTCCAAAGGATTCTGTTTTAAATTGGGGCAAGGCATAGTTGTATTTACCTCTTGTATCATACCTATGTAATTCAATATGCCTTGTAAATAAGTTAGGAAATATATCATGGATATTGTTTTCATTATTTTGCCACTTAAAGAAAAATTCAGCCACGTTGACTTTAAATATATCATGGATGGTTAGAATTCTTAATTCTTTAAATAATAGTGAACTATGATCTCTATATCCACTGTGAGTAACTAATCTAGCAAATTTCTTTTGTATTAAATGAAGTGAATAAATTGAGGTGATATTGGCGTTTCCCCAAATGATATCACTGTATGTTAAATAAGAATGAATTAGAGAATGATATATAGTCATGCAGGTTTTCCTATCTAGTAAGTGGTTAATCTTATACAAAATGCCAACTATTCTCGATATCTTCATTTTGACTTTACTAATATGGTCATTCCATGTAAGGTGTTGGTCAATGATCAATCCAAGAAAATTAGTATGTGTTACTTTTTCAATCTTTTTACCATCAATAAATATATCTAAATTTGTGGTATTTATCTTTTTTTGCTTAGAAGAAAATAATATGTATTTGGTTTTATCTATATTAAGAGAAAGTTTATTGGCTACAAGCCAATCTCTAATTTGATTAAGTTCAGTATTTAAAGTATCTTTAATTTCATTAAGGTTTTTTCCACTGATTAAAATATTCGTATCGTCGGCAAACAGAACAAAGAAGAAGTGTTGGAGAGGCCAGGCAGATATCATTAATATAAAG